CTTCGCCCTTTCTTACACCTATTTGCTCCGCATTTTTTGTAGCCATAATATTGCATTTTTAGCATTCAAATTTGCATTGATTTCCATGGTGTTTCCTTTACGTTTATTTTTTCAAAGTCAGCAGACCGACCACGCAACGAATTGCAAATTTAAATGCCGCAGCAGCTGCAACTGCTTATGGTAATGAGTCTGTCCAACTCACCGGCGTCCTTCGTCCTGTGTCCGTCGTCCGGAGACCATAGTGCGCAGTCCATAGTCCGATTGTCCGGCAGTTTTCCCGGCAGTTTGCGAGTCGACCAACGCAGTCACACCAACGGCCAACTAATAATGTAAAACTCTCTCTTTATAACTTTTCACGGGGAAAACCCCGTGGGCGGTCGGAGAATGCAGAAGGCGACAGCTACGACGATTGCTATGGCGACCAAAATTGAGTGCCGTTTGTGAACAGCTGGAAACTTATGAAAGTTGTTTGCCAAACAACAATAAAATAAATTGTGCGAAGCGGGAAAAACGAGAGGGGATCGAGTTTCCCCGGGTTAAGGTGTATACCGTTGTGTTGTAGTTGGTGGGGGAGGGGAGGGGGGCAGTTGCGGGGGTGTGAAATTTTCCAAGGGGGTGGAGTGCCAGCTCGTGTCAATTGTCATTTCGTACTTGAAACTGCCTTTGTTGTTGCCTTCAACTTGACTTTGTCTTGGACGAGTTGTTACGCTTTTATTGCCTTTGTTTGTTGTTCCTGTTGTGCCAGGGCTGTCAGGGCGTATACGTATTATTTATATTACACCAGACTTGGGAGAAGGTGTAAAAAAGTTTTCCCTTCGGCTCTTTACATTTTATGAAGTGCACACAGCGGGTTATCAATTTGTGTGTTGTCGCCCCAATTCGTTTTATTATTAAAAATCACTGAGGTGGAAGCATCAAACCGGAAGTTGCATTCACAGCCGACGAGATACGGATTCGGATATTCTGTAAAGGGATCCTTCTGCATAGTAGATACAATAATAAATTGTTGCCATTGCGTATGTATATCTGATAAAATATTTATGAATGCAAATGTTTGAATTGAAATAAAGGCTCTCCAAGGGTGTTGTTCGGTATTATGTGCTGGCTTAAAGCATTCGCTTCGTTAATTTGCATATCAAATTTTAGGCTTTTTGTGCGAATAATTCACGAATAATTGAAGGAAATTCCAGTCAGCTACTGAAAATTATGCATACGCCAGCAAAAATATCTTATTGCCTTATTTAATGGAATATTTTAATTGAAATTTTTATCTAGTTGATCTTAAAATTTAAATCAAATAACTTAGGTATATAAATTTACTAAGTTTTTTCTTTTTTTTCCTGCCTAATCAACGCCCAGAGCATTAAGGAAAAATAAATCTAAGAAAATCCCAGATGCCCTAAACATTTAATGGGGAATCTATCTTGAGATAGATTTCTCCATTCCTCGGAGTAAGCTGTCATTGTGCTTGAAACTCCGTTGCAGTTGATTGCCCCATATCGATTCGATACTTCGGCTCCCTTTCTTGTTATCTTTGATAACAGAAGACGAAATAAAATGAAAACGAGATGGCATATCAGCATTATAAGGACCAGCTGCGTCTTGGCCAGAAAATGCGAATGGAAATTGTTACAGCCAGAAGTGGAAATACTGTTCAAATCAGTGCTGCCTGGAGCCAAATTTGTAACATTAAAATACAATTTAAGATTTGTTAAAGTCTTAAGTTTAAACTTTTGAAATGACTAAAATATTTTTAACTTTACACCAGCAAGGACCCTTCAAAAAAAAGAACACATCTGAGAAGCAATGGCAAAGCGGTCAACACTGGTCCATTTATCCACTTTTTCGACTGCCTCATTGTTGGTTTTCGTTTTCGCATCCGATTTGGATTACGTTGTGGAAAATGCAAAATACTTTCGCTACGTTTTGGCCGCCAAGAAGTAACCAAGTTAGATTGCAGCTAAAAAAGAGGTTGGAGATATTTTATACTTCTTTTCATACTGCGGCTACGGAATCAAATAAATATTTATGGAAAATGTTAATTCCGCGCTCTTTAATCTAAATGTTAATTTCCCGCCTGGCAAATAAATCACTTTGTAGCCAAGCAGCCAGCGTGGCGTATGCGTAATGCGTTGGAATTGAATCGAATGGAATGCCAAGGGAATTCCCACATTGCATCGCCGGGGGATTTATAGCGCGTCCTCCACCTGCCACCACCACCCACCAGGTGTCTGCGGCTGTTGGATTAATTAGTGCACGGTGCTCAACAAAATGCTCCTTGGGGACCAATTGCCGGGGAAAGTTCAAGTGCGGGTTCGGTTGCTGCTTCCGCTGCTCCTGTGGCTCTTTAATATTTTCGAGAGATGCAGCTCGGCGAAACTGTCGGCGTCAGGTGTAAAGTTTCAATTAGCGCCACAGTCATGACCAAGACCACAACTAGCAGCTAATTACGCGACTCGGATTAGTTTTTGCAGAAAGGTGGCTTAATGAGCGAACTACATTTTTGCGGTATTGGCTAGAGAGATTCCAGAGAAAAGTCTCTTTAAAAAATATGACTGATAAAATGCTAGAACTAGGGCATGTGTAGTTTCACTCGTTCTAAAGGAAATCCCTTTTAATGTTTAAGAATTAATTGGAAGTTGAAAGGGAAGGGGAGTCGGAAAAAATGTAAAAGGGGAGATAAAATGCTAATGACCTACATAGGTATATCTATAAATTATCTTAGTCGAGCAACTAAAGTAAGTATGTAGATAACCAAATTGGTTATATTTTATGTGAAGAACTGAATGGAAACAGAATGGAATTGTTACCTTTTTTTGTGTTAAGTTTTGTATATATTCTCAAAAACTACCCCAGTTAATATGCTAAAAAGATACCTTTTTTTTATAGCTTTCACACCTTGTTTTTAACCAATTTATTGCCTATCAATTCTTCAAATGATTGATGATAGCCTTCACTTCGCACTCAAAGAACCACATGGGACTAGGCTGAAACGGTGAAGTCCCCAACTAATCTAAATATTCTGATGAGTAACTATGCTTTGAAGCTCCACGCAAAAATCTTGTCATTTTCCCAATGGCATTCTTGGGTGCTGGAAATTTGTCAACTATGCGACCAACTTTAAAACCAGCGAATTGCCGAAATAAATGGCCGAGATGACTTTATGGCCAGCACTGCTGCACTTTGTCTCTAAACCAACGAGGAGCTGAAAACACTGGATCTGGCACAGGGGGAAAAAGGGAGCGAACCGAGGGAGTTCAAGTGTAGTTAGCCTCGGGGCTTTGGTATGCATTTAACATCCAGACCAGGACACGACTGGGGGGCAGGCCAAAAGTCCGGGGCAAGCTCGTTTTTTATGACTGACCTACAGAGAAAGAAAAGTTATTAAAGGTAAATGCCTTAAAAAAGAAGTTGATAACTCGCTTTTTCATAAGCACACATTTATATAATACTTAATGATATATTCATAGAAAGAATATTTAAATCTTTTATTTTTTTTAAACAATTTTAATATTTTTTCTCATGTGTAGAAATAGGGCGTGTGGGTGAGGATTGCGTTTTGGGTTCAAAGTGCGGGGACACCGCTTTTGAGCTACGTGACATGCATAGTTCATCGCTTTGGCCCGAGAGCACGGATGGAAAATATTGCAGTTGTGATATGTTTGAGCTCACTCGGATGTCCGGATGCGATGGCTTTTGCTTCGCTGCAACGCAACTCCGAGAGAGGTGCTAATGAAAATGGTTCAACTTTCAGGACAAATCGGAAATGGATATGCATCCCATGGTTGCTCAACCCCACATCCGCGTATGGCTAATTGCATGTTCCTTAATTAACCCAAAACACAATTGGTCTATAACATGATGCTTTTACCTTTAAATTTAACCCAACTCAAAATTCAGTTTAAGTTAAATGCGAGTTTTATGTCGTGCCCAAGAGCAGAGGGAGTCTGTTGTATTAATTTTTGAGAGTGGCAAACAAGCAAAACCAATTTGCGCCAAAAGTACAGAGTAACAGGAGCAGTTAATTTTAATTACGCACATAGCAGTATACAAGTTGCTGCTGCTGTGACAACGGGGCGTCTCAATTTGGACACCTTTCCCCTGAGAGAAGCACCAAACCACATAGCACACACACGCTCACCCACATCCTCATCTACATTCACATTCACGTCCACATTCACATCCAAATTGCCATTAAATGAGCGGAGGCGTGGTTGAGAATAAACGACAATGGCGTTTCTGCGGCCATGTGTGGAAAATGAGCTGGCGGCGGGAAATGAAGCCTCAATCGTTTCGAGGTGCAAAGCAACAAAACAAATTAATTTTCCAGGTGCACATTGCGGGCTCTGGGTTCCAAACTCGATGCCATACACGCGCATATGAACGGGAAACCTTGGGGGAAGATTACCAACTAAATTTCCACGCCCCTCTCAACTTTTAAATGAATTTCACTTCCGCTTTGCACCTTGCCATCCAGCTGAATGGAAAAGGTAAAATGCACAGCGGGAAAATTTTGTTTGCTTGTTGAATTTTAAATATGAATCCCTCTTTTAAGTTTGAACAAAATGTAAAAAATAATAAGAAAAATATGTTTAATCCTTAATAAATCGTTAAAGTTAATGAAAAAATTGCTTATTTTTGACCAGTTTTCAGCTTACATGGCTAAGCTTGAAGGTAAATCTTTCTGTAATACTTTACTTTCTTTGCCATCCAATTATTTCCAGTGCAGCACACATTTATGAAGTAACTGTTTGCTTTTGTAACTGCTGTAGATATAGCTACTGTGGATGTTGCCGCTGTAGATGTTGCTGCTGTGCGAGTATATGTTGCTGCCGGGTATGTTGCTCCTGTGCTCGCATTAGCAGCTGGCTTAGGCGAAAGAGAAACACGTGCATATGGATTTCCTTGGCACACTTTCGCGCTGAGCTTACGGATATATTACTTCTTCAGTGAAGTCCCAGAGCCAAGAGCCAAGAGGCAAGACAGTTAAAGACTGAGGATTGCATTTTACACAATATTCGTATTTTATTTTAAAACGTTCTTTTCTTTACACAAAGATTGCAGCTGCTTACAATACACTATGCAATACCTATGCTCATGGAATCATTTAAGGATATGACTTTCAAGGGCTCCCTATGGCGGAGGCTTTACTTTGCTTGGCATTTCTTAGCTCCTAACTAATCAACACTCATCCAACAACTTCGGCTGCAATCCCTCCCTTTTTCTATCAGTGTAATACATTTTGTTTTTATGGTGGAATAGAATTGTTAATCTGTATACATATATATATATTATATATACTCGCACTGTGGGTAAGTTTTGTGTTTGTTTTTCGTTTAAACATTTACATTTATGTAACTTTGAGTTGCAACCAGAATACGTAATACATAAATACCTGTACGCAGCTGTTGATTATATATATCTCATTAAATAGTTAGTGTAAGTACAAGGATTCTTCGTAATGAAAATGCAAGCGCAAAGTTTATTCAATCTGAAGAACGTATATCTGTAGAGTGTGCCTGATCAACTTGATCTATTTAGAGTACATAGGTTTGAAAAGCGTTCGAAAGTAGAGAGTTCTTTTGGAAAATTCGTGGGCCACTAAAAGATATTGATTTGAATTGAACCTATCTGATAAAATATCTATTAATTTTGATACCTCTCACTAAGTTAATCTAAATATCACTCGGTTTCGATCTGTATTCGGAATTACAGCATCCGCTCAGATGGAGGATCCGTAATGCTGACTTGGCGGCGAATCCTTGGCTTCGGGTTTCTTTTTTGGAGGGGGCTCTCATTTTCGTGATTCTGGAGGTTACACCTCTTCGTAGCTTTTGCACTTGGGCATCGGACCGGACCACCGGCCATCCGGTTCACATTTCGGCCGTTCGGGCGGACCCTCGTAACTCTGGACAAATCCGGGACGGCACTGGACACTCAGGTAATCTCCGGCATCGTAGTTAAACTTGAGCGGAGCTATCAGGCCGTTCGGCGGATCGCCGGGATAGGGGCACTGCGATTTGCCTGAGATCGTGGATGGTCAGTGGGCATGTCATGCGTGTATCAGGTTGTAATCAGGTTTCAGGTATCAGGTATGTTAATGATGATTCGTGATCGGTATCGAAATCGGTCGTTTGTTCAGCGGAAATACAACACAAGAGTCATTAATTGGGTTGGTCTGTGAGCGGGCCCACGAGGAGGAGGAGGATCGGTGGAGCGGTGGAGCGGTGCGCCGGCAATCTCTCGCAGCGCACGCATATACATATACGTGTCTATGTCAGTGAGTGTGTGAGTGAGTAGCGAGTCTACTTACAAAATGGCGGCGAGTGCGACCACTGTCCGTTCTCCGTGCAGATGATGCTCGACTCGCCCACCAGGCTGTGCCCATCGTTGCAGCTGAACGTTACCAGAGCGCCCACGGTGAGGCGCCTCTGGCTCAGACTGGTGCCCCCGATGCGTCCATTTAGCGGCGCCACTGGCATCACGCACTGAATGACTGTGAAGGGGTATCGATCGATGGATGGGGTGCACCAGTAATAGAGGGGAGTTCAAAAGTTAGTAAAAGATTATTAATTTGGAAAAAATCTAAATCTGTGGATATCCAAAAACTCAAAGGGTAGTTAACTTAAAGGTCACCGTAATTCTCATGACAATCCCCAATAGCTCACCTTTGCAACGCGGAACGGGGCCACTCCAGACGCCCGACGGCTCACAGTCCAGCTGCGCCGGTCCGGTCAGCTTGAAGCCCCACTGGCATTTGAACACCGCCCGCCCCCATGCCGAGGTGTTCAGCTCGATCAGGCTGAGATGGGGGTCGTCCAGCTCCAGGCGCGGACACTGGATGGCATGGCAGGTTGGCGTCGGCGATGACCAATTGCCGGAGGCCAAACAGGTGGCGTTCCAGGCGCCGTCCAGCCGGAAGCCCTCGGGGCACTCGTAGTGCGCCCGCTGGCCCAGCTTGTTGCCCTCGAGGCGCAGCTTGAGCGGCGCCAGCGGCTCTGTCAGCTGCGGACACGTCGAAGTGGCCACCACGACGGCAATACTGTTGGTTAGACCGCGAGGCGACGTGCAAGTAAAGGTTCCAGAGTCATTGTTCTCGATGTTCTTGATGCTCAGCCGATAGCGAACGGCCTTCTCCTCCTGAGCCGGGGACCATCCTGGGAATCACAGACTTGTATCTAATAGCTGTGCTATAAAAGATCAAGAGATGACCCACTCACCTGTAGAATACTGCATATACCAGCTGGTCCAGCTCCATTCCGGTGTACCCCTAACCCTCGGATACATGCAGTCCATGAGCACGGTGCTGTGGGGTGGAACGGCCATAACTCCCGAGGGTTCGAAAGAGTGGGAGCCATTAAAGATCTTGATACGGATCGAGGGAGCACTATCTTCCGAGTAGTTGGTCAAGACGGTGGTGGGCACACAGCTGGGCATGCGCGGTGCCCACAAGCCATTGGAGCAGAGGACCCTCGACTCCCCGAGGAGCTTGTAGATGCCCAGTTCCTGGCAGCGAGCCTGCAGAGAATGTCCATGCGGCAGATCCCATCCCACATTCTGAGGCAAGGGGCAAATCGCAAGCAAGCAGTGAGGTAAAAGCGAAAGGGTGCAGATAGTTTTTTGTTTATTTTTTTTTATTGGGAGAGAAAAATAAAGCAAATAGAGAAGAAAAAGAGAGAGAGAGAAAGTGGAGAAAGTTATCAAAAAATCAGATGCTCCCGCGTTTTGGGAAATTGGCGCTGGTTGCTCTTGGGTGCAGTTCATCGCGTTCGGCAATCTCCGTGTGCGAGTATCAGAGTGTATCTTGTATCTTGTGATTTGTATCTTTCAAGTTGTAATTTGTATCTTTTATCTGGCATTCACTCCCTGTTGTTGGGTGTTTGGTTGGGATGGTATTCTGTGTGTTTTACTATGTTTGTGTTTTTGGTTTTTGGTGCTTTTTGGTTGTGGATATCTTGTGGGTGCAATTCTACACAACAGCTACAACGACGACTCACAATTTCTGTATTTGAGAGAAGTGTCGATTTGGATAAGCGCGTTTTACGCCAGCCGCGATTTGGTGGGATCGGTGTCTGCAAGAGAGAGAATCAGAGAGTACCAAAAAAACACACATACTGTAGAGAATCGTTTTCGTTTTCGTTTTTTTTTTTTTTTTTTTTTTTTTTTTTTTTGGCCCGATTTTGCTCGAGCTTCGGCATGCAGATGGCTTGATCGCTGGATTTTTTTTTTAATTTGAGATATTTGCGAGATTGATTTTTGGTGATTGGAGATTTTTATATTTTATCAGGCTGAGATGAGGATAGAGCGATAGAGACAGGTGCGAGTAGACAGAGACAGGCAGAGGCGCAGGCAGGCAGAGAGAGAGAGAGAGAGCTAGAGTAGATCGAAGCTGAGATCCCCTCGCAAAAGCAATCGTGACATTGACATGGTCGCAGGAAATCTCCGGAAATCTATAAGACTTATATGCATGTACGAGTAGTTCTGGGTGTACCGGTGTGCGTGTGCTTTGCATGTATATGTTAGTGTTGTTGTGCTGTGGTGGATCTGGTGGTGGTGGTGGTGGTGGTGCGGCAGCCAGCTGACCCGACGACGGGTACGTCGACCTCTAACCACTTACCACTGAAATGTTGCGGTAGCTGAGCAGCAAGTGCGACGGTATCCGGTTCACATGGCAACTTTTGTATAGCGGCTGAAACTTGACATTCCCATTACTGTCTGTGGGATGCGATATATATATAGAATCGGTGCAAGAAGAAGAAATATCATACCAAAGGTTACTTTTACGTCTCTTAAAACCAAATATGATGGAGTGTGGTTATTAAGATTTGAATTTATAATCTAGATCATCTTTTATCTTGCATTTTGTATTCGTAAAGTTTTTCTTAACGGAAAACAACTTGAGATTATTATCGTTCTGATTAGGTAATACATATTAAAACAATAGGTTTAAAAATAAATGTGTAATGTGAAATTATTAGGCCGAAAAAAGTGCATGTTTAAGTACAATTGTGATTTCGAATAATATTTATAAAATTACAATCTTATTATCTGTTGTTATAATCCAAAAAACCCACCAGCGGTTGTAAAATAATAAGTGATACACCAAAAAGAATTCCACTTAAATCATAAAAATGGGTAGAAAAGTATATAAACTGATTATTAATTCTTTCTTTTCAATTGCAAACACAAGATAGTATATTATTTATTACTTCAATGAAAGGCAATCCAATTGATAAACCGACTCTTTTAATTAAAACTTTAAAATGAATGGAATTAAGATACATCATACACTTGTCGCTGTGTACTTTTAGTTGGCGAGAATATTAATTGGGTTAAAATGAAACAACAATCTGATTGTGAGCTGCATTCGCTTGTGTACTGATTGTGTTGTCTTTATTTGCGCACGTAAATAAATGAATTCGCAACTGTTTGTGTGGCTTAAGTGTAACTGTAATTGGAGCTATGTATCTGCAACTGCAACTAAGTATCTTTGTATATGTGTGTGTGTGTATGTGTCTGTGTTTGTATACTGCAATACTATAATATTTAATGGTGCACTGTTGTTGTGGGCGTGTGAGGTGGTGGTAAGTAGAGGTGGCAGGTGGTGATAGCTCACTTACCCTCCTCGTTGGTGGCGCACAACGGACCCACCCACTTGCCCTTGACACATCGGATCTTGCATAGCCGCCGATCACCCATGGGTCCGATCTCGCCCGGAAACCGAATCTCGGACACCTCAGTGAACTGCTGCAGGATGTCGACCTCTTCGTCCTCTTCCTCATCCTCGTCGAATTCCTGATCATCCGGATGGACGGGCGTGTAGCCAGCCTCCTCGTCGTAGATACCTAGATTTTCGAAGCGGGACGAGAAGAGCAGAAGGTGTGGGCGTCGTGAGATGGGCAATGTACCATGCCAAGAAACAGGGGATTGGGTAGATAGACGTTCAGAGGGGGGATAGAGCAAATAGAGCAAGCATCTAATGAGCCGTCGAACGGCATGCGAATGAAATGAAAATGAAGATGAAGATGTAGATGAAGATGTTAATGAAGTGCCGCTGGACGATGAGCGATCTTCTTAATGCCCATGCACAGGTTGACCCCAAAAGACTCAACTCTCGAAAGTGCCAAAGAAAATCCTTGAGTTCGCCTCTTGGGCACACACATTAAGCCACGTTGAAGCCATGGAGTAGCCATCGAGAAACCACGAGACGTGCGAAAAGTGCTGCCAGCTGAAAACTTCAATGGGCTGCTCCAAGTGCTTAGATATGCATTAAAAGAAAACCAGAAGGCTGGCGAAGTGGCCACTTAACAGGATACAACTTCATTTCCCAGAAAAACCCCCTCAAAAGGCAGCACAAAAAATAAGGGAGATGTGAAAAGGCAGAGATAACACCAAAGATAATATTATGCTGGCTAATAGAAAATAGGGAAAAAAAAAGTATGGAGGGAACTAAAAAAAAGAAGCAGTAAAGGAGTCGGAGACGGAGATGGAGACGGATACGGACAAAAGGCTGTGTAGAAGCACCGGTCTCGCAACCCAAGGCAAACAAAAGGAGCCAAAACGGAAAATCATTCCGGCCAGAACAAAGGGCCAACCGGCAACGGACAACTCTCAACTCTGAACTCTAACCACGACAAAGATATGGACTAGCAAATAAACCATGACCACGCAGCACCGATGGCGAAAATGGGGTAATGAAAAGCCGTCAGAGAGGGTGAAAAGGCTATTACAAGGTGGTGGTGGGACAGGTTGTACAGGTGGCACCGGGTGCAGGTGTGAATTTGCTGGGGGATGAGCTATGAGCTGGCTGGGATGCGATGGTATGCGATACGATGGCTGTGGCTTTGGCTGTGACTGCGATTAGCTTTTACGAGTATGTTCGGTGTGTGTCCTCTGCTCTCAACTTCCGTTAATGTTCGGGTGTATTGGGTGTTTCGGGTGTATTTTGGGTGTTCGTGTGTGTACTCATGTGTGCTTCTGTTGGTTGAAATGCCCTTGCAAAAGCGGTTTCAATATTCGCCGTTAGACATTGTCAAAATGTTGTTACATTATAAAGCTTGAAAGCATGATGAAGCGCTGAAATAACTAGCCAGCCAGCCGGTCTTTTTGGGGAGTTTAAGTTGGCATGGGGGTTCACTTTTTACTGGCTCACTGGTCGTATACTTATTTTAAGGGACCATCGAGGGAAGTCACTAGGCGTATACTTGATTTTAGACTAGGAGTGATATTACTCAACTTTACCAACAGGATAATCTCAGAATATTTCTAACATTATTTTAATCAAATTTGTGAGAAAATTTGTTCAACTTTTATAAGTTGAATATTTTTAAGATTAAATCAAAACGCCTCGGAGCCAAAACGGACTTCTTAGAATTACTGTCACTTCGCGACCTATGGATAACCTTTGCAAGGGCACTTTCAGAGACGGACATACCGCCCTTTCACAGTGGGATTTGTGTGCGATCGGGCAGCGCGACACGGACGGACAGACAGACAACGAGACAGCGACAGCGACGGCAAATTCATCAAAGGCATTGGGCACTGTGGCATTGCCAGTGTCTGGCCGCCGTGCGGGCGCACACTTACCCTTGTCCTTGCGACTGGTGGTCTTGGAGCTGGAGTCGCCACCACCCTTCGGACGGCTCAGTGCACCCGTGGTCTTGCCGGACTTGCGCTTAACACGTTGCCACAACAGGGCCACTCGTGCACTGCTCGACTGATTTCCATATTGTTGGAGATCCTCCTCTTCTGGCTGGGGTTCCGGATCCGGCCCGATTCCGGACTCCGGTGGCAGCTGGCCGAGATCGCCCTTGGATTCGGTGCTGCGCCGTTGACGCCAACGCGGGCTCCGGTCACGCTGGTCGAGCTCTGCAGCGTGACTGTCCCCGCGTCGGCGGTGATGACCAATGGATTCTGGATGGTTTAGTTCCTGCTCTTCCTTTGGCCCTTCTTCAAGGACCTTCTTCTTGTTCTGTTCCTGTTTAAGGAGCTTTTTCTCATTCTTTAGGGATTCCTCCTCCTTCGGTACCTTCTTCTTGGGCTTCTTCTTAAGGAGCTTGGTGCACTTTTCCTTGTCTCCCTCAGCCAGGCATTTGTTAAGTCTGGCCTTCATCTTAAGCTTGTGTAGTTTCGATTTCAATTCTCGATTAGGTTCACGACTCTTTAGGATGTCAGCTATATGAACATAATAAACATCTCCCTCGGCGGCCAGTTTACTCCCAGCCCATCGATCTGTCTCCGGTGAGGCTTCTGTATCATGGAGGATGGCATGGCGCTTATATCGACTGCCACGTCCCCTGCCCGTCTGTCCATTTTCATTTTCAATTCGCCGGCGACGTCCGGAACCAGCACGTCGACGTTTTCCCTGTTTTCGATTAGCATTCAAACGCTTATCCTCCGGATCACCATGATGATCATCATCCTCATCACCGAGATCATCGTCACCAACCAAACTGGCAGCCGCATCGCCAACATGCAAATGGTCATCGCCCAGGTCGAGGGAATACGGATTAATTACGGCCGCATGATTCTCGTTTGGATGACGCGGCACCGAGTCCACGAACTCCACGTCCGCTGTGGTGAAGTCCTCGGGCAGGTAGACCTGCGTGGTCTCGAATTTGGCCAGCGGCTGCTCCGTCGTTGCTTCCGGCTTGACAATCGTGAAGCGCACATCCGGTGCCCGACAGCCCGGTGAGGCATCTGTGGATGGATAATGGAAAATGGGAAATAAGAACACTTGGAAAAAAATCAGTTATCATTTAAGGAGATTCAGTTAATAATTTCAGTTTATTAAACTAATTAACTATCTCCGATTTAAATATTGTTATGAAAAAGATTATATAAAATCATTTTTCCGTATATATATAATATAGAGTCGACGGCCACCGCCGTTATTAATAGTACTATCGCATGTTTAGCTTAATTAGTAAACTATTTAATTACCAGAAAAATAAAGTTGTTAGCCAACAAATACAATTAATAAAATTTCAAAATATATATCCAACTATATATCTGAATTAAATCATGAAAACTAATAGCAAACTTTGGTTATCGATTCTTTGGCTCAGTGATGGGTTACCAAAACTTATTCCCTCAAGATTTTGGCTTGAGTAGAGGTAATGCAATTTCCAGACTGGCAGGAACTCTTGCCATAAATATTTCATATGTGATCTAATTTAATAACTTGGCCTGGCTGGCTGGTAAGAACTTTCCACTTGACGTCGCCAGACTTTGAGTGCCATCGAAATTGCAAATTTCCAATATGCATTTGGCATGCAGGCAAGTAATCAGGGGGTGGGAATTGCGTGGCAAGCAAGCAGGAAGGTCGTGGCTCAAACGCACAGTTCAAGTTTCAATTTTACATGAGAGGTTGAAGGCAAGGAGCAACTCGAGCAGAAACAGAGTCAGACTCTTGGAATCAGAATCAGAACCAGGATTTCAGGGGCCTCAGTTGCAGCAGTGGAGGGCAAAAGTCGTGGCAACATTTTCCACCATTTCCATCTCTAGTCAGCTTTCCGTAATCGCCAAAGGCAGTATTAAAGTTTTCCCCAGCTCTACAGCTCTCCCGCTTTTCGCTTTTTCCGTTTTCTTCCGTAAAGTGTCATGTACTTTGTCAGAAAGTAGGTCGTTTGATATATACTATGTAGGACAGGGAAATGGAATCACTGAATTCTTTGTAATTGATGAAATGCAATCGCCAATTAGCTGTTGATGCAAATGCAACGGAATAGCAAAGGAAGAATATGCCATGACCATCGGGCATTGGCACTTAGTTAATTGAAATTGAGTAAAAGATACATTTATTTGTTAGCTAAATGAAAGAGAGAGAGAGAGATTATCAAAAGAACACTTTTTGAAACTAACACTAAACTAACTTCAAGTTTTGAAAGGGTCTACCTCTTAGTAACAAGCGACATATACTGATTACCAGAAATAATTTACCCGCCAATAACCCAAATGCACTTTTATTACTACAATTACTTAGTTGATCTTATCTAACTAAATAGACGGACAAATAGCCAAACGAAAGACAGAAGAATACCTTTGTGATACCCTTTCAATTTAAGCGATTACAATTAATTTGATATATCGATAAAAGCGCGCGTAGTGAAGTCGATGTGAACTTCCAACCAGCTGAGCGAGTGAGCATGTATGAATTGCGCTGGGCATTGTTTATGGCCTAAAGCGAAACCGGTCGATAGTACATTAAAAGCTCTTGGGCACGAGAGATAAAAACCGAAAATCAAAACAGTGCTCAGAGTGAGGCCCAACGATCCAGGTCGACCACGATGATTTGGCTTTTATTCGTTTCGTTTGCCATCAGCGTGCTCGTTCACTGGCTCTATAAGGTAAACAAAGATTACTGCATCCTGGCTTTCTTCGCCCGGAGAGTTCGAACTAAGGATGGAAGTCCCGTGGAGAGTGTAGTACCCATACCCAAGGGCGCCACTTTATTCGCTAACTGCTTTGATATGTATGGAAAAAACCCAGGTGAGAAAATAGTGAACTTTCTCATCAAGTAGCTTATCATGTCATTCTCTGTTTTGATTTTTAGTTGAAGTTTTTAGCTACTCTCGGAAGTTAGCTAAGAGTTTCAGTAATAGCTATGTTGCTTATAGCTTTGGATTACCCAATTTTCACGTTACCGATGCCCATAATGCAGGGAATGTACTTAGCGATCCGAAACTGATTACCAAGAGTTTTACTTACAAGTTTCTACAACCATTAATAAGGACTGGAGTGTTGACATCGACAGGTTGGACTTTTACCTTTATAGGAAAGCATGGTTTAACTTCATATATTACAGAAAACAAATGGCACACTCGGCGGAATATGCTTGCTAGGACTTTCCACATCGATATATTAAACCAGTTCCAACAGATATTTATGTAAGTGCTGATAATGCGATTGTTGATTATTAATTTTAACTCTTTTACCATTACAAGTGCGGAGAGTTTAAAGTTCATTCACCAATTCAAAGACCAAAATGAGTGCATTGTGTCTCTGAGAGACGACATAGCCAGATTCACCTTGAACAGTATATGTGGTAATTCAAAAAATATAATAATAACTGATTTTTTGAGTAATATCTCTATTTTTTAATAGAAACTGCCATGGGGGTTAAGCTAGACGAAATGGCTGAGAAGGGCGATTGCTACAGGGAAAACTTCCAAAAAATGAATGAAGGATTTATTAGGCGATTAAGCAATCCCTTTTATTGGTACGATTGCGTATACAACCTATTTATAGCCCACGAAAATGCCCCAATTCAGAAAGCGATTCACGATTTTTCCACCGAAATAATCGCCAAACGAAGAGTTCTTTTAGAAGAAGAGCTGGACTATAGGCGTGCTACACAAACGGCAGATGATGATATGTGAGTTTGATCTAAAGTTATCTACCGCTACAGATTAACTCCTTTCTTGTCTAAAACAGATGCGTTGCCAGGAACAAACCTTTTGCCATGCTGGACACTTTGATATGCGCGGAGAAAGATGGACTCATCGACAATATTGGCATTTGTGAGGAGGTGGACACTCTGATGGCTGAAGGTTATCATACAACTTATGTTGGTCTCGTCTTTGGCCTTTTGAATATGTCACTTTATGCTGAAGAACAGGAACACTGCTATCAAGAGATTGAGGCCCACATAAGTGGTAAGGATCATCAGAATATTCTTTAATCTTTTCTAATTACTCTTCCATTTCAGACGACCTCAGCAACCTGAATATCTGTCAATTAAATAAACTGCGGCACTTGGACTACTTTTTAAAGGAGACCATGCGCCTTTATCCCTCCCTTCCCATGATTGGTCGTCAGACAATACAGGAAACTGAGCTAGCCAATGGTTTGATATTGCCTAAGGGTACTCAGGTTAATATACATGTCATAGACATTCACCGAAATGAAAAGTACTGGGACTCTCCTAAAGAATTTCGTCCAGAAAGATTTCTGCCTGAGAACTGCCAGAAACGGCATCCATACGCCTTCATTCCATTCAGTGCTGGGCAAAGAAACTGCATAGGTAAGGGAAAATGTCTTGGAAATTTCGCATTTTCATGTTATTTATCACCCAAATAGGTCAGAAGTATGCCATGCAGCAGATGAAAACCCTAATAGCTGTCGTTCTCAAGCATTTCAAGATCTTGCCACTTACTGAGGCCAAGTCCATTGTCTTCCAATCGGCAGCAACTTTAAGCTTCAAAAACCAAATACAAGTCAAGCTAGTAAGACGGAAGTGTGAATAATGGTTATAAATATAAGGAAACTACTATAAATAGAAGCACTGTGTTAATTCGGTTTAAGTAGTTTACTCATGCTTAATTGCAACTCATTAAAATAAGAAGATAAAAATACACTTCGGAGAAATGATTGATTGGTTCCCAAAAACCATATAAACCGATAGCCATTGGAATCTCAAGCATTAAAGCTTAACTAGAGTTATAATAAAATTGAAGTTAAGTCATTAAATAAACATTAACTTAAGCGATAACTTAGTAACTAAACTAACCTATCGATTAAAACTAGTCGCTCACATTAAAAACTCATTGGGTTACCGTGACCTGATAAGGCAATCAGCTGAGCGAACGAACATACAAACATAAATAAATATATGTTTATAGATCCGAATCTAATCTGTTCTGGTCGGGTGTTGTTTTGTGTTGTTGATAATAAAAAGCTCGCGCGAGAGCTAAAAAACCGAAAATCCAAACAGTTCTGAGAGTGAAGCCCGCCGATCCAGTTCGCCAGCGATGATTTGTCTTTTATGGCTCTCCGTCGCCTTAAGCGTGCTTCTCCATTGGATCTATAAGGTAAACAAAGATTACTGCATCTTGGCCGGTTTTGCCAGGAGAGTTAGGACCAAGGATGGCAAGCCCCTGAAGAGCAGAGTAACCATTATCGATGGTTTAACAATTTTTGGGAACTGCTTAGATCTTTATGGAAAAGACGCTGGTGAGTAATTGGTAAACCGTGACTTCAGGTTTCTTATCTTCATATACCGCCTCTTTCCCTGTTTTAATGGATTCATTAGGCGAAGTGTTTAATTACTTAAGACAGTTGGCGAAGAAAACTGGCAATAGTTATCTTCAATATGCCATGGGCTTTTCAAGTTACAACGTTGTTGATGCCCATAATGCAGCCAATATACTGAACCATCCAAATCTGATAACCAAGAGTGCTATATATAATTTTCTTCATCCATTTTTGAGGACTGGCGTTCTAACGGCAACAGGTGAGATTTGAAATTATGCCATTCAGTTTTGTCTACTATTTTGTATTTCAGAAAAGAAATGGCATAAAAGACGAGGTATGCTTACTAGGACCTTCCATGTGGATATATTGAATCAGTTCCAAGAGATCTTTATGTTAGTTTTTTCCTAATCTATATATAAAAACCTGTATACCACTCTCCATTATATATTTTACTCTTTTTAGAGCGGAGAGCTTAAAATTCATTCATCAGTTCGATGGTCAAAATGAGTGTGCAGTCTCTCTGAAAGACCGGATATCCAGATTTACTCTGAACAGCATTTGTGGTACTTATAATATTTATTATTTAAGATGATTAGCTAACAATTAGAGATTTCCCAAATAGAAACTGCCATGGGTGTTAGGCTAGATGAAATGGCTGAGGAGGGCGATCGTTACAGAGAGAGCTTCCACCGAATCGACGAAGGTTTTACTAGGCGTTTAAGTAATCCTCTCTATTGGGATGATTTCGTTTACAATCTGTTTGCTGCCCGGGAAAACGCCTTAGCTATTAAGGTAGTTCACGCGTTTTCCAGTGAGATTATCGCCAAACGCAGAGTTCTCTTGGAAGAAGAGCTTGATTATAGGCGAGCCACTCAGACGGCTGACGATGATATGTGAGTCTATGTCGAAATAACTTAAGCTCATTGATTAACTTGTTTCTTTTGTAAAACAGATGCGGAGCTCGGAATAAGCCTTTTGCCATGCTGGACACTTTGATTTGTGCTGAGAAAGATGGACTCATCGACCATATTGGCATTTGCGAGGAGGTGGACACTCTGATGGCCGAAGGTTACGATGTTACCTGCGTTGGTCTGGTCTTTGGTCTGAGGAATATGTCCCTTTATGCTGAACATCAGGAACGCTGTTATCAGGAGATTCAAGAGCATATTGCAGGTAACATCCATAAGTGATAAAATCTAAAAATATATATAGCCTAATATCTAAACCTCTTCAGACGACTTGAGCAACCTGAACATAAGCCAACTGAATAAACTTAGTCACCTAAACAACTTCCTTAAGGAAACTTTGCGACTGTATCCTCCTATTCCCATTATGGGTCGTCAGACTATACAGGAAACCGAGTTGGATAATGGTTTAATCCTGCCAAAGCGTTCTCAGGTTAATATACATGTCTTTGACATACATCGCAATCCAAAGTATTGGGACTCTCCCGAAGAGTTCCGACCAGAAAGATTCCTGCCAGAGAACTGCCAGAAACGGCATCCATACGCCTTCATTCCATTCAGTGCTGGACAAAGAAACTGCATAGGTAAGTAAAAATGTCTAGCAAATTTCCTATTTTCATTCAATCGTTTGACCACACAGGTCAGAAGTATGCCATGCAGCAGATGAAAACCCTGATAGTGGTCATTCTCAAGCATTTCAAGATTCTGCCAGATATCGATCCGCAATCCATTGTCTTTCAAATGGGTATAACCTTGCGCTTCAAAAATAATATAAAAGTCAAGCTTGTAAGGCGGAACTGCGTCTAGTGTTCATTGATTTTAGGTTATTCCATTAACATATATGCATACTCACTAAGTGCCAATTAGTTTTAAGTACTTTGCTAATCATCAATGACTAATTGACCCTGACTTTGTAATGGCCAAGAAATTTTATAAGCTAGATTTTGTATTTCGATTTAAAACAAGTCCAATCTTTATAATAAATGTAGCAGAAAATATGTCAATGAAAAAATTAAATATGTACTATTATTAACCGGTTTATGTATGGACAAGCAAAACGTTGTTCTAAGCTGCTACTTGAGTTATCAATCCAAACATCATATTAATGATAGGTGCACACGACCACAAATCGGGTCTAGCGGAGCGTAAATATATCACTATAATATATATATATATATAGTTGCAATCTAATCATTTTTGGTTGTTTATATATGTGTTATTGTTGCCTATGAAACCGGCTGAGAGTAAAAGCTACCCCCATGTTTGAGAATGTTCGGTGTGATCAGTTTGTTGGGAGAATTCCGTGGGAAAGGTTGTGCAACGATGATAATCTTATGGCTAGTGATTGGGATCAGTGCTCTGGTGCACTGGCTTTTTAAAATCAACAAGGATTACCACATTCTAGCCTTCTTCTCCAGAAGAGTTACTGCGAAAGATGGCAAGCTTGTGGAAAGCATCGCACCCACGCCCAAGGGTAGAACCATATTCGCCAATACCTTCGACTTGTACGGCAGAGATCACGGTGAGTAAATGCTGAACTTTGACTCTAATTTCATATATCAGGGGCAGTAATCATTACAAGCCTCATTCATAAAAATTGAACTGTAATCATCACGAATGATTTTCGTTGATTTTTGCTTAGTAAGAATGATTAATCAAAAAAAACAAATATCACACGAAGAACGATTTTCAATCTGTTTTAAAGAAATGTTTGAGCAGCGAAATGTTAGATAGCTAGAACATATCAATAAACAAAAACGAAAGTTATGTCCAACCAAGAAGGTATAAGTTAGGTATTTTTCTTATCGCAATCAGTCTGTAAAAGAAATTTCTTATTTAACGAGTCATCATTCCTCAGCATAATATGAAAAAAACAAAAAGTTTATAGCTTAATTATTATTACTTAGCAGTATCTTAGTAGGTCTTATAAAAAAGATTATATTCTGAGAAACTCGATAACAATTTTAAACAATTATTTTCAAGAAAATGGAAAACCAATAATATTTAATAAGTTATTATCAGGGCGAATTTTGAAAGATTATCTAAGTGATAACCGAGTGGTTAATTTCTCTATTAAGTGCAAGATTATAAAAATCCATATATGGATTATTTTTAAAGTAGATTATATACTCGTACCTACCTAATTTTAATTACTTTTAAAAAATATTTAGCTGGTGTTTTTGATCACTCCCGTGAACGTGCAAAACAAATGGGTACCAGCTACATTGAATATGCAATGGGAACGGCCATTTACAATGTAATTGATGCCGATAGCGCGGAAAATGTACTGAATCATCCCAATCTGATAACCAAGGGACTTGTCTACAAGTTCCTGCATCCATTTCTTAGGACTGGGTTATTGACATCGACTGGTGAGTTCTAAATTGGTTTCCTAACTTGGTTTTCCTAAATATCTTAAATTGCAGGGAAAAAATGGCATGCCCGTAGGAAGACGCTTACTCCTACGTTCCACTTTAATATTTTAAATCAATTCCAGGAGATCTTCAAGTAAGTTTACTTGATATAATATTATATTTCAAAATTACTATTAAAATTATGGTTCTCAGAACGGAAAGTTTTAAGTTTCTCCAACAATTCGAGGGTCAAGATGACATAACCATAACATTACACGATGTCATTCCAAGATTTACTCTGAACAGTATTTGTGGTGAGTTTAAATTACTCAGAAATTATTATGATTATTAATATCCTATATCTACAGAGACCGCCATGGGCGTAAAGCTGGATGAGATGGCCGAGAAGGGCGATCGCTACCGGGAAAACTTCAGTCAGATTGAAGAATGTTTCATTCGCCGTTTAAGTAACCCACTTCTGTGGGGCGATACTGTCTTTAACTTGTTTGCAGCCAAAGATTACGCCGCTGCCCTCGATGTGGTGCACAGTTTTTCCAGTGAGATTATAGCTAAGAGGAGAGTTTTGCTGAAGGATGAGTTAGACAACAGAAGCGCCAACCAGTCCGCCGATGATGAAATGTAAGAGCATTACCTGAGTTAGCTTTAAGAAGTATTTACACCTCTCATTACTATAGATTCAACACCAAGAAGCGTTTTGCCATGCTGGATACTTTAATTCATGCCGAGAAAGATGGCCTTATCGACCACATTGGTATTTGTGAGGAAGTGGACACTCTCATGTTCGAGGGTTATGATACCACCTCAATTGGTCTAATCTTTGGTTTGATGAATATGTCTTTGAATGCTGACAAACAAGAACTGTGCTTTAAGGAAATCCAAGAGCACATTGATGGTAAGTTAAGTTAAGAACAAAATCATCTTTAAACCATTTAAATACTTTTAGATGACCTATCCAACTTGGATGTAAGTCAATTGAACAAGCTCAAGTACCTGGAGTACTTTATGAAGGAAACCATGCGACTGTTTCCCTCAGTTCCCATTATGGGTCGTGAAGCAGTTCAGGAAACGGAACTGGCCAATGGTCTCATCTTGCCAAAGGGTTCTCAGATAACCATTCATGTTTTTGACATCCACCGTAACACCAAGTACTGGGATTCCCCTGAAGAGTTCCGTCCGGAGAGATTCCTACCCGAAAATGTACAAAACCGTCACACCTACGCCTATGTTCCATTCAGTGCTGGTCAAAGAAATTGCATTGGTAAGTGAAATTATCTTAAACTTTAGTCATATAACATTAATAAACAATCTTTTCGTAGGTCAAAAGTATGCCATGCAGGAGATGAAAACCCTAATGGTGGCTCTTCTCAAGCAATTCAAGATTTTGCCAGCTATCGATCCCAAAAAGATCATTTTCCACACGGGAATAACTCTGCGAACTCAAAACAAGATCAGAGTAAAGCTTGTGCGAAGGAAATAAAGTTAGCTATTTAAGAAGTTTATATATCTAATAGATATATACTACCATGTTTTGTATATAATGACAAAAAATTAAACAATAAAAATCATTAAATTCGAAAATAAACGCTTTTTAATTGTAGAACAAAAACTTTTCCAGTGCTTCTAATTAAACAACAAAGCCGAGACCCTATAATTTGTTTGTGAACTCAAACAAATATTCACACATACAACAATACATATATATATGCAAATAACAATCTAATCTGTTTCTGCTTTTATACCGCTAATTTTGTATATAAAACCGGATGATGGTGCTTCCAGTGATCAGTTTGGTGAGATAGATCCGTGGGTGCGGTTGTTCAAAAATGATAATCTTGTTGCTCATCGGAGCATTGGGTTTACTGATACCATGGATATATAAGCTTAATAAAGACTACTGCATTCTTGCGTTCTTTGCCAAAAGAGTTCGAACGAAGGATGGAATGCCTTTGGAAATGGTAGCTCCCTTGGTCAAGGGTAGCACCATATTTGGCAACAGCTTTGACTTGTACGGCGTAGATCACTGTAAGTTATTAAGAAGCTTTATATTCTCTAAGCTTATCTATGCTCTATGGCTCTGTCTCTCTTTATTCTAATTTCTAACAGCTGGTGTTTTTGATCACTCTCGTGATTGTGCTAAGAAAATGGGTAAGAGCTACTTTGAGTATGTGATGGGAACAGCCATTTACAATGTTATCGACGCGGTTAATGCGGAACATGTACTTAATGATCCGAATCTTATAAACAAGGCAATTGTTTACAATTTTCTGCAGCCATTTCTGAGAACTGGTTTGTTGACATCCACAGGTGAGTTTTGAGTTTTGTTTGCTTTTTATTTTCTATTAACTTATGGATTTTAGGCAAGAAATGGCATGCACGTCGGAAGATGCTGACTCCCACCTTTCATTTCAATATTTTGAATCAGTTTCAGGAGGTCTTCAAGTGAGTTAAGAAAACTTGTTTAATGCATATTAAGAATTTATTTGTACAGAACGGAGAGTCTGAAGTTCCTACAGCAATTCAAGGGTCAAGATGAGACAACAATCTCGTTGAATGATGTTATACCCAGATTCACTTTGAACAGTATTTGTGGTGGGTTTGTAAAATTTCGAAAATTTTAACTTCCTTTCAATTTTATTATCAAACATCTGCAGAAACGGCCATGGGTGTTAAGCTGGATGAGTTGGCCGAGAAGGGCGATCGCTACCGGGAAAACTTTAGCGAGATTGAAAAATGTTTCATTCGTCGCGTAACTAACCCACTCTTGTGGGGAGAAACCCTGTTCAACATGTTTGCAGCCAAGGACTATGCTTCTGCCCTCGATGTGGTCCATGGATTTTCAAGTGAGATTATTGCTAAGAGGAGAGTTTTGCTGGAGGATGAGCTAGCCGACAAACAGGGCCCCCAAACAACGGATGATGATCTGTAAAAACATCACTTGAATGATTTTGAGAAAGTTATATATTCTTCTTTTCCTACAGCTTCACGACCAAAAAGCGGTTTGCCATGCTAGACACCTTAATTCACGCTGAAAAGGATGGTCTCATTGATCACATTGGGATTTGTGAGGAAGTGGACACTCTTATGTTTGAGGGTTATGACACCACCTCAATTGGCCTTACTTTTGGACTGATGAATATGTCCTTGTATCCTGATAAGCAGGAAATATGCTTTCAGGAGATCCAGGAGCACATAGATGGTAAGTTAGGAAAGTAATACAAACGTTTTTAAACCTTTTCTGTCTTCAGATGACTTGGACAACTTGAACATCAGTCAGTTAAATAAACTAAAGTACCTGGAAAACTTTGTTAAGGAGACTATGCGTCTATTTCCTTCTGTTCCCGGCATGGGCAGAGAAACTAATAGAGAAACGGAGCTGACGAATGGTCTGATCCTGCCAAAGGGTTCTCAAATTGTTGTACATGTTTTTGACATTCATCGCAATCCCGAATACTGGGATTCACCTGATGAGTTCCGTCCGGAGAGATTCTTTCCAGAGAATTCCCAAAACCGACACACCTACGCCTATATTCCTTTCAGTGCTGGCCAAAGAAATTGCATTGGTAAGTGATTTAAACTTATAATATATAATTGTTTGTTATCTTATTCTTCATTTAGGTCAAAAGTATGCCATGCAGGAGATGAAAACCCTACTGGTAGCAGTCCTGAAACAGTTTCAGGTCCTACCAGTTACTGATCCGAAGAGCATTGTCTTTCAAACTGGAATAACTCTGCGAACCCAGAACAAAATTCACGTGAAGCTCGTCAGAAGAAAGTGATTTAGCTTTAAAGGCAACTCTTTCAAGGAACTCTGTTAATCATAAAATGCAATGTACAGCGCTTTTATCCAAAGACTCCTTTCTATGCTTTAGTGTAAAAAAGTCTCTGTGACTGGCTTATGGCCGATAATCGTTGGCATCTCGACAGCTGCCGCCCTATAAATCATTCATGCACTGTCGGGCAAAGGCAGTTCCAGTTTCCTTTTATTCCTATACCTTCTACCAACTACCATTTTCCACACACAGCGGGAGATCTCTGTCATTTTCCTTTGCTTTAGTTTTGAGTGAGCCCAGGAAAAGTCAAGTAATCTGTGTCTCTGGGCTCACACATACTCACGTCTAGGAATGCAAATGCATAATGCGCTGGCGACTTTTTGTCATTTGGTTTCTTTTACTCGGCTTCTGTTCAGGATTCTTTCTGCTTTCCCACTCCTTTTTGCTTTAACTGCGATTTTGACAGTTCGTTACTCGGTTATACCATTTGCATGCATAATGCAGATTCAGCTTTGTTCTAAGCACATAAAATGTGGCAAAGAGACATGTGACCATGGGCTTGCAAAATGCACGAGTTGTGTGCACTCGGAGAAGTTTTTAAGCCTTTCTAAATCAATTCTAACTTTCTTTAGATGGCTCTTAATTGCTTAACAATACCTTTTCAAACTTTCTTTTATTATCAATATCAATGTGGTGTACCTCTCTTACGAAATATATCACCTGGTATCGTAGTTTTCCCAACTTAAATTGGTTTCTGTGAATCTATAGGGGATTCTCTCAAACGAACTATTGAATTGCCATATTTTTTATTGTGTGGCTGGCTGTGTGTGCCCTCTTGCAACATCATCATCCATCCTGGGGGCTCAGGATTTATGGGACAGGACATGGAAAATGGGTGAAACGGGAGCTCGGTTGGTCTGTCAGTTTTAGCTGCTACTTCGGTTATTGCATATTTCATCAGAGAAGCTCTCTGTGCCCGGGTTTCGTCGCCATAAGTCAACATTAAATGGATTCCATTTGTGAGTCATGTAAATTAAATTCCATTCGCTTTTATATGTGTTTGGATGTCTCGAAACTGAAACAGTCAGGCTTTGGTCCAAGGTTACCCCTATATATACTCGTATTTGGCACCCCTCACCTGACTGCCGAAAACTGCGCAACAAACGTGGAAGCTATAGACCAAAAAAAAAAAAAACAAAAAAATCAAAAAAAGAAGTCGCAATATCAGGCAGAAAAAGCAAACAAAAAAATTGCGCCGCACTTTTAGTTCTGTGAAGGCTAAAACCCCAAAAAGCTCAACAGCTGGTCCTGTCGATTTGGTAAAGGGAAATGAGAAGGCCACCGGAGGGATGGCCATGGCGGCAGAGTGAATTAATTACTTTATGCGCATCTGCGTGTCGTTGTCGGGCACTTTACACTTCCCCTATATCCTTTTGCCCCACATCCTGTCCAGCCTTTTTCCCCCCTAAATTCTTTCCTTTCGCAAAACTCACACATGACGCTATTAATTTCTATTACCAGCCTCAGACGGCCTGCCATAGTTCATTACGAGCTTTCGTGCAATTGCCTTTTGCTCGAGCTACCTTTCATTTGTTCTGTTTTTTACACTGAAAGAAAATTGAAAAATACAATTGGGAAAAGACAAGTAAAGCTGAATAAAGCATCTTCAAAACCATAAAGGCAATTTTCATAAATTATTACTTAGAATGGAAAGTTAAGGATATGTCCTTCTCATATAAAAAAACTAACTTGTATATAATTTTTTGATCAGGGATTTTCTCTCAGTGCATACGCTTTTCGCGCTGCCCTTGCTTGTTTGTTAACTCTGATTGGGATTAAGGTTGCCCATGGGTTCTCGGTTCGTTTTGATTGCCTTTGTGCCGCAGATGCCGTGAAATATTTCATTTGCTGCCAGTTATTTGCTTTTTCGCCCTGCAATTTCCCTGTTTCAAGTTTCATTTCTACTCCTGTTGTTTTTTTTTTGCCTTGCTTTTGCTTTTCTTTGGGATTTATTTTTTATTTGTTTCTCGGCTTGTGCGTGTGTGATAATCGCTACCTTAGAAGCATGAAGAAGGCATGGCAAGCCATTTAATAAAGTGCCTGGGCATCGAAGTAACCAAGAGTTTGAGCCTGTCATAATTTATTTACGATATTTTGGTTCATCCAGTCCGATTGAAGGTCAAACGGAAGGAAATGCACACACACACATACACACGTGTACCTTACAGGACAATTAAAACTACTCACCTGGCTCGGATGTGGTGCTGGTCTCTACGGGCTCCGTGTTGGCATTGCTTTTGTCCAAGACCAGCAGCAAAACGGTCAAGGATATTAGGGCCCAAAGCGGCTTATGGCGCATACGCTGCCTGCTCCACATGTCCAAGGATCAGATTGCAATTGCCAGAATTTTGGCTTTCTGTTTTTACAGTACTGAATATAACACCACTGCACTTCACGAGTTGGCTTTTAATGAAGCAAAAATAGAAATCCACTTGGCCAACTCACACAAGCACTGCTCACGTACACTCACACACCAAACAACTATATGCAACGTGTTCGTGCTTGTGTGTGTGTGTGTGTTTTTGGCTTTAAAGTTTCACTTTTATTTTCAGTCCTTTAACGTTTTTATCCTGTTTTCAAAGCTGAGAACCTCTCCTTTCGAGTGACGACAATCGAATGGCCCGAGTCCTGTGTGCCTCCGGCTTTTATACTGCTCGTTGGATTCTGCGCAGCTTCGGCTCCTCTTCGTTGAGTTGCATTCGGCTCTTGACGAAGGATCACACTCGACGATTACTCCGCCAAAGGATGTGTCACGTGCATTTTGCCGGCAAATCGTGTGTTTTTGTTTTGGTTTTGGCCCATGTTTTGCTTAGTTGCTGTTGCTGTTTTTCCTCTTTTCCGATTTTCCTCTCTTGCCGCTTTCGCTTTTTCGGTGTGTGCTGGTGTGCGTGCCCTTGTAACTCTCACGTAGCTTTCCTTTTTCCGCACACACACCCCATCCTTCCACGTGGCCATCCAGCTACAAATGAAGTTTTCCGCTTGCTTGCCACTTTGATTAAGTTACTTTCCAGTTTAAAACTAATTTAATTATACTTCCGTAATGCCGCTGAGATAAGTTTTTTTTACTTCGGCTGGGTATCAATCAGAGGAAATCGGTTAGGAAACTGATAGGAAAACTTAGTTGTGTTTTTCAATTGCCTAAAATCTGGTTATAGGTTTACACTTTGTAACAAATGTGTTTCTTTAGATATTTAAGTATTATAAGTTGACGAAAATACTATAAATGAGCTGGTGACTTCAATAACCAAATTAGAAAATTGGAGAAGACTTTATATTAGTAATATTAATATTATTATAAAATACCTTATTTTGTACAGTAACTGCAGGATCGAGTTAGACAAGTTTAACTGCGGACAAAGAGGACGGATAAATGGACTGCAATGGCCCCACCAGGATGACCATCATTCAGCCTTCTGCACCTGCTTTTGCCCAGAGAAGTATGCTATCAATTGTGCTGACGTCCGCTGTCTGCTGGCCTTTTCCTTTTGGCCAATAATCAAGCAGCAGTTGCGGTGATTTCAAAGCACTTGTGTTGCGGCTGGAGCTAAATGCCAACAGGCAACCAGGTTGCGGATACGACTTGGCCACTAATTACGCAAATGAATGCTCCAACAATGTTACCTCGTCCACGTCCTCATCCTGGTCATTGCTCCTCGTTCCCCTTGGCAAGATAAATGTCACTCCTTGGATGTACAAGCCGAGGCAAGACCTGGCCAAAAGCGTAACAATACCGTCTGGATATCTGTTGTCTGTCGCATTGAAATTTTGCTGAAATGCGAAATGCGAAACGCGCTCAACTCCAGTCGAGTGGAAAATGAATGTTTGTGTGCTGCATTCTCCCTGCTCAGCTGGAAATCCAATTGTGCAGCAGCATTATCTTTTGTGTATAATTTCAGACCACTGGACCCCAAACCCCTCCTGGCCCTCAAACCAAAAAGTTTGGAATGCAATCAGGCTGAAAATTTATACGTTTAGCATGTTTATCCTGCCTTCGGCAACAACGGCCTTTACAGCAAAATTCAATTTGCTGCCTGTGCAACCGCAGGCTGAAATTACATCTCTGGTATTTCGATTCGTTACGTTACTGACAAGCCGAAGGCTAATAACTGATGCTTTGCCTGGGCGCAAATGAAAATACATACGAGTTAGTGCAGCTGACAAGGTCGCAGGTTTTTGGCAAATTAAAATATTTGTTGCTTTTGTTTTTGCCTTCACACAGATTTAATTATTTAATCAAGACAATTACTGACTGGCTGTGAATCAAGATTAATATGCGAAAGATGCAACAAAATGATTAGAGATGCCTTAGAGCAATCAGAAGTGCTGATTGAATTTAATTCAAAAGGACAGTGTTTTCTTTATATAATATAATATATTTATCAAATGTAAAATGTAATTCCATTTAGGACATATTTTTCCCACTGCATTGCAGAGCAAACAATTATAAATTGCAAGTAAATCAATTGCTTCTTCACGCCATTTGCCAGATAGCTTTCCTAAGGGATAAACAAGGATACGCACTCGATGGCCAAGTCCTGGGATCTTGTCTTGTCATGCAATTATCGAGTTTTAATGAATTTTCGCGCAAAGTCAGAGGCAAAAAGCATTACAGAGAACTCCTACCAGCAGACACAAACGGAAAAGGAAGCGAGAAAGTTGCCAACTAATTACCCCAGGACACTTGGCACACAAAAAGCAGACGACCAAGGCAAATGCTCGAGTTAATTGCATTGCCAATGATGCGGCAAAAGTGTTTTGACGACCAGAAAGGCCATTAAGTCATTAAGACGCTCAAAATGTCATTAAAGAGCTGGCCAAAAACAATTATAATCTGAGTAAATCGCAGTAACAAATTCTTTTCGGGGGATCTCCCAATCTCGATACAAATATTTGCTTTCACGCTCATCATTCTAAAAGTGGAAAATTTTGTGGTAAAGTGGTGGCAAAAGAAAAAAGTTCTTGAAAGCTTCTTGTAATTAGGGCATATTCGCATTGAATTGCAAATGACATTAACCGGCATTTTCTGCTGGCCAAAAGTTTATCCCCAGCTGTCGGTTTGTTTGCCCAAAATGCTTAACGAGCCGAGGTCAGTGGGCAAATCAGAAGTGCCAGATGGAAATTCCCGCTGCAAATTAAATAACTGTCTAATTGGCAGCCGAATAAAATGTGCACAGGGCAGAGTTCAGTTGGCAGGGTAAAATAGCAAAACACAACTGACACGACCCAGCAATAAATCTCAATTGATCCCCCAGGTGCAATGGCTGTTTGGTCAATTAAAACTCCCCCGATGGCTTCCATTGAAGCCGTCCTTTGCATCCGCGGGATGCGGTGGGATGGTGAGCTGAATGTGTGGCAAATACGTTAAGTGGCAGCAACGAGCCACAACAATGACCGATCAACTGCCCCATGAACTGCATCAATCCCCCGGCGGTGGATTTCCCGACTTTTCGGGGCAAAAAAAAAACGCTTTTCCCGCGAAGGAAAGGAAATCAAACCAAACGGGATATATTTTCACTTGCAAAAAATAAATATAACTGTTGCGAAATCAACTGAATGGTTTTTATATATATGTTTAAGTAAGTTAAATGTACAAAAAAAATATTTTTTCCCTAAAAATAGTTAAGGCTAAGGTTCATTTACATTGCTATTTCAGACTTTCTACAATACTAGTCGAAAGTTGTGTTTAAAAGTTTATAAAACCACTTTTAATTAAAGTCCACCTAGAATCAAGCAATTGAAATTGAAAATGGCAACGAACAGAGCCCTGAACGCATGGAACTTGGCCATAAATGCTCCAATGGGCCATTTGCCGTGGAGCAATGGTTATGGCGAGAATAAAACCCAGCCAGTGCAAATAATATTGTGGCCAACTCCCGGGCTCAAGCCAGTTCCGGCCAGTGGCCAATGGCAGGACGAACTTTGGCCAGTAAACAGCATTAAGTAACCTCACGCACAGCGGGGTGAGTGTGTGTTATTGAAGCAACTGCCTTCGGTGTCCTTGTCGTCGCAGTGTAATTGCCATGGATGACTTGCCCCTGCCCCTTCTGCCCCTCTACTCATTCTGGCCAACTGGCATTGACAAGCTCCATAATGGCCATCGACCGACAACATCTGGTTTATGTTGCCATAGCCAGTTTGCGCTGACTTCGGTTCGGTTGGAGCAACAGAAACTTTGCTTCCTCGCATTGATTTCCAGGTAGTTGTACACACAGCCCCCCATCGAGAAGCCTAATTGAATATCGTTGGCATCCTGGCTCAAGCTCCAACCTGAAGGCTAAACTCGGTAAGTTGGAAAACATTGTTTTCTTTTTAAGACCTTTAATAGAGTTTTTATTATGTATTAGATAACTTACTTATTATGCCTTAAAGTGCATAATAAGTAAGTTATCTAATACAGGTATTACAGGGACTATGTCATACTTTAAATAATTTCAATACTTTTTCTGAAATTTTGTTCAATATACTTTCGTTTATCAAGAAAGCTCTACTGTAGTTTGCATGGGTCTGCGAATGACTGTTCTCCATATTTCAGTAAGCATAAGTTGCTTATCGCAGACGCCCATTGATATGCACATGTGGAAATCCCTTGGATGCGCCTGCCAAACCCTTATCACTTGGACCAGACGGCTAAAAGCTGGGAAAACTCCGGCAAGAGTACGGAAAATGGCTTGAAAACTGCTCAGCATGCATATCCCTCCAGCATGCCCTTCCTTCTCCGGCCAACTGCATCTACTTAGCATAATTTGTTGCCTCTTTCTTGTCCTTCGTTTACCGAGTTTCGAGTTGCGGATCTTGGGAATCGGGCGTCCTGTGCCTGTCAAGGACCCAAGTTGCGTTGCCAGTTTGTCTAGACAAAGACAATGTCTGCATACAAAGATTATGTTTTGATGGGACATTTAGGAGATAGTCAATTTGCAATTTTGGGAGTTTTTAGCATTCAAATGGATTAGAACTTTTTCCATTCTAAAATAAATGTGTGCTCAAAATATTTTTTGTTATTATTTGCTTATATATTATATATTTTTAATCCACTTTATATATATAATCATAAAAATATTAAACTCGCGCCAACATTTTAAACATTTTTGCGCTTTGCAGCACTAACAGGAGACTTAAATTAGTTTTCATGTAGGTGACAGCCCTACTCATCAGCTGTTGCGTTTTATGAACAAGTAAAGTTCAGCTGAAACATAATTTTATTTAAGAATCAATAAAAAATTATTTAGTATATTAAAAGCATAAATTATAAATTAAACTATATACTAATACACTCGGATCAAAAAAAAAGTTATAAAGCCATGGTAAGCGAACGCCTGTCAGCGGTTACTCTCAAACTGTACTGCATGTGTTTACCTTACAGTTGGAGTTCAATGACTTCCAAACTTCAAGCCCCGATGGTTTAACTGCCGCTTTGGGTTTTCGAATTTATAACGATTTGAGAAATGGTAAATAAACTGAATGTCCCTAAATAAGTAAATTATTGAGATATATTTTCTAGAAGACCAAAGTGCTGACTATGTGCCAAACTATGATACCAATCTGAAAGTGTTTTATTTAATCAATAAAGATAAAGCCTATGTACCCGTTCTTCACACAAAGGAAATCGACTTCCGAATTTTTAAGCCCTTACAAGAAAAGCTAAAAGAAATGTAGGTCTTAATTACACCGAAAAAACGACTTTTATTTATAAACCGATTCATTCCAAAACAGCAATATATTTCTGGCCATTGTGGACAACACAGGCAATACTTTGTATTACCAAATCAGCGATGGACTGTACGAAAAACCAATTAACAAAAACCCCATTTAAATAATAGCGATAGATACATTTATTCAAAATCATATCATAAATATAAGTTACAGTCACAACTTGAAGCTAAACAAAGTGACTGGACATGGACCAATCCGAATTGACAAATTTCAAATGAAATCGACGGTTATAGCCGCAAGCTGTGGGCATAATAATCGCAATAAAAATGACAATAGAAGATCTGCATTCTTTATACTCGTTTCGATTGGCATGAGGGGTGTACAATCGTTATCATAATTGTAATTATCAGTAATTCTTCTTCACATAATGATAGCTAAGACTACGTTTCAATAATCGATTATTACAAGCTTAAATCAAACTAAAAAATTACATTAAATATATGTATACCATAGATCTTAAGAGTATAACAATCTGAATGCATGCCATCGGTCAACGGGAACTCCAAATCTCATCCCGTTGAACAGTATTTTGTTTTTGATCCTCACATCTCGATTAAAGCATACCGCGCATACAAACAAATCATTTACAATCATCAATCTAACGTCGAATAAAAATGCTCAAAGCAATACAGTTTCTTGTATAATAGGTATAATAATAATAAATAACAAATGTTCGCGTGTGTGTATATGACGTAAAAAATATGTTAAAATTATAACACAACTCGGGCAATGGGCTGGGGAGTTGATAAAAAGCGCAAGGCAATTTACAGAGCTTACATGTTAAAACTGTAAATATATTTTACTTTTCTCTCACTTTACTAGATAAATATGTCGTATAGAAGATGAGCTCGTTTAGCAAGACGATTCCTGGGATGTGCATGCAATATATGTTATGTATAAAATATATCCTTTGTTCTTGTATGTCGATTATATGAAAATATGTTGCAATGATTGCTCGCTCTTGGGGTGTAAACATACTGCTCATCTATAAAATCTATTTAGATCGGGTCTTACAAAAAAACTGTCCAAAACTACAACTTTGCGTTTAAGGCTTTCCTAGGGTTTGTCAGACTATTCAATGCGTTCTCGTATTAGGAAAAGGAAACGACTCTATTTGCTGTACAACAATGCTATGATTACGTGGGATGATTTCTAGTGGGGGCTGTGTTATCTGAACTGGCTGGCTGGATGGATGATTGACAAATGCGCTTGCTTTGCCACAAAGTGGACAACTAGTAGGTAATTTGGTTTATGTTGGTCTCTCGGCCAGTGAGCAACACTCAAAAGTTCTCTCATTAATAGATATATTTTCTATATAGATACTGTTTATAAATATATATGTCCTGTATCTGCATGATCATGTTGTCTTCGTATTGTATAAATATTGAACTCACATCGACTAAACCAAGTAAAATTACTCGAAACCAACTTCGTACACAAGTAAAAGCAAAAGACAAAGGCTATAACGATCGGGCTAGGCCCATTGGTGAACCCTTGAACTAACAACAAGTTCCTAACACCATTCGGCCGTGTATGAAAAGTCCTGGAAGAGCACCTGCTCGTCCTCGGACAGGTGGCGCGGCTCCTTCGGTGGCGTTAGCTGCGCTTTCTCCGACGTGAACTCCTCGTCAAAGTTTGATACATCCTCCAAATGGTTCTGAAAGGTTGTAATTACCAAGGTAAGTTCATATCATTAAAGTTTAAACTTGGTTTTTAAACTTACAATAGTTGGCACGAAGGGTGGTTTGACCTTTCGCAGGAGCAGATCATCCCACACAATCGAACGGAAGAATGCCTGCTTCTTAACATCCTCCGCATCACGTTCTGAGGATCCCAGACGTCTCTCTGGATTCTTGCGCAGAAGCTGAAAGTTGATTTAATATTTAGTTTCGCTATTAATTGTAAGAGTTATATTATAACTTACCCTACGCATCACGGCTATGGCCTCAAGTGAGAGGAAGCGTGGATAGCGCACCTCATCGTTGACAATTGAATCGAACACCTCTTCCTCATCGTCACCAGGGAATGGAGACTATAAAAATGAATCAGTTATTCATTGAACTATTGAGGCTTGTTTTATATAACTTACCTCACCAACCAACATCTCAAAGATAAGCACTCCCAAACCCCACCAATCCACAGCTCGTGTATATGAAGTTTCCGTTAGCACTTCAGGTGCCAAAAACTCAGGTGTGCCACAAAAAGTTCCTGTGCGATCGCCGAAGCCCATTCCCTCCTTGCACAGACCAAAGTCAGCAATCTTCACATACCCATCCGTATCCAACAATAAGTTGTCCAGCTTCAGGTCCCGATAGATAATCTTATTTTCATGCAAGTACTGCAGGCCCAAAACCACACACGCGGCATAGAAGACGGCTCTTGGCTCAAGGAAAACGTCCGTATGGATGTGCATCATCAAGTCTCCGCCGGCGGCGTACTCCATCACAAAACAAACATGTTGCTAAGGAGAAAACACAAGTTAGGAATAAGTAAACTCGAAATAGAATGTTATAACAAAACTCACCTCAGTCTGGAAGCACGAATACAAATTGACTAAGAAGGGATGGCGCATGGCGTTGGCCACCTCGAAGATGCGCTTTTCGCTGAGCAGCGACTCTACTTCATCGCGGGCGATGATGTCGCCCTTTTTCAGCGCCTTGATGGCATAGTACTGGTTGTTGCTTTTCAATTGCGACAGGATCACCTTGCCAAAGTGGCCGCGTCCCAAAACGCTTAGCAAACGGAAGTTGTCCATCGACAGCATGCCAGCATTGGGAGGCTGCTTTCCAGCTCTGCCGGTGTCGAGTCCTCCGGATTCACGATACTGCAGGCCACGGGCCACATTCCTGCGCTGCTGTTGCTGTTGCTGATTGGAGTTGCTGTTGGTGGAGGAGCTGGGTGAGTAAACTGAAGCTGCTGCTGCCGCCTTGGCCACATTCAGCTCATACTGGTTGGCATAGATGGGCTGCTGCTGTGGTGGCTGCTTGTCCTGCCTTTGAGCGGGCTGCGGGAATTGCGGAGCACCAGCGGCCGCACTGTTTCCATAGATAGTCGGAGTTGGTGGCTCCTGGATGATGGGCGAAGACTGCTGCACATACTGCTGCTGACTGCCGCCCACGTAGAGCTTGCCCAACTGAGGTATAACCTAAGACGTACAAGAAAGTAAACTTTAGTTCTGGTAGATAGTTAGAGATATAGGGAAACGTATATTAGTGGCTACAACTTGAGAGCTTCGTGAATCCTTTCACTTTCAATTTCCTGCATTACCTGCTGGACTTGGTCTTCTGTTTCTAACTTTTCAACTGTCTCGAGGAGAATACTTTCGACACAAGCTTCGGATAACTTTCTAGACTGCGCATCTGCCACCGGCTTAATCTCCGGCTGTGAATCCGGCTCGGCCACCTCCTCGATCAGGCAACTGGTCGTCCGGCTGGCATTGATCGGTTCGAGGGTAATATGTACAAGACTAATACGGGCCTGCAAGAGGATGGTTCTTCATAGTTTGGTTGATTGATCGGGATGGATTTGATTGAACCCAAGAAACACACATACAGCAGGTGGTACAGGATTGGATGCGCAGGGACACACTAACAGTTGGTTGATGGTACGCGAGGGGGACAAATCAAGGTAATGAAGTTGGTTATGTGTGTGCAGCTGTTGCTGTTGTTGTTGGTGTAGGAGTTGGACCGCAAACATCTGCCTCAAGACTTGACCGAGCGCATGGAAAGTTGGCACAATCATGACGCGTCTACATTTCGATCGATACCGATACGATACTTGGGCGAGATAGATGGCTAAAACCGCGCCGGCCAACTGAAGGCGAACAAGTGCCAAAGTCATGACCAGAGGCCAAGCATTTGCGTCGTTGTTTTGGGTCTAAAAATGACCAACCAAAAGGAAAATGTGACAACGGCGCACACATAACGATGAGTACATAGCTTGGACACATAGATACAAAGGTAAGCGAACACAGAAACAAACATCTTAGATGAAAATGGAAATGTGGAACGCTGACGTTGCAACGTGAGGGGGCGGAAAAACGAGGATTGGGTGGTATGTGGGTGTGTGTGACAAAAATTAAAACATTTCCCGACCATTGGCACGTGAAGTGGCGCACTTTCGGATGCCTCTCAAAGAACCCGTCATTCCCCCAAGATATATCCTCTTTTCTTCCCTCTGATCTTTCCGTTGTCATTCGCCAGAATCTATTTAAAGAGTTCAAAATTGTCACTTTTAGCTTTCATTTCGCTAAGATTATATTTGTTTGTCGCCTCTGATCGAAATTATATATTATGTAAAGTAAATCGGGTGTAATAAATTTAAGACCATAGTCAAAGCTCTCAAGTTGTTTATCATTAAAATATACTTTTTAAAAATTGATTAAGAGACTATTTCTACAGCAAACTAAACTGTGCAAGTCACATTTATGCCATTTAACACTTAAAGCTCTCAATTTATTTTGTATTTTAAAACATTAACTATTTCAAATTGAGTTGCAAGCTACATTATCTACATTAACTAAGCTATAAGAGGTTACAATTGCAAAAGTTGCTAAATTAGATTTATATTAAGTCAATTATTTAAACTGTTAGTCACATTCAAAGCTCAACTTTTAGTTAGTTCTACTACAATTAGTTAGTTTTTGGGGTGCTTGTGAATGCGCTTGGATTACAGTGCTTATGTGTGTGTTTATGAATTAAATGTTTATACACAACTTTCGGGCCTTCGAAAGGGTTTTCTTTTTTTGATAAAGCCAAACCAGAAACACACACACAGACATTTAAAGAAGAAACAAATAACCCAACTCGTGGCAGAAACAAAACAAAATTAAAAATGTAAGAAAATTGTGGGTTAGTGAAAAAATAATTAAAAAGAGAAAAAATAAATCAGACTGCGAGAACAGAAATTAAACCGAAAACCAAACCAGGAAATGAAAAACCTCCTAACCTCCACACAGAAACGATCGCCGGCACTGGAGCTGTGGCTGGAGTGCAGCCGACTGCCCAGGTTATCGTTGCTGCCCCGGTACAGATACTCGTCATCGTCCTCGGGATACTCGACTAGTGGCGATGGTGGCACCGATCGGTCCTCCTCCCGGCCACCCAAGAGCACCACAGGTGGCAGGATCAAGACCGGTCGGTGCAGTTGCTGTTCCACAGCGGATGGTGGTTCGGGGCCCGTCGGTTTCTGGGCGGGATGTGGGTGGGGCTGCGGCTGCTGCTGCTGCAACTGAAATTGGTTGTGGTTTGGGCTTTGGCTTTGGCTGGGGCAGGCGTTTGAGCTAGGCATGATTTGATTGCTGGCAAGCGGTGGCAACGACGGTGTTGGGCGGGCAAAGTTGATTGGCTGCTGCTCCTCGGACTCTCTCTGTTTCTCGCAAAGTTCCAGGATCGCTTGACGCTGCGCCTCTTGGAACTGCTGCAGACGCAGCTGCTCCTCGCGCTGACGCTTCTGCAGCGCCTGCTGCTCGGTCTGTTGCTGTAGCAACAGCAGGTTCTCCAGCGCACTTGGACTCAGTGACATGTTCTGCTCCTTTAGAAGGCGACGTAGCGTTGAGGGACGCGAGTCCATGTCCGATAGGAAATCGAATTCATGCAGAGCATCTTGCAGCTGTCGGCGATTAACGAAATCATGACGAAACGGAAACGGAAACCGAGACGGGCACACAGACACACAGAGTCAGAGAGAGATAGGGCGAATGATGACGGCGGGCCAAACAAAAAGCGCAATGCGAAAGATATTGACAGATGAATAAAGTGGATGAAAGGGTAAACAAGGCTGAATGAGAAAAAGGACTTTTCTCGGAGAAAGTGAAGAGATAGAAATAAGCGAAAGAAAATGACGTTGATGGATTTGAATGGGGTGAAAATCAACGGCAGAGGCGGTAGATAAAAGCTGAAGCGTAAACTAATTTCCGAGAATTTTTAAGCAAGTTTATTCCATGACCTTGCTACTTTAGTTCTTTCTTATTAACGTTCTTCTTATTAACTTTTTTACAGTTCTTACGTTAAATTTAGATTTTTGTGTAAAAAAGAAGAAAATTTGCAGTTTGTTGTCTAATTAAAATTTTCAAATAAAGTAAATAAAATTTAAATTGAAGACTTCGTTATAAATTAATTTATAGAAAGGTTCAAAAATCAAGAAAATAAAGCTAGCTCGCTTTGAATACTCATTCTGCCTCAGTTTTCGCGAGCGATGATGGTTCTGTATGGAGTTCTGCTGCCGTTCCAAATGTACAGATTAGAGAGATATATAATACAAAACCAACACCAAATGCCCAAATGTGATGACTGTACAGGTGTGTGTGTGTGTGTGTGCGTATGTGGGTGAATAGATACATGAGAGTGTGGGCGGAGGAGCAAGTGGCAGGCACAACGATCAAACCAGCTACGGGTACACAGCTAAGTACATACGCAGATCTTTATACAGGGTCGGTCAAGTAGTAGGTACTGACTATTGATCTGTACACGGATCGCTTTTTGAAATAAAAACTAAACTTACCTCCTGATCCAATATTGGAGTGGTGGATGCGGACTTTAGCACGGGTGGCGGTGGTGGTGCCGTTGTGGGTGCGGCAGTGCGAGCGCCTTGAATCACTGGTCCCTTAGTGGCTCCCGACATTTGTAAGCTGAGCGTATTGGGCCTTCCAGTTGCTCCAGCGGTAACAGGAGGCGAATCCGGGGGCAAGACACTGATTCCCTGCATATGCACAGACAGAGGACGCATTCCGCTCAGACCACTGGCCGCCGGATCCGGATATTCACCAGGTGTCTCAACGTGTTCGTGCATTCCGGCATCCGGGTCGAATTCCAGGTTCTGTGCCTGCTCTCCAGGTGTATATGGTTCTGGTTCCACAAGCGCATCGGAAGAGGGAGTCCTCGAAATTGGCGACTCGGAATCTCGTGACCCACTGACCACCATGGTTGAGCTACCTGTTACAGAAGATCCAGATCCCACAGATCCCATGTGCACATGATTTGGAGCATTTCGCTTGAGCAGACGTCCCCAGGTGGCCACATTGATGTTCAGTTGCTTGGCACGCGAGATGTTCTTCGCCTGCTGCCTGTTGAAGATCATACGCTGGCGCCGCAGCTTCGGCTTCTGCGAAATCATAGGGTTCAAGAACTTGACCTCCGCAAAGAGCAGACCTTGTGGCTCCAGCTGCAGTGCCATGCCGTGTCGCACATCGTCGATAAATTCTTCTAAGCGCAACACCTTCACCGCACACAGAGATCTCCAGTCGCGCCAATAGACTCCAATCTCCAGCTCACGCGAGCGGTCTAGATCGATGGAGAAGCGCTGATCCCAGGCCTGCTGCGAACATGGCTTCCATGATGTCTGGCCAACGGTGATATTATCCAGCTTGATGGCTGCCATGATCTCGATCGAGGTCTCATCCTTCACCGAATAGCTCTTCGAACTGCTACGCGAGGTTACGCCTTTGACAAAGCTTCTCAAATCACCCGGACTGGAGTTGTTATCCTTGTCCCTTCGTGATCTTCCGGGCACATCTTCTAGCAAATCCTGGCAGCCAAGCAGGCGTACCTCTAGTTTTCCGGTGACACTGGCACAGCGTCCCAGCGAGGACACCGACTGGTAGGGTTTTCCACCCAGCAGTCCTCCCTGTCCGGTTTGCAGTGACGTGTAGGTGACAGGAGCTGGGGATGTCGATTGCTGGACAATCTGCAGTTCCGTTTTTAATAACTGTGCGGCGGGCGAATCGACAGGCAGCTCCTGGCGACGGAGCTCCAAGGAGTACCGCAAGAGATCTAATTTACGCGACGATTCCGACAAACGTCCATGGGCCTGGTTTAAAATGAAAGGAATTAGTGTTTTATAGAAATTTTAAGATGTTAAATTAATTTACCCACTGCACACTTTGCCATAAATAGTTTATTATACGTTTTTAAAAAGTAATAAATATCTTTCTAATTAAGTTATGAGTCTTAGATATATTTTCTTTCTTTTTATATATCTTCTAAAAAAAATCTAGATGATTCATTTATCAAAAAAAAATCTAAAAATATAATATAATTATAAGTAATATTTATTAAATGACCACCAAAATAAAAGATCACTTTCTAATTAAAACTAATTTCACTTTATTACAACATTAAACTGATTCAGCGCACAATCTGTGTTTTGTGTGAGGAACATTCGCTTACATGGCTTACAGCTAGTCGAAAGAAAGTTGGCTTTGGGTTCGGATTTAGGGTTTGGGTTAATTGGGAGCGTATCAATCTGAAAAGCAAAGTGTTAAATGCAAGCCTTAGATAAAGAAAAATTAATCAATGATTTATATATTACTGCCGCCTGATTAAGGGCTTCTCGCCCAGGGAGAAGGCTCTGCCGCGGAGTTGAAACCTCTCAGCCAACCAACGTTGACAGCTTTCACATTGGCAATTGGGATTCTTGGTGGGGCCTACATGATGACCTGGCTTTCTCATGGCCACCACATTACCAAAACGGCGAGCCTTTTCCAAATGCTCGTGGGTGTAACCGGAAACGGAAGTGGAAGCTTCACTTGCAAGACTTGGACTGTCGCGTGAAATTTCAAAACGTCGCACCGGCAGTGGCGAAGGCGTTACTGTGGTCCCAAAAGTACTGGCCGAAGTGGTGCTCGGTGGCGCCTCGCTGCCACAACGTACCACTGTGGTTGCTGCCGACAATAGTTGTGGCGAACTACGCTCCGAGGAGGGGGAGCCAGAGGCTACCTGCACACTCAGGTTATCGCGTGCCTCACTTTTCCATCGGTAGCTCGGATGTAGAAGGCGGAAGGGATCGGTAGTGGCCGCCGCAGCAGGTTGAACAGGCGCAGTGGCCGGTGGAGTTGGTTGACCCACACCGCCGGGTGCACCAGTAGGTCCAAAGAACTGCAGAAAACCAGGACGATTACGCGGGAAATGCGAGATCTGCTGCAACTGCGACTGCCTCCCCGAATAGGTATTGAATCCATTGGCATCCGAGAAGCCATCCGATTCCGAGGGGATGGTATCGCTGCGCTGGAAGGAGTTGCGTTGCGATTGTACCTCCGTGATCGTTTGCAGGTGATGTGCTGATGGCGCTCCCAAGTTCGTTTGCATGGGACTCTGATCAAAAGGATGCTGACGGGACCAAAGACGCTCCATCTGGCTTATGCGCAGACGATCCAACGAGTTCTCATAGTCAAAGCTGTCGGATTTGGTTAAACCAAAAGATGCCATCGGTGTATCTAGGTCGTCTGTTTCCTTCCATGATGAATCCACGCAATCCGTTCCACCCATGACACTGGATATGCTGCTGCAGGTTGCATCCCTTGGCATCGTAGATCTGGAGGAGTTGGGGTAAGTGCTACTGACGGTTTCATCGCTTGGCTGACGCATATATTTCTGGCGTAGATTAGCCAGCTTGGCCGCCCGCTGATCGCCAATATGTTTGCGGAAGAGTAACTGCTTGGACTCGCACACTTCCTCGGCTGTGCTGCACTTTGTAATGGCATGACCCAGATTCAGATTGTCTTGTTGGTTTTCTGGTTTATTTTTCGCCTGACTTTGAGCCAAACGCCTGGGCATGGCTCCCCCAGAGATTCTTTGATGGCGCAGCAGCATCTGCTCGTTATCCAGAACGGTTTGTGGGGTTGAATTTGAGTCCAGTTCATAGCGCTTGCTACCGGCCAGCTCGGAATCGGAGGAGCTAGAAACCTCTTCATCGGCTTGCCGCTCATCATCCGCCTCCTCCTCCTCATCTCCCTCCGAACCCGTGCAGTACACATCAATGTGTACAGTGCGGGGTTTCTTCTCCCCCAAGTTGGGTATTCTGGGTGATGCTCCTTGGTTTATGTTGCCAGCTAGCGGTGGTATCCTTGACATCGAGGCCGATTTGAATGTAGACGATGGTGTCGTGGGCGTGGGCGAGTAGGTTGGCTAAAGGTTTTAGTTGGTTAAAAGGAGGTAATATATTTCATATAAATCAAAACCCACCACATAGGTGTTAGCCTCCTCCGCCTGCCGCTTGCTGGCAAAATTCATCAGTGCTTCGGTGGTGGCTCTTCGTTGCTCATAAGCTGGACGCCTCTTTGCTGGCTGCTCCTCCGTATCACTTGTTTGGGAGAATGCATCCCGAAGCTGCTGGGCCCTCACTTTGCTGTGGTATACAAAGGGTTCATTCACTGTACCGCTGCCCCCTTCTTGGGGTAAGAAATCTGCCACAGCGGACACCATGATGTTACAGGTGCTCCGGCAGCGAGTGCCACACACTTGGGCAGTGGCACCAGGAGGAGGAGCAGCATCAGTTTCCAGAGATGGTTTGTTTAGGGCCCTCGAAGCATGTGGACTGCCAAAGGCAGAGTCTGCATTGGTGGTGGCCGAGGAGTTGGTGGAACGGAAACTGGTTCCCCCTGTAGCTGCTGTCTGTATATGATTGATTACATATTTAGAAGCTTCCGAAGATCCTTGGACATAACTTACCTTGTCCACATCCATTTCAGGTTCATCGCATGGCGTACACCACTTGTAGACGACGCGCATTGGATGCACTGCCTCCGGAGCACTCAACTCCTTTTGCACGGGCTCACCAGCTCGGGCAAAAGTAAGATGTGCTCGTACCGTCCACTCGGCGGTCAGTTCGTGGGGCAGTGGAACCTGCTGGCCCAGAACCGCACCCGGCGGAGTGGGCGTGGGCGTACTCATGACTCCCTACGCACTTATTGTACTGTCGCAGCATGAACACATTTTGGCTGTGGTTATGGTGTGGCTCAAGGTGCCATCGATATATTCACATAAATATACACTCACGCACTATATACTACATATATAGTATAAATATATATATCTGTATATACGTCACACACGAACTTTATATTCTTGCTAAAAATATCGAGAAACCGTTTTGATAGTTCCTATTGTCGAGCAGAATTCAAATATTTATCATAAGTCAACGATTACGGTTGAAAATGCCTTTGGAATCCAAACGATTTAAAGGTAATTTTATATCAACAAATTGAGGTAACAGCCCCGCAGTTTGTTTATAATTATTTGGAACTTTTCCTTTGAATTTTATACTTTAAACAAAAGCAAAGACATTCTTTCAATGTTTGTGTTATACTGGATTTCTGGTTAACATCATTTAGAACCAATTAAGTTTTTGCAAAGCACTGAAATTTTACATTATAGCTTTCTTTAGATTCTAATTAAATATTCTCTTTAGGTGAACCGAAACATTCTTCACAGGCAGTTTCAACTATATTAATTTGCTTTTTTGTTTTCACGTATTTTTAGCTTCATTCAGCCAACGCACACACACTATATACGTGGGGGGGTTAGGAGATGGATGGGGCGGAACGAAAACACTTTCAGTTTTTCTTAGCTTTTGTAAAATTTGTGTTTCTAAATTTATGTGATTTTATTTTTAACATAATGTTTTCTTCTTTTTCGTTACGCTAAAATTGCAAGATGACCCCAAAAGCCAGATCTGGGAAATCTAGAGAGAAGAACGGACAATCCAAACGGAAAATTACGCAATTTCAGGTGGATAAGCGAAGAAAACCTGCAGCACCCGCTGCGTATGCGTAATGTCGAAGAGTTAATGCCAAGCTCTGACATTTGTTTCGCGACTTATATGGTGTGTGTGCGTGCTTTTCACGGATTTACTTTGGGTATTTTATTTATATTATTATTATTATTTCATTACACATTCAAAGAGTTTCGAGCGAACAAGAAAACAAAGAAACACGAACGCGACGCAAGATGCGGCAATTAAAAAAAAATTATAAAATATCGGGAAACACCAGGCGACGGCGGCGTCGCACGTAGCCAACGGCAATCCAACTCGCACTGAACGCCAAAGGAAAAGCTGCTTGGGAAAATTCGCTAGAGAAGCGGACATACATACAAATACAACAACAAAAACGGCGGCTAACAACAAAATTCCCCATATGCTGGCCAGAGAACTTTGCGCTCCGTTTCTTATGATGGTTTTTATACGCTTCTCGTTTTCGCCCGATCAAGCAGAGGTACAGACATATAGACGTGTTTATATATCCAATGTTTGTGTGCCAGCGGGCAGGCAGGGCAGCATAGTTCTAAAAATGTTTAGCAAAACGCTTCCAACTGGCCAAAAGGGCAAAAGCGGCAGAAAGTTTTGTGTTTATTGTTTAGCCGATCGTAAGATAACTTTTCGCGATATTTCAATGCAGAGAAGAAGATACACTGCATATAAGTTTTGAAACTAAAAGTGAAAGTATTCTAATTGAATATATATAATATATATCATTATCTTGATATATATATGTAGTTATTTTTAAAGAAACAAACTGCATAGACCTTAAGTTGGAATAATGCTTAAAATGTGTTCCGCTGAGTGAGATCTCGCCATCTTTCACCAAGCTCGTTAAATTTTATCTTTTCGTTTTACTGTGAAACGCACTGCTACTGAGAACTTTCTTATTTCTGCATCTGACAGATGCAACCGCAGCGCAGAACAAATAAATATGAGAATGGGGTCTGCAAATAGAATATTTAGGCCAAAGCCCGGACAACATATTGTTGTAGTAGCTGGTGCGGAAGTTAAGTGTCTGTTTTACGTATACGTTTATGTTGGATCCAAAGACAAAACCGCATGAGCATCAGTGGAAAAAAGATAAATCACAAAGAGGAAAAAGAGCTAGCTTGCCACGCGACAGGAAACGCAGACATTGGGAAATACAAAAAAAAAATGAAAATCTCCCCTTGCATATATACACTGGTAAATGCATTGTGAAATTTTGTGAAAATACTCTCGTTTGGCGTTTATTTTCGGACCATTTTTTCTGTCAGCAATGCTATTAAGTAAAAAAAAAAAACAGAAATTTCAAAAAATAAACTAAAAAGCTAATGCCAAAATTATTAGGGCAGGCCCTGAGCACACTTGCCAAATCATTTTTCTCGGGCTCAAGTAATGCGACGTTCCACGTCCATTTAATTAATGAGACGACAGTTAGCGGGGGAAAAGATGAGAAAAAAAACTTGAAATTAAAACGAAATCGGACGAACAGAGAGCGTTATAATATATTTCAAGCAGCCGCATAATTAGCTTTTCCTCCTTTTCGCTTCACGTTCCCATATGACGTTGCCACAAGTTGGGCAAAAATCACGTATACGCACGGGTATATCAAATATGAATCATACGTCGTGTGGCCATATGGCAGCAGACACACCTGATTTTAGCTAAACGGGGAAATACTTGCAGGGTTCTAGGTGTATCTGGCCACCAGCCAGCTCTAATTAGCTCTGGGATTAACGCAATTTCGGATTCTTTAAGTTTATAGTTTGTTTAAATACAGATTTTTAATGAGCTCTAGAAGTGTAGAGACACACTCCCGCACATGACTAAATGACAAAATGTGCACAGGTTCCTTAAAATAACATCCCCAAAATATGTAAAGCTATGCGAAACTCACCTCTTGCAGCGCCTTCTTGTCCGGTGCCCGATTCGCCGTTTGCAAAGTGCGGATAACATTCTTGGCTCCATCGACCACAGCTGCCTCGATTCGCAGTCGGTGACGCAGCTCCTCGATCCGCTCCTCAAGCGTCGTCTCCAGGCTTTGCGGTTGACTGCTGTTGTTACCGCCAATCGTCTGACCGTGCTCGTCGATCATTTGCCGCGAGGCCTTCAGGCGATCAGCCTGCTCGCGATTCTGTTTCACCTTGATGATGCGCAGGCGCAAAAACTCAATCTTGGCCTTCGAATCGGCCAACATCTGGTGAGCTTCCGCTAGCAGCTTCTTGTCGCATCCGATGCCCAACGACTGGATCATGTTTTCCGCTCCGGTCTTCACCTTCATCTCGATCTGCAGCTGCTTTTCCAGCGAGGCAAGCACTTTGTCATTGGCAGTGGCCGGTCCGCCGCCCTCAAGAGCCGTGCTTCCGCCGCCCAAGCCGCCAACAGCTCCGCTGACGATAAAACCGCCATTGGGATCAATGCAGGCAGTGATCGATTCTGTAAGAAATTTTAGTCATAAATATTTGTTTATATATTTTAAGTTTTGGGAAAGTTTCTAATTACTAATAACCACAAATATACATTAACGATTTGTAAAAATAAGTTATTTATGACAGTTTTGGTAATAAATTCACGTCAACGAAACAGCTTCTGGCTGACTAATTGCAGTAAAATTGTAAGTTCCCTGATAAGAATGAGTAATATAAATGATGATTTAGAAACTAATCTTATTTTACAATAAGCTTTTGCTTACATATCTAATTTTTAATTACTACACAAAAGTTAATTCCATTTAAAAAATGAAAACTATTTAATCCAACACCAGTTCGTGGATCGATAAAGTGCCAAATAAATAGCTCGAAAACTTGTTGTTTTTTCTCGTTTCCTTGGTTTGTTTGCTTTTCTATAGGCCATTTGTTTGGCACTAACTAAAAACACACATGTTTTGATCTATATGCACCATCCTATCCTATATATTCAAAAGAGAATCGGCATTTGTGCTGCATTCTTTGACAGCTGCCAAACATGTCAATCGCTTGACATATGGAAAGTCGACTTTGGCGCCACACAATGCACCAGCGGATGGTTCTTTCTGTTCTTCGACTCTTCTGGGTCAAATGCTTCTGTTCGGGGGATTGGCCAAACACGGAAGCAGATAAATAGAATGCCAGAGAGCTGTCTCCATTCGAAAATGTAAACAAACCGAACGTAGCACATTTTACGCCAGTTGTGTCAATAAGTTGGCTCCCATAAACAACGAAGAAAATGAAGAAAAAATTTCGTTTGTCGCCAAGTTTATCACAAACTGTTTTGTCAAAGATACGAGGGCATATATAAAGCGATAATCAGATCTTTCACACCCAACACAATAGTCTTATTTTTTTATTTTGTCACCACGAAGCATTAAGTGATGGCCCAAGAAAAGTGTGGTAAAAGCAAGTGCGTGACAAAGACTCGTTAAAGACGGGCTTAAACATTCTCAAAGCCCTGAACAATTTCGGCATTCGTGTTTGTTTGAAGTTACTCTTTTTTGGTTGGGGAGGCACTTTCATTTTTTAGGAAGTCTTTTATTTATTTTGGTAACATTGTGTGGGGGTCGAAATTGCACGGTCAATTATACAACTTTATTTGAAATGCTATTTTTGTTAAGAATATACACACTTTAGTGTGTAAACAAACATTATCATTTAACCCGACACTATCAATTGATTTAATCGATTTCTAGTTACCTAAAGTTTAATTTGTCTTTCAAGCATTAAATTACAATTTAAAACAAGCAAGAAATTAAATGAACTAACAACTTCGCCACATGACCTTAACTTTATCTTTTAGCCCAAAAGGTATTTCAACTTCAGCGCACTTAACAAACTTTTCCTTGTATTTTGTTTTGGTTATAGCTTCGTTAGTGGCCCCGCCCCCTGGACGCGCCCTTCGGCATGTTTTTTTTTTGGGAATACACTTGTCTCGTTACACTTGCCCACGAAACTTGTTGCATGAAAATATGCTCAACTTTTGCTCCCGTATAATTGCAACAGTTTATGATTGGCTTTTTGAAAGTTTGGCTTTTTAATAGATTTTCGAAACTTGGAAAGAGTTACTCAATTTCCATGAGAAATAATAGATGGGTACTCACCTTGTCCATTGCTATTTACGGCAGTGTTGGCCGATGTCAAAAGGATTTGACTCTCGAGCTCCTGCAACTCGGACTTGAGCTCGGCCAGTTTGCTTTTGCTCTTCTTGACAAGAACGGCCACATCGCTAAGGGAACGCCGATCTTTGGCCACCTCGCGGAGCTTCTCGGCGCCCTCCTTGATCTTCAGCTCCTTGCGGATCTCTCGCCGTATGGCCTCCTTGATCTCCTCCAGCCGTATGGACATACAGCTCTCGGGCAGATTTTCTGTGAAACCATATTTGTGACTGAGCTCGTACAGAACGGGATGCTTTATGTATTCGCCCTGTGAAAGGAGAATAAACATTAGGCATTAAGATATTTTCTTTATAAATAGTTTAGTTTTTTCTGAAATGAATTTATCAAAAGTTTTTGGCATATCGCTTGGGAAATAATTATGAAGTAAACATCATTAAAGTTGAAAGTAAAATGATCTAAAAATCTCTTTTTTAAAGTGAGAAATGATAGTGATTTCGCGTTTTGCCAACTCACTTCTCCAGATAATTCATAGTTTGACCCATTAACCGAATCGGTGTAAAATATGGCACCATTATTATCAAAATCATCTTCATCTTCGGGACCAAAGACGTTGGTGACCAGTCTATTCCACAGACCACTGTTCGATCTTCGTGCCGCCGAGTGTTTACTGTACCGGCGTGGCAGGGAATTACACTTCCTGCGATCACCTCCTCCTCCCTCTGAAGCTGATATCGAGGTGGAGTCTTCGGGTTCCCGGTGGCTGTTTGGATTGATCATGCTGCGGATTCTCTTCACCAGCCTGGACATTATTCACTCGGATTTCTTGTTAACTCGTCGGGTTTATTACCTCACTTTGGTCATTTTACAGCCGTTTCGTACACGCTGACAAGTTCACGGTAATTAGCTGGAACAGTCTGACCCACAAAAAAAAAAAAAACAACAACAACACACTTTTATTCACACGACTCCAACTGTCAACTGTTTATCTAAAAAATGTTTTTCCCAACCCTCCTCGAGCTCTTCTGCCTTTTTGTGCTTCTTTTTCTTGTAGTTCAACAAGTTTCTTTGGCTTTCTCATTAAACGGTTCTCGATTGCTTCTGTCTGATAACTACTTATTGCTTTGCGGCTCGTAGCATTCGTTTCTTAACCAGAGAAAACTCGACAAAGGTGTCACTTGAAACAAGCGAACAAGCCGGCGATAATTGCTATGCAAATTGCAATTCTAATCGATCAATTTCAATTGAATGTCATCGTCTCTGTGCTACACTTTCTCAACGAATCTATACATCAGAATTTTGCTGGCTGATTTGTTTGATAGGCGAAAGTTTGCCTGAATGGAAAGTCTGTTGGCAACAAAAAACACAAAGAATTTAATTAAATAAATAGTTTCTATATTGCCAAGAATTTGAAGGCCAGTGTATTGTTTCTTAATAAACTTATGAGACCCACGTTCGTTCTTATCCGACTTTCGTTTCCCAACTAAAGATAATCGAAGAACTGCTACAAAAATATTAAGAAATTATATAAGCGGATTGGGAAATATTAGTCTAAGTGCAAAATACAAACTCAAACACAAATCTAAAACGGAATTTCAATTCTCTTATAAACTCTTTCATAAAGTTCAAGTTCATTCTTATCTGTCCGAAACATATGAAGCAAGTTTTATGGTCTTGAAAATAACAAATTTAATCGCTCTTTCACTCTTTTATTTCCACAAATTTGGTATTTAAGGGCCGAATCGTTGGTACATATTTACACAATGAGCCATAGACAACGAAAGTTACCTGGTCGTTCTATCGATCGAGTATGTTTATTTTCAATTCCTGTTGAAATCTACGGTCTGCAAAACATATGCATATATGTGGGCCCAAACAAAGTGGCAAGTGCAGAGAGGTACAGAGTAAACACTTTTCAATAAACAATTGTTTATGAAAAGCTCATTGTAAATATTTTTAAAACCGTACCAGCAATGGGATGGCCAGCTATATAGTGGGAAATTTTCATAAAGGAATGTCGTGAATGGAATTTACATTTTACAAACTTTTATCAATACTGTCTATTGATTTTTGTTCATTTCTAAAGCCTCAGGAGACCCTGAAAACTAGTTTTGGTATTCGTGTGAAATTTTTATAAAGAAATGTCACGTTTTGCTTATAAACATTAAGAACTTTAATCAATGTGTTACGATTGATTTGCATAAACTTCTCTGTTTTATATTTTAAATAATCACTTAAACTTTTCGTTTCTTTACTTTTATCAATTTCCTTAATTTTCCAAGCTATATCAGCCCTGAAACTTTTTAGTTATTTCCTAAGACACCCTCTTAACCAACAAATGCGGCCCTGAGTTGGCAGAAATATAACAAAAAAAAGAGTGCGTAACGTTTTCTTATCAATAAACCGGGTCGACTGATAACTTTGGCAAGAAACTTTGAATTCCACAACCACTTGTTTACACACTAGGAAGTGGCCATAAATTTTGATTCACTTTTCCACTTTTCACACCCACACTAGTTAGCTGTTTTTTATTTATTTTTCCGTAGTTCATAGGGGATGTTAATTTTCATTGTTTGATTGACTGTCACTTGAGAGATAATTATGTTAATATTTGCCACACTTGTTTAGATTAATAACCAATAATTAGGTGACACCACTGAGTCACCGATATCGAACTCCGGTGGGAAATCGGAATTAACTACGCCCGTCTATAGCCGAACAGTTACTGAGAACATCCAACTATAACGAGCGGCTGGACTTGCAAAGGTGTGTGTGTATATGTGTGTATGTTTGATTTTGTTAGCGGGGAAAAATCGAAAAACGAATCGTGACGAACGGCAACCGTTTAGCTCAGCAACAGGTTCGTTCGACGTCGATAAGCTCAAACCACGCAACTCAATTCGCTGCGAACGCAACCTTACTTAATGCCAAAGCATCTAGCTCCTTTCGTCGAAGAAGATGGAGAACAAGTACTAGTATATATCTCAGATGGGATAATGCGATTTTAAGTCAATCCAGCTAATTGCCAATTAGCTTAAAATCAAAATCGATAGAGCGCCGACAACTGCATCAAACAAGCGAACTCAAACGAGCGAGTTGTAAGTGCTGAAAGTCATCCCACACTCTTCTCTTTTGTTTTTTCCACCCTATCACCTACCCACCCACCTTCACAATCTTTTCTTTAGACAGACGAATCATCAAGCAAATCCACAAAGGCGCCGAAGAAAATATATGGTTAGTTCCTAAGTAATGACAGGGCGATAAATATTATATTTATATCCACGCTCAGCCGCATATATGTAAAAATGATTTGTGATGAAAAAATGATCTTAACGGACAGGTAAAAATACCTAAACTTGGGGAAAGTTCATAAATCTTTGAAAATGAAGTAGATTTTTTTCTAAGTTTAGTGATAAATCTTTGAATGCATATAATCTCAGCGACCTTATTTTAGTTTATATATTTGCACCAACAATTTAATGAAAAACATTTGTAATTTTCTTGAGTGTGGCAGCTAATGTTTTCCTTCTCTGGGAAATTATACTCGCATGTGAAATTTTAGCGGCGCATTCTTGAAAACATCTTGACGTTGATAACCATAATAAAGCCAAATGAGATTGCATAACGTGATTACAGAAAGGCAAAGGAAAATGCAAGCCTAGCATAGCGGAGCAGTGAAAAAAAAATGGAAAAAAAAAATACTGACACAACATACTTGAATAATCAGCATAATATGCTATATAGCGACATGTTCATTATACGTCGGGATTCGGTGCGGTTGCATTGAGACAAAGGCGATATATAAGCGCTTACAGCTGTCTGAGAAAGTTGCACAAAAATGCACCAAAAACAAAGGGAAATTGGCGGAGGCCGAAAGGCGATGGCAGAAAACTTCAATAAATTGTATAAAATTTATGAATTTCTTTTTGACGCATGCCACATGTATGTGTGGGTAGAAAAATCAGAGTGAAAATGCAGAGAGAAAGGGGCAGAACAAGTGAGAATATCCAGTCTCTTCGACTTGCTTATCAGCTTCTTTTTGTCTTAATGAGCTAATTAAGCAAGGCTTAACGGAATGTACAAACACATTAGGGATTTAATTGGGGTAATTATTAATAACAATAGCTTGTTGAAGGGAATATTTCCTGTACATTTAGCTGGAATTTTCATTAACTGCAGGAAATATTTGGCTAATAGATGGAAGTTAGTTTCAGAAAATCAAAGAAAATAACTTAAAAACTGATGTTTCATTATAGATTTTCTTGACTATATTATGGTAAAAATATTTAAATAAAAGAAAACACCATAAATGGATAGTGATTAACCCTCTCATACATACGTGCAGATATCCTTTGAGACGCGAACGTAAATCCTTGAGGAACACCATATTCATGGTCAATGCCATAATACAGTTTTCAATTATTTTGTTTTGTTTATTTTACACAAACTGCATTGATTTTGTAATATATATAGCAAAAGTTATACATTTGCAGTGTATTGAATTTGAATTTCTTTCTTTTAGTTATCTCACTGTAGAAATATGTGAAAAATTGTATACTCATTTTCCAAAAGAAAAATCGCACAACGCAAAAATCTGTCGCTGATGGGAAAGCTGGCCAAATATTTGTCACAATAAAAAGCACCAGGCACCCGCCTCCACGTCTATGGATTCATTATATATACACACACATACGTATATTTATATATATATATATACATATATACTTGATATATGGATATATCGAATATAAAAAGCGACGATGTCAAGGCGATGCCAAGACGCAAACTGCAATGGCAAGGAAGGAAAACGCTACGCTAAGGCGGCGTAAAAGCGATTAGAAAGCTTTTCGATTTGCGCACATAATTTCGGAAAAAATAACAGAATTCGTTAGACGTATTTGAAATTGGCATGCGAATGCAAAAAGGGAGGCGAGTGCAGACAGATACTGACACATGTATCCATAGGATACATTATGTGCTTTAATTTCTCTCTTGGAAATGTTCTACAAATTTCGTTTAAACAAACATAATTTTCCATTTACCTGCAACGAGAAGAAAAGAGAAAAAATCATTTATTAGTATATCAAGTTGGAGTAAACTCAGTTAACTAATGATAATGATGATGGACCACTTTGATTCGGCCCGCGGCAATTCATAAATTGATAATTGGCGCCCGCTTTGAAGTTGAAATGGTTGTTTGGGGGAGGTGAAGGGGGGCGATGACCAATGGGCAACAATGAAACTTACGATTTCTAATCGGTCGTTTGCCCCCGACAAAATAAAAAATACAAAAAATTGAGACAAATCATAACATATGTACCACCGAAGTGAACCTGCTATTTAAGCTCCAGCCTTTGGGGTATTCGGCGGGGCAGGAAACATCGAAGCGTTTGCCGCACGCACATGAAATCAAACTGAAAACAAGGTCGCAAGCTATATAAACTCCACGGGCACACATCAACATAAACATATATATATACATATATCACAACCCATAATATACCCTTGGCCGATCCGATGCTTTTTCACTTGATCGGCCCACGCACGTCCACAAAAAACACATGTGTTGTCGGTAGACGACACGGGGGGATAATATGGTATTTGCTTTTATTTTTGTGGTTCAAGTGAGCGATTTAATTTTCGCACTCGACATCGGAAAGGTAAATACCAGGGGATTATGGAATGAGGAATGCCCAATGCTCTACAATTTGGTTTTTAATAATCAGGAGGTATCTTTCGCTAACTCGGATGTATAAATAAAGCTACAATATCATTTCTTATTTTCTTCATTTAAGCATAAACTACAAATAATGGTTTAGTTTTAGTTTAATAAACAAATTGTTTACAAGAAATAATATCCCACTTTAAGCTAAACCAGAATATATTTATCCTAACACTTTAAAATCCGTTTCACTTTCCAAAACCAATCAACTATTCATGTTGCCCGCTTCCTAAAAATAGGTTGCCAAAAACAGCAAATTGCTTGACCATTTATGAGCAGAAGACTGCTTAACAGTCTTAACAGGTACAAACTGGCTTCGTTATTATTGTTTCAGTTTTTGTATATTTTGGACAAACGCCTAAACAGATCGAAATCGATTTTGGTGTGAGATTTTGCATTACCGAAACCCCAATGACAGGGGAATTGAATTGGAAATGAGATTTTTCCCGAGTGTCAATAATAAATTTTCCAAAAACGTTTAAAGGCAAGCACAGCTCATTATGGCATACGAATGTATGTAAGCCTGGGTTGCAGTGCTGATGAATTTGTTTAGTTTAGTTGACAACTGAAGCTGTCAACGCTTCTTATTTCGTATTTGTATTTTTTTTTTTTAATTTGTAATTCGAGTTCGACCCAATATGGAAAATGGTTAGCAGAGGGGAGGGGTTTTTGACCCAGTCGCATGGCATTAAGGCAAAGCCATAGAAAGGCATCGACAAATGTGACAATAATACTAAAAACAACGAAAATTTTCATTTTTCTTCAACGCTTCTTTTTCTTAACGATTTTTTTTTCCAGTTTTTTTTTTTTTTTTTTTTTTTTTTTGCTTATTCAGCACATGCAACAAGTGAATTTGGGTTAAGCCTCGGCAGCGTAAGTACCGTAAATAAAAATAAAACCAGCCAAAAGAGAAGCAACAATGAAGAGAGGGTGAAAGAGGAGACCAGAGGTTGGCCCCAACAAAATTGTGGCAAAATTAGAACAAAATGTTGGCCCGCTTGAAACCGAAAATCGATTTTCTACTGGTCTCGAATTTTAATTGATTGTCACTTGGATTTTCACTTTTTACGAAGCAGAAGCGATTGGCAGCCAAACGAAATAAAAATAATAAAAAAAAAAAAAAGTAAAAGAGAAATGGAATTTCACCCAAGCACCAAGCACCAAGCGCCAACCGCCGTTTTGTGTATCCGAATCTGTTAATGTATCTGTATCTGTATATCTTGGCTTTTATCTTTTGCCTTTTGTCTTAATTATTAACTAGAAATCCGCTGAAGCCGACAAAGAAGCCGTAAAATAAATGGTCCAAATCGCTAAGATTCGTTTAGCAACTTACACTCAGTTCGAAATCGGCTAATCCCATTGCGGTTATGTTTCTTTTTTAACTTTATCTGCTGGATTCCGGTATCTGCAAATGTTTCTGCACTCGCGTGGCGTGGGCGTGCCTCTCGAAATTAAGGACATTGACATGGCCAAAACGCATTTATTTGTGCGTCATCCGTTGGAAAATATATATTTTTTTCTTTCATGCACTCGCGTCCGTTGGAAGAAATTCGAAAATCACCAGGTATAAAGGCTTTGGCTTTGGCTTCCCAATTTATGCAATTCGCTTCTGCTGCACGCCGCTACTTTCACACACAAACAATAACAAACGCGAACGAACTACTGGCGAAAGAGCTGAAAAAAACGAAGCGGACCAGCGACACAACCGGCTTATTCAAAGTCCGCGAGCGAACTGAAGAAAAGCACACAAACCCAAAGCCCGCAGCTCAAACTCAAGAGATTCAGATGTTTGTGAGAGCGCTCGAGAGAGGCTTACAAACTGGGAGAGCGTTGCATTCACGTACGTTGAAGGGTGATATACATAGCCAGATCGGACGATCTGAGATGCAAGTCTTAAGCAGGAAAGATCATAAATAAGTATAAAGTTGATTACGAAAAAGAAAAATATTACTTGTTTATTGTTTTAATATTTTTTCTCAGTGCAGACCAATGAAGTGATGCTCCAACAAGAGTATAACAGAGAGAGCAACAAGGAGAGAAACAGAGAATGATGAGCCCCAGAGAGAGTGCGCGGCTGAATAACTGCAACTCAAGTTTGTTAATTGGCTCCGCTCAGATTCTTTTCAATTTTCCTCTTGGCTCTATCCCCCCAAGCCCCCCTGTAATTCCGTTCTTAACTCTCCCATTGTGCCAGTTCTGGGAATTGTACAGCTATGTTTGATTAACATTTGAGAGAGATCCCCCCTCATCTGCTCCCATCTAAGCGAAAGAATAACCTCTCTAAATCTACGATTTTTCGACTATTATGAAACTGTCACACATTTTTAGTTGGCCACGACTTTTGTTTATTGTTTATTCCGGAGAATGAGCCAAGAGATAAGCCAAGTGTCGTCATTTGCATAAGCATCGAAAATAGCTGGAAAATGGATAAATGGTCGAGCGAGAGAGAGAGGAAATGGGAAAAATTCCATGGCTCAGCATGGCGCCGCTTCAATTAGAAAAATTCTTTGCCCAAGGCTTTCTCTGCTTCAGAGAAATTCTTTCACCCAAGGCTGCGATTTTTCTGGAACAAACTGTCCAAAACGGGATCTAGTTTTGCTGGTAGATAGGTTAATATAATGCTTAGGGAAGTTTGATGATAAAAGAAATATATCAATTTAAATGTTTAACTGGTTATTTTAACCCTTGTTTTCAAGAAATGAATGTAAAGTTCCTCCATCTGAATGGAACATTAAGGGCCGACAACCCCTTGTGAATAAATAAGGTTAAGAAGCCCCACAAATGAGTGACTAATTAGATATCCACACCGTAGACGGAACCCCTTTTAACCCATTCCGCCAACCTTAAAAGCGGCCCTGACTCACCCGACTGACCTATAGAATGTCTTTATGAAAGGGTTTTCGAATCGATACGTGTGGATAGGTGTGAGGGTGTTTATTTCCCGATACTATTCGCGTATTCGGGAAAACGGAAATTGCTTGGCAAAACCCGAAACCGGATGTCGGATGTGCAGCCAAAACGAAAAACCGCAAGCCAAAAAAGAAAATATGGCCAATGCCAAGTGCAGCGACTGATAAGCACTCCGCGCTCGGTCGGAAAAGCGAAAACGAAAAGTGGCAATTAAACCGAAAAGCGTCGAATGCGTCATGCCAGTCGCCCAGCCCACGTCGATCCAAGATCCCAGAGGTTGACAAACCCAAGCCCCAAAACACCGAACGCCGAACGTTGAATCAAAACACTATAAACACTGCCACGCACTCTGTTCGAAAAACAGCGCCCAAAAACTTGCCCAGCCAACAACAAGTCGAGTCAGCCAGTTTCATCATAATTACACGCCCCGCTCTTAGCTCCTTTTCTTTAAAGCCAAAAAAATAAAAGGAAAAGTGTCCAAACTGTAAGTGAAGATAATGAACTCTATATACCCTCCTGGGCAATCAAAGATTTTTCCGTCCTATATAATCGTTTTCTTTGAAGATTCTTAGATTCCTTAATGTATATTTTATATAATAATATTAATAGTACACGATTAGTAAGATTGATCTTTATGAAAATTCAGTAAAACTATAGGAAGCAGAAGTAAAAAGCTGCATTAAACTCGCAATCTATTTCCTAAGATCTTAAATGAAATGGAAATGGATTTTGATATTTCGGGAAAGTTTGCCGCATTCAGGCGGAAAATGAGTCTCTGTCATTATTAAGGGAAACGGAGCTAAGAACAATGCCAAAGCGAAATACTCTTACCACATGGCAAACGAAAGCCAAGCTAAGATCTGAATGGATATGCAGATTGTCTGAGGTTTTAGCCATGCCTGTTTGCAGATGTACATATCTGCAGACGTAGATGTCTTCCAGTATCTGTATCTGTATCTGTAGGATGGGTGCCTTTCGGGCCGTGTGATTGCTTGGGCGCTGTCACGTAACGAAAGGGAAAACTCTGGCTGTCTCTTGGCTTTAACTTTGGCTTTAAGTTTTGCTCTGTGTCTCAGTTTTGTTGTCGCATCGATGCGGCTGTGGGAAGTCATCGTTGTCGTCTGCAACAGCAACATGCAGTAACAAGTACAACAATAACAGCGAAGGTACAGTAAAACTTCAAATAGAGGAATAATATTTCAAATGAAAATGTATTTTACGAGGACAAAACCATTGGCTAACATGAAAAAATGTGAATTAGACTTTAAAATCAAATAAAAAATAGAAATCGGACTATATTTAAAGTAATTTACAATCCAACCCTATTTCACCAAATTAAACTTAGTTTAACCACCTTCTTAGTCATTCCAGACAAAGAAGTTTCGCTGTAACTTGCCACAATGACAGGGCAGCGGCAACAATGGCAGCCAAGAAGTATCGTTTATGGCCAGAAGAAGGCGGGGTGTGCAGATAAGGAAAAGAGGGAAAAACAGAGGGAAAAGGGCCCACAGTGTCGGCCAACGTCAAAGAGGAAGGCGCCCTTTCCCCTGAAAAGTTCCAACTGGATGGCTTTAAGACATCTTTCGAAGGGTGTCGACTCTCATTTGCATCTTCACAACAGCCAGTTAAAAGAACAAACCAGCCCCAGTTGAAAACAACTTTTATCACCGAAATCCCAAACCTCACGGCAACCCAATTAATATATCAGAGTTTTTTGCTACAGTTAAACAAAAAGATAAAGAATGTGATTTACAGTTACATTTCAGTGGGAAAACTGATGTGTCGAAGAGCATCACGAAGGAAAAACACAGGTAAGGAGGAGCAACAAAAGCTCTACCTAATTGCATTAAGAGCTCAAAGGTGCAACTGCACCAGCGATGAAAATAAAAAATCAGAGCAATTCCCACAGAATCAGCGAGGCATTAGCCGGGTACACGTAATGTGATTAACATGGATTCCACACAAACACTAGTCAACGGCTAACGAATGAGTTAGCTTATTATTGTACCTATTGCTGGGATTAGAACTACGGCAGAGATTGCAGTTCTTAACTAAAATCCATTTTTCCATACTAATTAAGGAAAATTAAAGGATAACGCGAATTTCAAACTAAATTTCCAACGTTTTCAATGTTCTGAAATAAAAATAATACACATATTACTAATATGAAACGAATTTAAAGCTCTTGTTTTTCTATTATCATCATTATCTAAGCCCCATTTCCCGTTTGTCTAAAAATGATTTACTCATCTCTAAAATTGGAAGCTTTTGCAGCATTGTTGTTTGTTGTTCGTGGCTTGTTGTTGCTGCTGCATTCAATCAACGAGCAACGGCATTTTGAGAGCAGCGCCTGAGGCTTTTGCTTCGGCGTCAAACTCAGCGGTCAACAACACTTGCAGCGATCGAAAAAAAAAATGGTATAGCAAACAGCAACAACGGTGTCTGTTTGAGGAAGCCAGCTTAGAGTGGGAAAATTGGCAGAGAGCGGCACTCAAACGTGGAGAGTAAGCAAGATGGGATGAGGTGAAGAAGAAAAGGGGGTGAGGTGAGAGCATTGCAGGTGTTTGCCAAACAATTGCAGTAAAGCTTGGCACGCTTTTCTCCTCTCTCTTTCTCTCTACACTGAGAAATTAGGGTTCTCTTTTAAATGGTGGCAACTATATCAATTAAACTTTCATTATAAAATACAATAATAAAGGACCCTCTTAAGCAAAGTACCGTTACATTTCATTCTTTTCAGGGTTTTTAGGAGACGGTTTGCGTTCCTTAAAACAAAATTTCGAAAGTATAATTTAACTCTGTTAAAGCCTTTTAAATTTATTCAGCTTTTAGTTTTAGTGCCTGTTTTTCCAATAACAATTAATTGATTATTTTAAATGGTAATTTATAGTGTTACTTAACGATTTCTTTAATTGAGAGTAGGAGTGATTGTAAAAGGATCTGCATAAAGTTTCTTAACGCATGTTCTGCTGACGTTTCCTTTTGTAAAAAAGATTTACTAATACCCCTTGGCTTTTGCAATTGAAAATCACTGGCACTAAAGTTAAAATACAGCCAAATATTTGGCAGTGCACCTATAAACCCTATCTCCGTTTCTTTCTCACTCGCTTATGCACAAATGGCATGTCTCTGTTATGCTATTAACATGCTGTTAATTTGATTGAAAAATGCTTTATGGCAATAGCCGCAGTCGCAGTGGCGGCCTTAACTTTTGTTTTTGTTTGCCATTTGTTCGTTTTTGGTCGAGTGAAAGCGAAAATTACGAAAATTATACAGAAATCAATGTTACCGCAGCAGCAGTCGTTGCAGTCGAAGAAAATTGGATGGAAATGAACGGGCGGCCGCAAAGACAACTATAAAAAACTAAAAAAAAGAAACAAACAACAAAAGCCAGCTGTTTGACGTCTGCACGTGCAACGTTTGCTGGATTGCCACAGAAATTGCAACTGCAAATGCAACTTCAAGTGGAGCCAGCAACTGTGGCAAGTTCAAGATGCTCGCTGGCTGGCATAAGGTGCACCACATTCCTGATGTCAAACCAGACAAGTTCTACTTTTGCAACTAGTTTCTGCATTTGTTGTGGTTCCTAGTTCTTTAGCTGCTTCCTCCTTTTCATTCCCCGCATTTGGGGCACAGCACTTCATTTGCAAGCCAAACGAGCGGCAGCAACCTGGCTAACTAACGTTGTCCCAATTTCGAGAATTCAATGTAATTGGGGACACCTGCATGTGCCGAATTCGAGTTTTCCACTTTTTTTTAGAGTTCAAGGCGAAAACCCGTTCGCCAAGCCAAATCCAGGCGAAAGAATTGCGCCAAAAGTGAGGCACCCGAAATGGGACAAACCAAAGCTTCAGTTCCGGAATCACAGGTCATTTAAGAAGTCTTTTTTACCATTAACCTTGTTAAGACATCCAAAACTAAAACTTATAAGAAAAGTATAACTTAACCACTGACTTTAATCCTATTTAATAGTAAATCAAATGCCATTTCCCATTGTACCAAGATAGAAGATTGACACTTTACCCTTTCACCTGTTGCTCCAGCCGCATAACAAAACAAGGCCTCAATTCATTCAGGTGGCTGCCACCTCGAGAGCACCCACAAATTCATATCGATCCGGGAAAAAGGAACGAAGCACCAGCAGCCGTAGCACTGGCACAAAGTCAGCGCAATAATTTGCGCAATTGAACTCATCAATTGCAGCAATTAAATGTGCCCACGGCGAGAGGAAATGGGAAGTAGGGGGTAGGGTGTGTGGGTTATACAGACAATAACGAGCTATGAATTAACTTAGTCAAATGCAGAGAGGGGCAGCACAAATGGAAGTGATATAACGCCGGCTAACAACAACAGCAACATCAACAGCAAAAACAAAAGACCAACGACAGGCAGCAAAGCAAGTTAATTAAATGATTTTCAATGCCCGTCGACCCCGCGGTACACTTTCTTTTGCCTCTCGGGAAAATCGAAGAAAAACTAATGGAAATAAAATATCCGTTTGAACGCTTGACTAGCTTGGCTGGATGAATATATTTTGCAACATTTAATTGCTCAATTTATGTAAGCAAGCAAAGCAGCTCCGAGGGTCGAATTGATAACGAAACATCAAGCACAACAACTTGCTACCGACCAATGGGAAATAAACAAAATAATCTGTAAAGCTTTCTCAGAGAAAATGAAATGTTTTGTTTTTGCAAGGGGTGAGGGTGTAGAAAGTGGAAAAGACTAAGTCGCATCATCGTCTAAATGAAATAAAACTTTTTTGCGCAGCTAGAAATTTACATATACAAATCACGACTAAAGTCGCAGTATGATAGCTTATCAGCTTCCATCAGGCTAGCCAACGGCAACTTAATAGATACAAATTGAATTTAATGAAATGCATCCCATCTCCAGGGTTGAGGAAAACTCGTGCAAAACAAATGTGCGGAAACTAAGCGAAGAACTGAGGAAAATTGAAACTGTAAACAAGACGGCGACCGAGTGTCAATTTAATTAAGGAAATTCACTGCTCTATCTTTATCTTCGAGTCATTTCTATTTTGAAAAATGAAATAGTCTCCTATTTAATCGGAATGAGTTGAGTTTTATATCATTATTATTCACGAAAAATGAATATTTGACCAATATTTATTAACAGAAATGTCGAGGTACTTGTATTGGCAAGGTATAAAATATAAGATTTATGACAATATTGTGGTTAACCTTCCTTTTAGAGTAACAATTAACCTTCAATCTGAGTTCTACAAAGAAACACTGATGTATAAAAATACATTTTGTTAACTCATTTCTGAGTGGAAAAAATGAACCTTTAATTGGTATACTTGGCGGAATTATCTCCCAGTCGCAGGCACTTTGTGGGATGCAGTCGGAGCCAAAGGTAAACAACAAGCCAGAGACAACAACGTTCGGAACTCTTCATCCCTCCTTCCCTTGGACCCTGTGTGGCCCTTTGTTTGTTCTGACAGCCTGTCAGTGGCCAAGATGTGGCCACACAATAATCCAGGAGATGGCCGCCAAAAGGAGCGGGGTGAAGTTGAGGCTGAGAGGCAGGGACACGTGACACTTGATGGCCCAACCGCCATACCATACAAACTGTTTGCCTAACATTCCGCATGCATGGCAAGTGTGTTTGTCGAGGCCTTTTGCCCATTGCAAATTTGTTAAACAAATCAACAATGCTTGAACCAAACTCAAAACACTTAAGAAAAGCCCAAAGAAAGATCCTTAAAAACGTGAAGATATTACTAAGAATGTTAAATGTAAAACCCTATTTTGGTTAATAGAGATGTTTGTGGTTTATTTAAAATATATCCAATTAAATTCAAAGATAAAGATAATAGTTTACAAAGTAGCTTGAAAAAAGTCTAGGCTTTTCTAGGTGCTTTAATCTTCTTTTGCCATTTTCCATGCCAACTGGCTGACCCTGTTCTGCCGAGCAGTTTTAGAACAACGCCAAGATGGCTCAAATCGAAACCGAAACCGGTTTTCGGCTTTCAGTCTGAAAGAAGCGAACCTGCGGGCAGATTGTGTCTCGTCTTTAACTCAGGTGCACCACCGTAAATGGCAAAAGTATGTAAGTAGGAGCTGCCGTTGCTCCTCCTTCAGGAATCTGGTTTTCTGGCTAAACACCGAGTGCGACTTCCATTGGGCTTATACATTTTCGAGGGGGTTTGCACTTTCAAAATCCCAGACTGCAAATGAGTTACCATTGAATATACCTTGGAGGTTTGGTGAATGGGTTTATGAAATTAACTTAATGGGTCACTGGCTGAATGATTTCTCTGACTCATTCATTTTACGTGATGGATGCTGTATTAGCGATAAAATAAAGTACAGAAGCGCAGAAGCTGCATATAGAACTTTAAAAAGCTGATAAGCGGGTACAGAGATAAGGCGGCGTAGAATCGACCAAAACAACTTTACAGAGACTGTTCTATTTATAAACTGCACAGTTAAATACCCTGTAATCAACTGATTGCTGGGCAACCAACTAATTGCAAACTTGTTGGTAATTGCATTACACGGCGAAAAACACTATCTAGCTTGATAATAAAAAATTACAAGGGGAGAGTATAACAATATATTTTATAAATTAATAAATTAAAGGGGTTATTATAATTCTTTATATTTTATCCTGTTTGGATAAGTATGTCTTCTATATCTCAAAAGAATAACGACACTACAAATTTAACCAGTAGTTTTGAAAATTGCCTCAGAGTTCTGTAATAATTTCCATTTACATCCAAGTGTCAAGAATTTACATAATTTTGACTGCCTTCGAATTGCCCAATAGGTATTTGAAAGGTCCATAAAAATATTGACCGCTGGGTGTCTATTTTTAGGCTGCGGGTCACGCACTTAAGGCAATTGCCACTTGGCGAGCTGAATGTGAATTTGAATGTGGAACGCGATTTGTGCACGCCAACTAACGAAAGTGATGTCATTTGCAGCCATTTGTTGCCGTTTTCATTGGCACGGTTATTATTCCTGACAGAAGGGGAGGCTACCTGCCTACTGAAGAGCTCCAGGGATGACCCACAAGTGGTTTCCGTCAGCTGGAGCGGAAACTACCGGTGCGCAACAGGTGTGTCAGCAAGAAGGGCATTTATAGAGCAGAGATGAGTGTTACATTTAATGTTTTCGACGAGCCACAGTTCAAATTCAATTGGTCAAAGAGTTATATTAATCATTAGAAAAAATTGAATACTTAGTCATTTTCAAATCGTGATTCAAATATATTTGTCTAAATATTAATAATTGGAGAAAAACGAATTGAAAGTTGAAATAAATTATATTGTTATCCAAAGAAATGGATGAAAAATATTTGAGAGGTTTTGAATGCAAAGCTGATAAAAGATGATTCTTCTTTACAGAAACAAAATTATTTAAAATGTCATTTAACTTTTTTGATTAATTATAAAAGGTTGTTGTAAATAAGTTTTACTGTATTTCCTGTTGGAATGTATATAATCCCATAGAGAGAGAGAGAGAGAGAGAGCAAGATGGTGGCAGAAAATAAGAGGGTGGGGGAAGGGGAAGGTAACTGATAGGGAAAATATTAAGCAACCGATTTGACCGGCAGACTAACACACCGACATACACACACACACACTTACCTGATAATACGAATCCGACATGGTTTATTTGGTGCGCCGCGTTGAATCACTCGATGCCCTAGCTTCTTGTTGTTGTAGATGTTGGTTAATATTAATGTTGTTGTTTGTCTTTTTGGGTGTCAGTTTTTGTTTTTGGTTTTTTATTGGCGCCGCACACATGCACACGCGTCGCTTTTTTGTTTACCTTCCTTTGCGTTTTTTGGAATTGTTTAGCACTTTAACACCTGACGCCGAACAGTATTTTCTTTATCTCTTTTTATCGAACGCGCTCTCATTTGATTTCCTGCGGCCGAAAAAAACCAACAAAATGAATAGAACTCAGTTGTTTTTGGGCAGGGCAACATACACAGTCACACAATCAACAAACACACCAACAAGTGGCAGCACCGAAAGGTGAGTGAAAGAGAGATTGAGAAAGAGAGGGACAGAGCTTCTCATTTACAATTGTTGTGAGCGGAACAAAGAGATGGGGTTTTGCTCCTCTTCTTCTTTTACTTGCGCTTCTCTTTCCCCTCTTTTTTCTTGTTGCCAAATATTATGCATATTCCAGAGACAATGGCGCTTCACCCATTGAAATTGCCTCTTTTTTTGCTTTATTTTCTGTTCCGCTCTTGCAGTTCGGTTTATAAATAAGCTTTCTAGCCCGTGCGAGAGGCAGGGGAATTGCAGCGCAAGTGGCGGCAAAAAAAAGCAACTCGCGCAGCTAAAAGAAGAAGTAATAAAAAAGGATGTGAAGAGAGGGCCAGACGAAATACCGGTTGCCGATTAAATAGCCACATCCGCATTTATATGCACCTTGAATTAATGGCACGGCCAAGATTGTTTAAACAAATTTTTCAGCACTCGCACACACAAACACACACATGGTTTTACAATTATCTCGGCATCTTCATCATTTTTTATCTTTTTATACAAATCTCAGGTTATCTCACTCGCACACACATTCGCTCCGTTCAGATCGAAAAAATTCTTTTACTGCTGCTGCGTTGTCTTCTCTCTTTTCTTTTCTCTCGGTGTGTGGTTGTTGTTGCGCTGCCCTGCATTGCATTGACTCAATTCAAAATTAGGAATTAAATTAGCTTTCACGCACTCTGTGTTTTTAAATCATAACGCTTGGTTAACCGACTGCATGCAATAAACAAACACTGAATTTATTTGTTTTTTTTTTGTGATATAAAACGCAAAAATACAACTCAACACACACGGATGTTCGAGTTCGAGCCAGTGTGACCGAAGAAGATCTACAAATATATATCTTATGGCTTAAAAAATATACTTTTAATACTGATTTTGCCATGAAAATATATTAAATACGGAGGGTGAGCCGACTAAACGGAGCTCGACATCGCTAACTATCGCAATGAAATAATGAACCAACTGGGTGACTAAGGATTAAAATTTACAAAACCACATAATTAATAAGAAATAAATGTTTATTTAGTTATTATAATCTAAGCGGCAGGCTTTTTGGGAAGTGATCCAAAGGCGGAGATGACTGTGCCCTTGGTACCAGTAACAGTGGTGGTCAGAGCAGGAAGAGTGGGTTTTACTACGGTTGAAGCAGCTGGCTGATCCCACTTGGATTTGCTGTAAGAAAAAATAAATTTCACAAGAAATTCAAAGATTTTCCTATTCTTAATCGAGTCCTACCGCTTTTTGGCCTCCTCCTCAACCTTCCTGGCCAAAGCTGTGGCCTGCTCCACCTTGTCCATATCCTTGCGATCCTTCTGCCTCTTCAACATTTCCGTTTTCTGCACTGCCGCCAAAGACTCGTAGTAGGATTCTTCGCCCCATTGCAGGGGATCATATATCTCAGGTGGATAGTTTGTGCCAAACTCGTTGATGTCGCAAAAGCTGATTAGTTTGTCGTAGATGCTGGGATTACGGAACTCTTTGCGGTCCTGTATCACGCGATTCATGTCCATATTTGTCTGGCGCATCTTCGTGTACATCTTGGTGATCTTGGCCACCAATTCTGCAGAGGGTTTACCCTTGGGTTCGGGAGGCAGTTGGAATTTGTACTTGGCATACTTGGGATCTTTTTCGTAGCTTTCAGCCGTCCGTTCTTCCGTTGGAAATCCTCCAGGTTCCTCGTCCACCTCCATGGGAGTGTCTACCTCCTTGGAACCGTTTCCTGCATTGCTCTTATCTTTGATGTTGGGACTTTCTGCGCCTTGCGAATTGGAACTATCACTTTCATCACTGCTACTGGACTCCTCTTCGCTGGAGGGCGCTGCCCGATCCTCATCCTCGTCGGAAATCAGTGTGTCATCCTGGTAGCTCACTAATCTTCGCACTTTCTTGGCCCTCTTCTTTTTCTTCTCTTTGGATCGCTTGGTTTCTTCATCCTGCTTGGTAGGTGTTGGTGAGGGACGCTTGGGCGGAATAATGACCTGAAAGGTAGTTATTATTGTTTTTTAATACATGGTTGGTTTCTTTTAGTTTTGTGGTAACCTGGGACGCCGTCGAATTTTGGGAATCTGGACTGGCATCGCCTTCATTCTCGGAATCCGTGTACTGGGCAGTCAAGCTAGCCAGAGCGGCCATTTTCGGTCTTTTTTATGTTAAGGTGGCTTCTAGCTGCTTTTTTTGTAAATATTTGTTTAGAATTGTAGAAAACTCTTTTACTTTTGTTTTAGCTAAGAGACAGGGCTCCAGTAAACTATTTCTGGTATTTTTTTGACAAGGTGACCGATTCATGTTTTAAAATTTTTTTTATTACAAGCTATTGAATAAATTTACACATTTATCAGTTTTTTGTATTTTTTTACACATTAATTACATATAAATAAATATTATGTTATTATATTTAAACACAAATAATGAAACCAATATAAAATATTTGATAAAATTGTTTAGTATTTTTTGATCATATGTTTACTCATTCGTTAGCTGGTCACACTTTGGCTATTCAAGATGGAAAAACCGGAGGAGCTAGACAGGATTCAGAAAAGGGTCAACAAGATCCTGGAGGCCCGTCTGGAGTCGGATAAGGTTTGTCCTCAAAATTCTCCCAAGTGCGAACAATATCCAATAACTCAGTTACCATTATAGGACACCTTGGACGCTCTGAGTGGTCTGTCCACTTTTTTCACGGAAAACACCCTTCAGAACCGCAGGAACCTGCGGAGTCAGATCGAACACCGCTCCGTGGGCATCAATGAAAACTTCCTGAAGGCATTTCGCGAAGTAAAGCTCTCCCTGGACGCTGTGTGCGACGATCTGGACACAATGGCCACGTCAGTGGAGACCATGAAATCTGATCTGGAGACATCAAAGGCACTTACGAAGGATCTGATCGAGCAGACTAACACCATGCAGCGAGAAAGGGATCGATTAGAAGTCCATCAACAGATTGCCCAGGCTTTTTTGGCCCGTTTCCAGTTAAGCGGAGCTGAGCACCAGTTGCTCTATGGCGCTGCCAAGGATGCACCCATTGTACCAGACTTTTTCCGAGTTCTGGACAGGGTACAAAGCATCCACGCCGACTGCAGGTTATTGATGCAGTGCGGTTACCAAACTGCTGCCCTTGACATCATGGAGGAGATGACGTTGCATCAAGAGGGCGCTCTGGAGAGGCTCTACCGCTGGACTCAAAATCACTGCCGCAGTTTGGAGAACAACGAGATCGGTCCACTTATTGTGGAAGCCATGAGCAGGCTACAGGATCGTCCTGTTCTATTTAAGTGAGTACATTATATAAGATATTTTTAACACTTATTCATATTAATTAATTAGATACGTTATTGATGAGTATGCCATTGCGAGAAGGGCGGTTTTGGTGCGCCAGTTCATCGAGGCATTAACAGAAGGTGGTCCTGGTGGTAACCCTAAGCCTATAGAGCTTCATGCCCACGATCCTAAGCGTTATATTGGGGATATGTTTGCCTGGCTACATCAGAGCATTCCCAGCGAAAAGGAAAACCTGTCGTTGCTTTTTAAAAAGTGCGATAAGCAAGGTTTGCTAGAAAAAAATTTCTTGATTTAGTATCTTACATTAAAAGTCTCTATTCTGTGACAGATATTTCCGACCAGCTCCAGAACGCTTTGGGTTATATAGCCGATGGCGTCTGCCATCCCTTAAAAGTGCGCGTGGAGACGATACTGCAGGCGGAGAAAGACACTATCGTGCTGTTTACCATTTCCAATCTGCTGCGCTTCTATCAGCAGATAATGCGCCAGGTTGTGCAGGGCGGCAGCCTGGAGGAGTGCCTGGTTGAGCTACAGAAGAGCAGTGAGCAAATATATCTAGGGGCATTAGCTGCCCAGGTAAGAAGCGTTTTGCAACGGCCATCTGGAGGATCGGGACTAGCTTTAGAACCCCCACAAAGAGATCTTATACCGCCACCAAGCGTTGCCCGCTTGCTAAATATACTCAAGGAGATTCTTTCGGTAGCCACCATGGTCGATGGTCGGCAGGCGGACATCACCAAGATCGTGAGCTGTGTGATTGATCCATTGCTGCAATCCGTTCAGGAAAGTGCCGCCCATTTGCCCACCGTGGACATGGGTGTATACCTCCTGAACTGTCTGCATCACATGCAGAGCTCACTGGCTGTTTACGAATATATGGACGAACGTGTGGAGCGTCTGCAGGCACAATCAGATGCCCAATTGGACACATTAACTTCCGAGCAGGCTTCATCTTTGGTGGCCAACCTTAATCTGGGTCCCATCTACGCTATCTTGCAGAGCAATCAGTCCAAAATCGAAACGAACCTGCTGAAGATCTTTATGTCCAAGATGGATGCCTTTCTGGAGTTGCCTGATGTGCTGCTTCTGCCGCAAGTACAGCTCATTATGTCCAGCAGTCATCGGGCTACCGTTCAGAAGCGATCTTTTAATGTGATCGTGGCCATCTATAAGCAGATCTACGAGAGAGTTCATGATCCGGCCAACGGCTTTGAGCAGCCGGGGCAACTTCTCCACAGGACGCCTGAGCAGGTGGCCCACATCCTGACCTCCACGTAGTGGATAAGGTATTATTCCAATTTATATTGTGCATTACTATAATTTATAAATATCTATTAATTAATCCTTCTGTAATTGGCTTTCAATTAGTGGTTGAAAATATAAATAATTTCGCATTTTAATACAGTCTGTCGGGCGGCTTATAGGTTTATAAAGAAAATCAATCGTATATCTGATGCTGACAAGAATTCATTTTGCTGTTCCTCGCTTGGCTAACTTAACCTACGTCTAAATTAATGGTTTTCTAATTCATGGTGACAGTTGACCGTTGGAAAAGTTCCAGGGTAAGGGCGGAAAAGAATGCAGGAAAATTAGTTGCGGCCAGCTGCTGATCAATGGGCGGATTGAAAGTATGTGAATAGGGAGACTCCAGCAGAGCTAAGCAATTCGATTCGTTGAGACTGATATCCAAATAGTCATCCGGTCCCTCTGCAAACATGCTGGAAATGCTGCAAGCAAAACGAACATTGGTGAAAATAAAACTAAAACTAGTAATCAATTCGAAACTAACCGATAATTGCTGTTGGCGCCTATGCGGTCGATCCTATATCCCAAAAGCATATAGCACACATCTCGAAATTCCTCTCGGGCCGCCTTAAAGCAATCCTTCATCTTGCGCATCTTACCGTTCGCTGACTCCAATTCTGCACGCAGTTGGTTAAACTCCTTGAAGTTCAGGGTCATGCCGCCCGTGCTAGTAGTCTCATTAAGTCGTTGCTCCTGATCGTCTTCCAACTTCTTGTTTCGACGCTTAAGTCTCTCAATCTCCGCCTGCAGCTTCTCCATCATATTCTTACTTAACTCATAAGCTTCAGCAGCGGGATTTTCATTGAGATGCACCACCTTGTAGTCCTTCATGTTGAAGTCTCCGCGTAGGCAGCGGTGCATCATCTCCAGCTCGAGTTCCTCTTTGCGCCTACGCAACTTTTCGTTTTCTAGGCGCAGTGTATCCAGATCCTTTTTGACACTTTCGTAGCCTTCGGTGGGCTCGGGAAGTGGCTCCTGCTGGCGCATAGCCTGAATTTCACGCTCCAACGTGGCACACATGTCCTTGTAACCGGTGACTGTGCGTTCGAGCACCTCCACACGGTAACGAACCTGCATATCTTGCGTCATATCTGCGACACTGGCATTGCTCATGGTCAAATCCTTATCGAAGTTCTCTACCATCTGCTTATAGAAGTCGCGCTCTTTGGACACGGTGATCAGCTTACGCTGCAGTCTCTCCTTGAAGTTTTTGTGGCGCTTTAACACGATATTAAGATCTTCGATGTTCTTCAAGTAAGAGGTGCACTTTTGCTCCAGATCACGAATTGAGCTCTAGAAATAGCAATTAAATAAAGATTTAAAAAACGTAGATAAAGCGTACCTGTAAATGTTTGGTGTCCGAGGCGGCAGACGACTTCTCCGCCACATTGATAATGTCCTCCTTAAGAAGTTGCTCAATGCGCGAGCGTAGAGCCATCGGACTAACCAATGTGTTGGCCAAGCAGTGATCCTGGGCCACTTTGACCCACTCCTTAAGTTCTTGCTCGACATGAGATAATTTCACCTGTAATGACGCTGCCTCTGCACGGGCCCCTTCCTCCCGATCGAGTCGCGTTTTATAGTCATGAACCTTCTCCTCTAGCAGTAATTTATCACCTATCAGAGTGTTAAGATGCTTGTTGTGGCTGCGCAGGCGTTCGACCTCAGCCCGGAGATCCGGAACACTTGCTAGACGCTCTTGCGAGGTTTTGGTCACCTCCTTCCAATCGCTGTACGATTGAATCTCGAACTCTAGCTCATGAATACGATCAGTGGCCACCTTTAGACTTTGCGTCTGCATCTCATATTCACCGCGTAGCTTTTCGTATTTAGACACCCGTGCTTTCAACTCTTCGTGGCGCACACGTAAAAGATCCAGTTCATTTACCGTGGACTGCAGCTCGAGATCGGCCCGTTGGGCTATGCGGCGATATTCGCTTAGCTCGTTGCTGATGCACAGCTGGACATTGCGGGCATCCTCCACCTGTAGATACTTCTCCTTTTGCAACTTTGTCATGGCCTCGTCATACCTTAATTTAAGTCGAGACAATTCGGCGGTTGCCCTACTGGCTTCATCCTTAAATGATAGCTCACGCTTTCGCAAAATCTCAAACTCTTTCTGCAGTTCCAAGTGCTTCTGGCAGGTGATATCGCACTGCTCTTTTAGGGCTGAGCTCTTGCTCTCTGCAAGCATTATGGCCTGACGGTGCTCTCGGTCCTTTTTTTCGAGTTCGTTGCGAAGCTTGAGAACTGTAGCCTTACTTTCGATTAGATCCGTTCGGAGTTTGCTGCTCTGCCAGGAACCCAATGGATCGTTGGAGGAATTGTTCAAGGAAGCGGCACTCGAGTTCAGACTACGTTCCGGTGATTCCTGCTCCAGGCGCCGCTTTTTGGGAGCTATGTTACCAGATATTCATTGTTAAGTCTAAGTTCATACCAGTTCTTTACTAAAAAAAACACTTACAAGCCACTAAATCCTCACTGAAGGAGGCGGAAAGCCGGTTAAATAGCAGCTTCTTGGGCGCCGAGTGTGTTATGCTGTCGTTAAAACGATCCATCATGTTGTCCATGCTGCTGCGTATATCATCCATTTTAAGCGAAATTCGAATTTGTTCAATTGCTCACGTCTCTAGTTTAAAGAATAATATTTTATTCCGCTTCTTCGATGTTTTTTTAGTTGCTTTGTAAAATATTAGTGTTACCAGATAGTAAAACAGCTGTAAAACCATTATTGTTTTCGATAACGTAACCTTACCCCTGTCCTAAATTTAACTTAACCTACTTTTAACCTACCTTTTTTAAAATTATTTCGGAATTATGTTTGAATTTGTAAGATGTTACGGTAAAAAAATATTAAAATAAATAAAATGATTTTAAAACGTTTTGCAAATCGAGTTGACAGCTCAGTTTGGTATTTTCTTATCTGCACCACCCAAAAGTATGTTACTAAAATACCACATGTGAAAGCTATCGCTATCGATATCGATAGTACTTCGAGTGCTTCCGAAAATAAAAATTGATTTGCATTTGTTCTCGGCTTAACATGAATTAAATGTTATTGTTTTCGATCCGTTAAGAACTAATGAATCGCCAAATCACGAAAACTCACTTCGTAAACGGAGTATATTTAAACAATTGAACAACTGCCAAAAAGTGGAGCGTATGTGAAGTAAAAGGCGTGTGTACCAAGCGATAAGCGATTAAAAAACGGTAAAAAGGAAGCTTTGAAAGAAAAGAAAGAAAGAAAGATACATTTCGCAAAAGAAAGAAAAAACAACGAAACGCGTGTGTCGCATAAAACTGGTGAAAATCGCAACAAAAAAGTGTATGTCTAATAGGAAAATGTGGCTCCGCCAGCGATAACGGTACTCCAAAGCGCTCTCTCGCACGTACACAGGCATACACCGCACACGCACACCACTACCACTGCCAAATAGCGAATCCTGACCAACAGCCGCACCTATAAAAGTGGGCGTAGGTAGAGACAAATTACTGTTATAAATTGCCAAATAGTGATGTATGCTAATTGTTTAAACAAATCCATGGTGGCTTAAACTAATACCTTCGTAAATTCCAATACACACCTATACATACGTACCCACACATACCTACGCAGGGAGAGGGAGTCGGAAAGGAAACGAAAGTACAGGATAGAAAGCAAGAAGAAGAAGCAGAACGAAGCAGCATCGGCGCGTTGGAGAAATGTGCGGGAAGAGAAGATTGAAAATAAACGTGTAGTAGAGAATTTTTGAAGCACTCACACACCCACAACTCCCACACTCTTTCTCTCTGTCTCTCTGCTTATCCCGTTTGCCGCCTACACACACACACGTACGCATATACATACGAACGTACGCTCTCAAATCGCGAATAGCGTGAGCTTTTGTTGTTGCTGCTTCTCCCACTCCCTCTCTCATTCTGAGGCGCTTCTATTATTTTTGTTGTTGTTGCCGCTGAGCAAATGGCAGACCCTCTAAGCGGGCGCCGCTGGTGATAACATGTCGTAATGGCCAGAGAGGTAAGTGCAAACGTGCTAAAAGCAAAGCAAAGCCGGCAACTACGGCTTAACCGTTTCAATTTTCCCCGATCACAAATCGAATTGAAAGTTCATCTGCAACATATCAGCTGTTCTCACTTCATCCCTCGCAATCATTTTATGAAAACCTCCATTATGAACCTTACCCAACATTACAACGGTTAATACAAACAGTGTACATTAAGAGCTACACTAAAATAAAATCGAAATGTGTGTGAATAGTTGTGTTGAAAAACTTTACTCGGAGAATTGTTGGCTCTTTTAATAATAGAAAGCATATGTTGTGCGTAATAAGAAAATAATGGTTTTTAAACTATAAAATATACTCTTATACTCCTTAAACCAAAGTCAAGATTTAAGAGATAAGATAAGATTCTCCTCTAATGTGTACTACTAATACATACATATGTAATATGTTACTTCCCAAAAATATTTTAATTTTGTGGTTAAAGAATTCTGAATATTACATTTTACATGCTGCTCTATATTTTTGTATCGAAACACAACATGAGTATTTACTTTGTAAAGGTTACACTGTACATTAATTATTGGGCTGAGACATGCATGGATTAAACTACAGGGGCTCTGCTGTATCTATTTGAATTTTTTATATGACAACCTTTTGCGAGTGTATCTAGCAAGGCGTATCGCTGCGGATACTCCGCATTCGCGTCCACATCCGCTAGAGGAACCTATTAAGCCTGTGGCCCGCATTAGTCTCTTTGTGTGCGTGTCCCCCAAGCTCCTGCTCTGCATGTGTGTGTGTGTGTTTGTGCATGTTTTATGCAGTTCCTTCGTTTCGTTTTGCTTTGCGGGTGAGTGAATAGCTTTGACCCAAATAACTGAGGTAATACTTACGCCTCACAGATGTGCCACTCCCCCAACGCCCTCTTACCCCACACTTCTCCCCCATTCCACGTGCAGCTGCAACTGTTGTTGTTCTTCTTCCTCATCTTTCGCCCAACTTTTCCTTCTGAAAGGAATTTTTCTCTCTGGCTTTTCCAAAATTGTTGCTTTGAGAGCTTGTCTCCAAAAAACAAAAACAAAAAACAAAATAAGTTGCAAATTCCCCAAGCTTAGGAATTCCTCTAAAAGCTGATAAAAATGCAACCCAGATTGCTTTTAGTTGGCAGTTGATCTGGCATTATTTAGCATAAACAAAACGAGATTATCTTCTCTGCTTCTTACTGCAATTAAAAATCTCGGCCAGCAGCAGTAACAGCTATTTTAGAGCTCTGTTATCCTTTAACATTTACAGCTGGCAATGCTTTTGCGAGAGGGAGAAGTATGTAGAGAGTGGGAGAGTGAGAGCTGCATATAAAATTGCATCTCTCTCTTATTCTTTTTATTAACAAGACCTAAATGTTTAATGTTACAGTTTAAATGTTAAGCGGGCTATGGCCCTAAAAAGCTCTATTTTCCTTGGCCAAACAATCAAATAGTAACTGTTAATTGATCTAGTTTGATTGGGTGTAAATATTTACAATATCAAAACTCTTGGGATCCTGGGGAATACTTGTGGAGCGTTCCGAGGGAGAAGGTGCGCGCGCCTTAGCGTCCTGATTATATCACATAGATGCAAATGTAGGCCAAAGCACGTCCAAATAATGTTAACTGTTTAAACAGAGAACAAAAAAGAAAATGAGATTTCACTAAATGAGGTAAAGTTTGATGAATAAAATAAATAGAATATAGTTCGAGATATTTATATTTAAGAGTTTGTTTTAAATGAACTACATAGATAGTAGTAGTAACGGTGTTTTACCCCAACTCTACCTGTCTTACTCGCTCTCACAAAGCTTTGTGCTGCATTTCACCTCGTTCTCACTGCACTTCTCTCGCGTTTATGCCTCGTGCTCATTTTAAAACGCTGTTAAAGCGCTGCAAAAACGCACCCAGCCCCAAAAGTCGAAGAAGCAGCAGAAGCAACCGTAGTGAAATCCGATGCAGCATCTCATCGGGAAAAACTCACAGTTTGCTCTGCCAGGCTGCCAGGCACACACAGGCAGCAAAAGAAAAGGCTGCTGCCACTTTTCGCTTTGGTCCGTGGAAACACCACGTTTCAACTGGGTGTGGACTAAACAAATCCATCGTTTTTCTACACAAAAAATAGAATACTAATAACTTTCTTAAAAATATTTAATTAATAATTAAGAATCAAGGCGGTAGCGTCAAATGAAAACGAAAACTCGGCGGTTTCACGGGCAAAAGGGGCGCTGCAGGCGCGTAGTATCCGTAAAGTGAAAGTGCGAAGGTCAACCCGCCCTGACCTGCCCCAAAATACGAACGACGAATGCGAAATACGAGCAGTGAAAAGCGAAATTCGAGGCACATCTGCTCAGCAAGTTTTTACAACAAACTTAAGAAACAAGCAAATTAAGTGAAAGAAAAAAACTCCATTTTTACCCGAAACAACATTTTGTGTAAAGTGCGTTTTTTTTCGTGACCCCCTTAACAATTTTTGTAATAACGAATTTTCCCCCTGAACGCAAGGCATTTAACACTCAAACAATAAGCAATAAGCTTTAATTTTTGTAGAACTTTTGGTAAAAATATCCGGAAAAGAAAACGGATTTTATAAAGCGTACAGGTTTATATAACGGATTTTTAAAACAGACATGGATTACTGGAGCTTGAAGCTCCAAGTGTAAGACGACCTTGGGAGCAACGCGGCCCATAATTGCAAGCCAATAGCGCAGAGATTCGGCCTAAAAGTGGCTGGCAGCAGCAGCACCACCAACAGCACCACCAGCACCACCATGTGGTCCAACGCCCTGTGCACGCTGGGCGTGACGAAGCCGCTCTGCAACTGTCTGAGCATCAGACAAGTGGCAGCCGCAGCTGCGGCGGCGGCCCAGGCCACGCAGGGCGTTGCTGCCTCTGCCGCGTCAGCGGGTGTAGGTGGGGGCGGAGTGGGCGGTGGGGCCATCACAACGGGACCCTCGTCTGCCACAAACGGCGGTCTGTCAATGGTAATAGTTCCGTTTTCTTAAGTACAAAATACCACCATTCTCCCTCTCAATCATCAGTCATTTATATGTTAGGTGACAAAATAGTATGCATTTGTTATTGTTACAAACGTCTATTAACAAAAGGTTTAGAGGCTTAGCTAACCTTTCAAAATTGTATCTTATCTCATCTTTGGTCAATTCTATTCAAAGTTCAAGATATTACTTCATATATTTACTGTAACTTTACTTTTATATACCGTATGAAAGTACTTTATAAAGATTTCTATTCAGCAATCTATTATCATTTGTAATACTCTGTAAAAATCTATTAAAAATCTATTTATTCCCATTAAATTTTAATTTCTTATGCTTACAATTAAATAATTATGTTTTAAACAAACTACTCTTTAAAAAAAGAGATTTAACACAACTGTAAAAAAAGTCGTAAAGGTAACTAATCAATTTTCCACAATTGCCCTAAGCTCTAATATCAATGTTATTTTTAGAAGTTTACCTGCAGTCGAGCATCCCGCCGTGTTTCCGTGCTTTTTGCACCTTTTGCTAGCTGTTTATACATTTATTAATTTTAGAATTTATAATAGCCAACCAATCCCTGCCCCGCTGGCCCCCAGAATGCCATATGGCAATGGGGCGCAGCAACTGACCTATCCCAAAAGAAAAAATTCAGAACGAAGCGAAGGGGAGCACACAAAACACAGAGCGAAGGAAATGAAATATTTTTATGAAAAGTTTTCTGCTTGTTTTCGGTGTGGAGGAATAAGCAAAATGTCAACATGAATTTTTTGTAATTTTTCAAACATTTTATTTTGGGTGAGTGGGCGGGGATTTTGCGGGGGAGCTAGAGAATGTGGAGAGAAGAAGGGGGAATGGTTGGCCGAAGAGAGATATTTGTATTTGGCTCGTGTGCTGCACTCGTTACTGGGTCACTGGAGCGCCACACTCATGTCCTTGCAATACATTAAACATTGCAGCTTTCGTCCTGCTCGGATGGCCGTTGTTGTTGCCTGCAACTGTTAGCCAACAGCTGTGAGCGCTGTTAGCCAAAAGGATTCGTTTTCACTTTTCTTTGGCCCTTTTAAAATATATATTGTTTTTTTTTTTGCAAGGATTTGGATTGTTCTGTGGTATTATGTCAAATATCGGGTTTGGGTTTTTGAAACATATTTTCCGTATTATTTTCGATATTTAATTTGAGCTACAACCGTTGTGGCCTTGACATTTGCGCCCTTTTTTAAGCAGAGAAGCCCAATTAGCGGGCTGAGGAAATTATGACACAGCCCGGGCCTGCTGCCACACCCACTTGTCAGTTTTTCGTGCGCAGCGTTTCACAGGTGTCACGCCCATCCTGCATCCCCTGCATCCCACATAGCACATCTTACCATTCACTTTCCCTTTAGAATAGTGTAATTCGTAAAACCCATCTAATCCAAATTTCTCTTCGCAGGAGTCTCGCGGCAAGAGACCACTGAAAATCTGGGACAGCTGGCGGAATGTGCGCAAGGGCGTCGTAGTTGGGACCTTCGAGGAGCTCTTGGTCCGCGGCAAGGATAAGCTGGGGGTTCCTGCTTCAGAACCGGTGCGTGTTGTTCTGGAGTGTGATGGAACCCAAATCGAGGATGGCGAATACTTTCGCACCCTGGCCAACAATACGGTGCTGTTGCTGTTGAGGCAGGGTGAGCGCTGGTATCCAACTGGCGTCGATGTCATAAAGGCTGGTGGGTCTAACTATATGCTTTCTTCCTTAAGATCAGTACTGGCCATGGAAAATATCTCTCATCTAGCTACGAATTGCAAATAACTTATGAGTCCATTCCTTCACATGGGAAATGTTTATCAAGTAGCTAATAATACATGTAGTTAAAGTCCCAATTTGAATTTGAATTAGATAAATTAAAAGTTTTTATTGCTACGAAACATAAAAGTTAAATACGAATTAATTTATTTGAAGGCCAATTGTTACGAATTTTAATGATTTTGTTTAAGTTTAACACAACGGAAATTTAAACAATGATTTTAAATTTGTACGCTTGTTTTAAAACACATTTTCGCTTGTTCCGAAATTAGATTTAAAGAACAATAAATTTCGCTATTCTTTTAATGCGATTCCCTTTAGAAAGTTTCCGCTGCTAAAAGTTAATTGCAAACAAATCACTTTACAGGTGAACAAATAAACAAACAAAGCCCCATTCTGAGATTTAAAACAGCCTTTTCCTAAACCAATTTAAAACTATACCATAAATAAAAAAATCTTTATAAAGAAGCCTGTAAAAATCTTATCTAGAGTGTCCAGTTAGTGGTTTATCAGTACTGAACTTCAAGGTTATCGCAAATTTAGAATTCTGTCATAGTGAGTCAGAACTAATCCTAAAATTCTTTTTTACAGCCATATCAGCTATACCGAAAATCGTCTGTGAGACGATTCATGCGTTGGAGTTGCACGATGAGACACCGTCGTGGAAGATCATGGATAACAAAGGGCGTGTTACGGTCGTTCTGCACTGGGATCAGCGGCAGGGTGGAGGAAGCGGCGGCGGAGGAGGCGGTGGCGCCGGTGGCGGAGTGGGGAGCATGTGCTCCGGCCTGGGCAGTAGCAATGGCTTGCTGTCGTCTGACAAGTATTCACCCTCAAAAAAGGGTCTCTCCGCGCAGAGTTCGTTGGATAACAAGTCGGTGTCGTCGCAATCCTCCCAGCCGCGTTATGCCAGCCCTCAAATAACGGTGATCAGTGACGACGGACCGGCGAGCATATATCATCCCGGTGGCGTTGTCCTGCCGCCAGGAGTTGTGATACCCGGCGGCAGTAGGCGGCTCTCTAAGCAGGGTAGCTCTTTCGACAGCACCGTGGGCGTGGGCGTTGGAGCTGTCCACGTGCATACGCCGGAATGCGCCCACCACGCCCACACGCCCAGTCGGGCGGGCAGTCCCAGCACCACGGAGTGCGACTTCCACTGCTGTGCGCTGCACGAGGAGGGACGCAAGATCGCCGTACACAAGAGCGTGGCCACGTCGCCCATCCAGGACGGGAGCAGCAGTCCCCAGCCGCAGTCGGCACCATCGGTTATGGATCCTATGCTGGGCGGCAGTGGCAGCGGCGGAGGCGGCAGCATGCAGCGCCGCTCGTCAGGCGCCAAGGGCCATGTCCGATTCCTGGACATCGCCCCCGAGCGGGATAGCTCCGAAAGTGAAACGGAGAACACGGTGATGGAGGACGACAAGACGACGACGGAGAAGTTTCTGCTGCTGATTGATCAGCTTTCGGTGGACCAGAAGCGCCACCTAAGCATCAAGGACATCGGTATCATACTGGAACGCCTCAACTCCAAGATCCTCGACGTGGAGCGATTGGATCGCGAGTCCGAGTCGGACGATTGCTACAACTGGACGATAAAGGCGACAATACGCGGCGATGCGCTGCGCGAACTGGGCGTCATTTACAATGGCAACTACTATGCCATCTCCGAGCATCCTGGCTACAAGGAGGAGCTGGAGGAGAACGGCGAGGAGGTCGAGGAGGAGGAAGAAGAGGATGAGGAGGACAGAATTTAGAATGCAGACGGGAAAACCCACAGGTTCACGAATGTCCCACGATGGGCGCCAAAGAAGGTATCAATAAACTAGCGCATTTTACAGAAACAAAAAACGAAAAAAATGGAAAAACCAAAAATAGGAGTAGCCCAGCAGCTCAACACTCGAAAACACTCACACACACACATACACACACACCAACATGCATACATATATACATATATACTTATATAAAATAATTACGAGAATATAATAATGCAAGTCGCACATTGTACAATAGTGAAGTAAGCATAAACGTGAATATTATAAAAAAAGGGCAAAAGCAAAGCAGCCACACACCCAAAAACACTCACACCCACGCCCACAACAACAGCAACAAGCGCGAAAACCATGTAAACGCAGTTTTTGTAGCATTTAGCCATAATTCTCATAGACGGGGACCGACGTTAAACAAAGAAGTAGATCTGGTTGTAAACGCTGAAGCGGCCAATACCATCGAACTTCAGTTCAAGTATGCTAAGTTTGTAGCCTCTGCATCGTTTACAACCAGCTTAACGAAAATATATAACTTGAATTAAAACTCCCCAAAATTCAGCTCACAGATCAGTTGCATAAACCAAGAACCACCCATCCCTGTGTTGTTATCGTTGTTGTACAATAGATGTTTCGTGTTCCGTTGTGATTGTGTGCCAAAATAGCCTTATTTAGTTGGATAGCCCCACACACAGACTGCCACTCGAGTCAGGAAATCTAATCTAAACCCAAAGACTATAAGTTGTGAAAGAGATATAGATAACAGAGACTATAAATTGTTGTTGCCAGAAAAAGAAAGATGACGGGGTCTAACTGTAGTTCAGTCGGTCTCTCGTGTCCTATGTAGTGAGTTCCTCAGTTTGCTTTTTGACCCCCACCAGAATTTGTATAGTTCCTGGACAGCGTAACTCTCTGTTTGAGGCCTATTATTTGTTAATGTTGTTGGATTTCTTACCCGAATAACGAAATTCCCACAAAATCATCATCCGCATCAGCATGTAAAACTGCCGTTATTTGTAGTGTTGTCAAACGTTCAACAAAATCGCGCACAATGTTAAAATTAAACACAGAGAATAGAAACAATAAGCAAGATGCTCGATGCTCGCAAAATGCCTGACGAACAGACTAAAATATGTGTAGTAGATTATAGACCGCCCCCGCATGGCCTCCAAAAAATCAGCCGTAGATCCATTGGGAGTATCTATCAGAATCAGAAGACATCACACGATCGCAATCGAAATTATAATTGAACAAAATGCGTTAAAGCGAAAAAACACTGCCAACATCGCCATTAGCATTCGCATCTGTATTAGCATCTGCATCCGTTGGGTTAGGCTTTCCAACTTCCAGAACTTTGACTGTTCCATACGGGTATCAAGAAATCGAGGCTTAATCGAGAGAGCAGTAGGTTGAAGGATTCTTGGCAAGGACACCAAAAGTTTAAACAATTGATCTTCCAAAGTCGATGTAAGAAGAAATGAGTTTCAAAATTTAGCAGCATATGGTGCATTATATACTTTTATACTTTTAAGCCTTCTTTAAGATTGTACACATCTAAGGTCTTGATTTTATGCTTTCAATCTGCCACATTTAATATTGATTTTTAACCAAAACAAAGTTACCAAGTAATCATTGAACATCGGACAACTTTAAACTCATTTTAAAGTAGAAATTTATTCCTAATTTTAGATAGACCTGATTTATTCAGAAATTAATTCAAAAAATGTATTCTAATTTAAGAAATATGTACTTCCCGAAGTGCAATACTTTAGGGGTTCCATAGCAACCGTAGCTGGTCTACGATGCTAGTAACTATGTCCTGGATTAGATCCATGGACATTAGATTCCAGAATTTCCATTGCTCAATCAGATTTCCAAACACCTCGAGTAGCAAGCAACATGGTTAAATAAAACTTTTAAAAAGCAGAGATCAACCAATACTATAATCCGCTCTAAAACAAAACTAAATTTAAATGTAATACGGAAAAAAGAGAGGCGGGGAAAAAAAAGAAAGCGATTTTTAACATACGTGTTTGTCCAAGGCACAAATCTAAAACATTGAAGCGAGAAAATTTAATGAAAACCTAGTATGTATAAATGAAAATTGAAAAATTGATAATTGATTGATAACGATAATAAACAAAAAGTTAGAAAAGCGAGATGGAGCAAAGCGATAAAGAAGAACGTTAAACGAGAATTCACAATTAGCGAGGCGAAAAACAAATTCATTAGCGTTGTTTTAATTTATTAGTAAGTCGAGAACGGCAAGCGACCCAAAAACAAAAAACACGACGATGAATATATCTCCATGTGTATGTATGTATGATTAAAGGACGGAGTACGAGGGAGGGGAGTCGAGTTACAGAGAGATTGAGAAAGGTAAAATGGAAATACCAATGCGTACTCAACAAGCATAACATAGTTATAAGACGGGAACTCGCAATACGATGATAACTCAACTTCCAAACCGATACAGACTTCTTCAGCTGACTTCCATAATCATAATCATTGTTAACACTTAACTATAGAGGATAACGCTTTAAATGAACAAACAGACACTTACTTACACGAACCTTAGTTCCGTTGTTGAGTTAGTTAGGTTCTGTTCGATCCCCAGACCCCAAATTGAGTCCAAGACCAATCCAGTTTCCCAGTGTTCCAAAATCCAGAATTAGAGGCACTGCCCAGCCCATGCCCATGACCCTGCCCCTGCCCCCTCCACTCAGACTCGTCGTCACACACTCTGTGTAAATGCAATCAGTTAGATTTATAAGATGAATAACAAGTCGAAACGAATGTAAGACATCCCCAAAAATTAAAGGCATTAATTAAGCTACGAAAAAAAATTTGCAAATAATACTCATAGAGAGCGAGTCGAGGCAGAAGATGCAACACATCATGCGTCACATTGTTTTAATATTGCGAATTACGAATAAATTGATCAATTAACATATACATACAACAAAGAGCAAACAAATTACAAACTGTTTTTATTAATTTTGTTAAACGATAATGAAATCATTAAAATAACTCTAACAAAGGAAAACAAAGCTAAGCGGATAACAAACGACAGATTAAAATTAATAACATATATAAATCGATATATATAAATACACACACTCACATAAAACCAAAAACATTGAGCAGAGAAACAACCAAACAAAAAACAAAACAAAAAAAAAACATAAATTCAATTAAAAGGTAACAAAAACAAAAAGAAAAACGAAAAACAAAGTTTAAAACAAAACAAGCTCAAGTCGCAAGGAGCTGTAAGGCTAAAAAAAAAAACAAATTTGTTCACAGTGTAAATTGTAACACACAGAGAGCGAAATTAAACGCAGAAGATGAGACGAGGTGAGGAATGTGAGCGAGGAGCTATTATTAAAACATTAAACGATTTAAACAATAAAAAACCGAAAATAAATAAAACAAAAAAAATACAAAAATTTAAACCGATTCGAACTGTCTTGTAGATTAACCGGAACTGGCCGATAAACATTTCCCACTCAATATGTATGCGAACAACTGTATGTAAATATACGGGCGGGGATTCACACATCAACTGCAATGTTTATTAAACATGAACGAACGAACTAAAGGTTGTCTACATTCAACAATAAATTATTGAGCCAAACATTGAACAGTTTATTGCCACGCTCAACTGGAGCTGGCTCATTTCCGATATGGTAAACGGTGCGTTTCATAACCATAACACCATGACACACGTGGCACACGAAGGTCGAAATTCTAGCGATCGATGGCCGACATTGAGAGATTTCGCAGCTTGTTTTAATGGTTGTCGACCTCTATATGGTTTTGAAACGCACTGTCCGTAGATATATATATATACTAATGCCAAGATTTTCAATACATTCTACAAAAAAAAAAGTCGATGCCTTGTGGCATTTCGTTTTATGCGATTACGTATCTTATTGTATTGATAATCTTTGCTTTGCTTTTTAGTCAGAGCGTTTAAGTGCACATCATGCACACATACATACATACATATATGGGCACGCATTCACAGCAATCAGTAACAATTGGTAACGGTTAAAGCTAATCACATGGGTATACCTGCCCAAGGCGGTACCCAAAACAAACAATTTATTTATTATTGCTTTAGCAATCGGTTAGAACTGCTTGAGCAATTTACAAAGTGATAAAGCACTGTTAGCACAGTGCAATAACGTATAGTTTATATATGGTCATTAGTCATCTGAGTTGCGAGAGCGGCTGCGGAGATAATTTAATTAAGTAAGTCACTTATCGAACGCGTGACTAACAGTTAATTGAGCGCTTCGATTAGCTGTGTGTCGCGCACTTAACCTCACTCAACGCAATTGCCAATTTGTCTGTTTATCAAATCTACAGTCATCTATATATATATATATATATCGTTTTTGGTCGTCTGTCTGTGTGCTTTGTGATACATTTGTGCGGATATGTGGTATTGTCTTTATTCGTTGTTGTCTTATATAAGTTAACAAGTGCGTCTAAGTATATTAAGTTAGTTGACTTTGATAAGGATAAGGCTAAGGATTATCACTAGGCATGGAGGGTGACGACATTGGTGACTCTATGGCCGTAACTAGGCTCGGCACACGCGACAAGGAATCAAGGAATCAAATGAATGGCTATCCTAACATTAAGATCTCTCTCAACCCGGTGTCTGCAGCTTGCTGCTGGACCGGGAGAACAATGCCTTCTTTAGGATATTTGGCTGCCATTTGATAAAGCTCTTCTTGCTCTCTGACGTAGTGGAGATATTAGAGCTGCTGGCACTTAGCGTCCTTTCCCGTTCCGTGACATTTATGGTACTGACGGAGTGGGCGTGTCGCAGGGTCTTTGAATTGGCACTATCGTTACGCGGCGTCTTTCCAAAACTGTGCGTAATTCTGCGCAGGAAACGATCCTTTTTCTTCGGTTTGTGTTCCGGCAGCGGAGAACCGGTATCGCCGGACACCGATACAATTGTGGTCTCCGCTTCCGGTACTTTGTAGTTGGGTAGGTCGGTGACATCCTTATCGTTGATCTGTATCCGAATGCTGGGTGTGGTCACACGCTGCGGAGCCGTTTCCTCCACCGGCGAGGGTCTGAAAATCAGAGAGTATTAAATTTACTTCATAAATTTCAGCATGACGAAGCGGGTTTTTTTGCGTGATTCAAATCTCATACATAAAATTCTTTAAGTTAGAAGCTGCAAGTAATCATGATTTTCTCATCCATTGTATTTCTTGGTCATTTAATCAAGTTGTGTAATGAAGTTTATGTTTTCTTTGAAAAATAAATTACTCATACGCAGTGTATTACTTCCTGAGCTATTCTCTCGGAACAAAAGTATTTTCTTCTAATTCACAGAACAAATAAAAATTCTTGCTAGATTGTTCTAAGGTTGATCGCACATATGCTATGTTATATTTGCTTATATATTTTGTTTACAAGCATTTGGTATACATTTGAGATTTTTATGTGAATACTATAAACCGATTTCATAGCCCCTAAAACCCGCAGTAGTCCAATGTATATATTTCAAATTACAAGTTTGCTAACTCTTTCTATCTTTTATCTGAAGATTACTTTTCAGCTTGAAGATTTATCACGAATTTAGCCATAAATAAAGGTAGCAACACTTACGTTTGCACTTGCCGCGTGGAGTAGATAGAAAAGGCATCAAGGTCGTGCAGCGAACGGGCCAATTTATCCCAGAAGTTGAACAACTTGGAGTCCCCGGCGTACTTGATGTGTGTATAAATGCCCAGGGTCTGCGGTATGTGCATGTCCGTCTTGTACAGAATCGGTATGATCTTGCGAGTGTGATTCTCTACAAAAAAAAAAAAATGAAAACAGAACTCATTAATCGGTCTGACCCTGAGTTACAAACTGCGTAGCAGCTACTCACCTATTTGAATCTTCTGGGTGAAGTTCACGAGGTACGTGTTCTCCGGACTCCGAAGAAACTCCTCGGTGAGCACGACGATCAGGTGATTACAGCGGGTGGCCATGAAGTGTGAGAGTTGGACATGCTCGAAGGGAACGCCCATTAGCATGTCGCGATGGCGCAGGAAGAGCTAAAGTTATTGAAGATTTTCCGGTTATTTCTTAGAATACACAACACCTAAAAGATCTCACTTACCCTGAGATTGTATCGCTCAGACTCTAGATTATTCATGATCTCGGTGGCATGATCTATGTCTGCCTCGGCATACAAAACGCAGGCATTGTATCTGGGCAGCGGCTGACCCATTTGCACACATCTCTGATCTTCGTCGCTCAGGATTTGGACACTTTGGCCCACTGTGATGTTGTTGCTGCTGCTGTAGTTGTTGTTGGTCTCGAGACAGTCACTGGGAGGCGGCGGACACGCCTCCACCAGAGAGGTTTGTCTCTGCTCCTGCTTCAAGTTAAAACGACGGGTGTCTTTGGCTGCATATCGAAAAGTTGAATTTTAAAATTAATGTTTTTTAATATAAAAAAAGAATTTTTCCTATAACTCTTAAGAAATTGGAGATTTCTCAAAACAAAATATTTATAGAATATATCATTCTTATAAAAAAACAACAAGGTATGTTTATGTTTTCCAAATCAGTACTATGACATTTCGAAATCAACAAAAACAATGTCTATTCTAGACTTTTCTAGATTTAACCAGTAAGTAAATACAAACATACGTATATTACAGGAATATTTTTTATATTTAATTATAATTATTATTGGACAATAAAAATTCTAATTAAAAGTCGTTTGAATGCAAATTCTCAATAAACACAAACCGGAAACCACAGCAATGTTATAAAAAGTGCGCCCTAAAGTTTTTAAATAAATTATTATCATAATTCAAGCTTTGACCTTCTCAGTTTTTTAATTTGTTTTAAAATACATTTTGGGTTCAAGGAAATCATGCGCCAAAACAAATAATCCTATATAAATATATATATTCCTAAACCAAATTGTCTGGTTCGGGGCTCTTTTATTAATGACCGAATTTGATGCAAGGTGAATCCCCTTTGTGCCAATAAATAAAACAAACTACGTTCTAAATGATTGACATTTTCATTTAACTTGAATTGTTTACGTTCTGTTGTTTATGGCTACTCAAAATTGTTACTAGGTGGGCATTAAAAATAATTAGAAGTCCAACTTTTTGTTGCTAATATATAATAAATAAATAAAAGTTAATCATTCAAAAGTGGGTGACTTTTATATTTAGAACATCATATCTGGTACTTATAATAAGTCAATTTTTTTATGTATTCAATGATAAGAATTGTTTGATTTAGATATATTCGTCACAGATAAGTTAAAGTACACACGCGTACTTCGCATAGCTTCGATATCATTACAAACATCCCCACAATCATTTTTATGATCACAAAACGGTTTTTCCGATCATAAATCCAAAAACCATTCAACAAAAAGTTATTGATAATTATTATTTATAACTTAAATAATATTGAATGGGCCACTTTGGTAACTTAAGGAATAAGGAACTGTTCTAATTAGAAATTTGATAAGCCTAACAATTTCTGTTAATCAAATTTTTGAAAGAAATTGAAATAAACTAAAACAGAAAAGTTTCATATATAGTATCTGAGGGTTATCTCTGGATGTCACTCATAAAATAATCTTTAGTCTATTATTTTGACTTGATTGATGGTACTCGAATCTCAAGGGTGGAATTTTCAATTATAGATACAGATTACTTCTATCTGCACTGTATTCTATATATTTAGTATAATACATACCCAAATTCTCCTGGATATCATCGCAGACATCCCATCGATCGATAATGCCAAGGAAGTTCTCGAGATGCCCCACCTTGGCGGTCTGTGGACTCCGTTGACTCCAACTGATCAGTACCAGATCCATGGGGTTATTGGCATTCTCATCGACGAATCCCTTTTGTTTGGCCAATTCCGAGATGCCACGCCAGTCCCGCTGGTAGCCCTCCTCGGATCGCAGAACCTTCTTGCGATTCAGCATACGGGATAGTTGAGTGCGGGTCTCAAAGCCCAGTTCGGATAATGGGGTCTCGTTGAAGTGCCCCATACCGATCCCCGATCCGGCGGAGTCCATAACTCCCTCGGCCACCACCATGTTAGCGGTGCGATAACGCCGATAACTGACGTCAGTGGCGCCGTAAATGTGATGGGAATGATTGGGGGGATTGGGATTGGAATTGGGATGGAAGTGGGAATGGTAGTGGGAATGGGGATGGTAATGGGTATGGGCAACCGAGTGCTGCTGATGGCATACAAATCGAGGGCGCATTCGCACTTGGCGCTGGCTTTATTGGAATAATTGGTGTTTGTTTGCTGGTGTGTTTGTTTTAGTGCCAGTGATGCGATATATATTTATCAACTGACGTTTATCAGTCGAGAGGGCGGGCAATAAAAACGACGAAGCGCGTGAGTTTGCTATTGTATTTAGGATTTTTTCTTCTTTTTTTTGATTTTTCAGATCGCGCGTGTTGTTTGCGGGCGGATGGAACTGGAACTGAAACTGGTTGGAAAAGGGGGGTGGTGGTGGTGTTGATGTTGTATGTTGCTACTGTAGTGCTATGCGAAATGGGCCGAGTGACCTCCAGCACCTTGCCGCGTCACAGTCGCGTTGTTTTTGTCTCGGATTCTGTGTTTTTATTTATCTGTCTGCTGCTCCGCTTCGTTGTTGGCGGAGACGGAGATCTTCGTTTTTTGCTTTTTCGTCTGGCGTATGATTTTTAAATATTGTTTAAATATACACAACACATACATATACACATTTACACATACACTGTCGCGGCACTAAGCACAAAAATAAATTTTATTCGCTTTTTTTCGAGTGCGTCCGCTCCGGTTTGTTGTTTTGTTTCGACTGGTTCTGTCCGCCGTTTCGTGCTTTTGTTTCTGCCTCGTTGTCCGCTCCCCCCCGTCTCCACCCCCTTTCACTAGCTCCACCGCTTCCTCCTCCACCACTGCCTTCACCTTTCACTCGCTTGTTTATTTTGGTTCCACGCGGGTCGAGGCAATAAGGCGGAACTATCTGCTCAGCTGCTTTTGGCTAGTCGGCTGACACCAGTCTATTTGCACTGGCTAATTGCTAATTAATTTATCTTCACTTTTGTTTCCTCTACTTTTCAGATGTGATCGCGAGTCCGATAAGCTCGTGGCGATCGATGGGTAAAAGCTGGAGCAGATGAGCTTTTCGGGTGGACAGTTATCGAATTGGGGATTTTGGTATTTTTTGGGGGCCAACCAGTCATCGGTTGGAGCTGCGGTATTTTTTGCCAGCGGGGCACACTTAGAAGTAAACATGGGTTCCGAAAGCTTTAAGAGATGGCGCTCTAGAGCTTTTCTTTTTGGAGCCATTCGGGCTTGGCTAGTTATGATTCGAAATTCATTATTTTAGACCTTTCTATATGCGATTTAAATTACTTATTTTAAGAAAACAACTGTATAAAGACTTAAATTCAACTTACCAATTTAGTTACATTTTCAATTACTGATATAAAGCACTCTACACATTTATAAGTTGCAATTTGAAGTAATTATTTTCTGTCAGAAAATCCGTTTTAGTGAAAATTCATTATTGGTAAAAATGTATCTTCAACTTATTGAAATAAAATAATCAACAAAGTGACAGTTGGAGGTATCCATCTTCCTTATTTGGCTGAACATAAACTCGTAAACATAAGTTAAACTTTCTTTGCTCTAAAAGATACTTACTTCCATGTAAGTGAAGAAAATATTTCTCCCCAGAAGAAAATGCTCGTCGACCTTTATCAAAGGAAATGGAATTTCTAGACAAAATGTCATATACCCACTCGTAACTCGTAAATAAAACTCTAAGTAAATGTTCACTTGTAAATTCAGTTTATTTTCATTTGATTTTTGTTTGTTGTTTGTTGTGGTTGATGCCTGCACTTCAACGCTTTTTCATTTTCATTTTCAGTTACAAATACTGAGATATACTTACTACACAGGTGACACAAATTGATTTATCGCTTGTATGGCTTTTGTTTGAGTTTTTCTTTCGATTTTCAACATTTCTTGGTTGATGAATAAAACGCTGAAGGCGTTCAAATGTATTTTTAAATATATTTGATTTGCATTTTTCATGGTTTATTTTTGTAATTTTTTCGCTTTTGGTTTTTCGCTTTTTTGGTTGGCTTTGCGTTTTTCGCATTGCCAGCAACAATTAACAGTAAAAGTTGATTCCTTGCGCACAAGTTGAAGTATTACCTGTTTTTGTTTGATTTCCGTTTGTTAATTTATTTAATGTTGATTTACTTGGGATAAGCCTTCTCATTATTTATTTATTTATGTACCTACTTGGTATTTACTCATTTGGTTTGTTCTTCTATTTACAATACATCTGCATGTGTGTATCTGTGTGTGTTGTGATACTGTGTTGTGTGTGTGTGTTTGTGTCTTTCGTTATATATTTGTTTTTTGTTTTTTTCTTTGTTTTTCATTTGTAAATAATTGCTCAAACTGGATTGGGCACCAAAAGTCTCTCGTTCAAAGGCTAAAAAGTTTGATTTTTTCTCGAGAAATAATTTCGTTAATCATTAATTTATTTTTGCTGCGTGTTTTTGGTTTTGTGTTTTATTTTTTTTATTTATTTTTATTTTTAACCTGTGTCATTTATTCATTATTCATTGGTATTCATTGCCCTAAAACGTTACGAGTATTTCAATTACATCAATTTACTTGCTTCGATTGTAGTTGGTTGTATAATAATTCAGCTTACATTTTTACACTTAGCTAGCCATAATTACAGACATTAGTTGTATTGTTTTAATTAGGTTTCCCTCTTAACCTCCATTACCTCTCAGTTAATATCCCGTTTAGCTTCGTTTTAGTTTAAGCATGCAGTTAAATCAATTATATGCGAACCTAGTAATATCATCCCTCACACACACACTTGTTAAATGCAATTACTAAGTACAATGTTTTGTTTGATTGTTTATATTATAAGTATCCTTTGCGGTTGCCTTGTGTTAATTTGAATGTATCTATGTTATTTAGCCTCTGTATCTGGTCAAATATGAGATTTATTCGTAGACCGAAATGCATATCTTACAAATCTGAATGAGGTGTGTGAGTCTTTGTCTTTGACATACTTGCATTGCATTTAACAACGATCCGCTTCTAAGTCGATTAAATGTTTAAGTTTACAATTTATTGAGCTAATTTAAAGCTTTCCATTTGTTTTCGTCCTGCCCATCGTTGAACGAATGCTTCCCCCGTTAGCCAAATGCCACAAAATTGGAGAAAATTTTATACTGAGAAAATAAAGTTTATGGTAGGAAAGTTCATTAAGAACTTCTGGCTGGTTCGTGGGTCATTTTTAGTAAAAATTTTAAATACAAAAATGAAACGAAATGAATAAAAAGGTTTGGTTACAAAATTGGCTTAACAAATGGCATCTAAATATTTAAAACAAAAAGATCTTTCTGAAAGATATTTCTTCAACTGTGTGTGTTTTTCCGGAACGCAAATCTTGTTGTTTTGTTCTCTGCATTTCTACCATGTTTATGCAGGTGCCAATGTCTGTGTAATCTTGTGGGATACAAAATAATTTTCCTATCTGTGGATCACAATCGAAAAACCTACTAAATGGCCTTTGTTTAATAGGGTGAATATTAGGAATTATTTGCGTTGTAAAATACGTTTCCGGCTAATTGTTAATTGGGCAAAGAGAGTAATAGAGAGAGTGGGGCGACTGGGGGAAGTTCGTTCACAAGTTTGTATTCAAGCTTTCAACGCTCTGTTGGCTGAAACCGATAGAAGTTTGCTTCAAGCTAAATTTTGTCGTTAAACTTCGCAACTGAGTTAGCACAGGTTCGTAAAATGATTCATTTGGTAAAGGCTGGGCAATCAATTCTAGCTGCTCGACCACAAATTAATTGTAACATTGAACACCTAAAAAAACATTTAACATTTAGCTTAGTTTCACTTAGTTTAAATCCATTTAAAAATTAATTCGACAACAAGCTCGTTTTGCACTTAAGTAACAGTTTCACATCGATCCGCTAATTATCTAACTTTTCCTTCTTATTTTCTGTATCATCATTATTATTATTATTATTATTCAATTGTTTGTTAATTTACGCTATGCCACATTTTGTTTTTAGCAGGTTTCTTATTAGGATTTTGTAGGTTTCCATTGGCACAAGTTGATTTTCCAAGTATGAGTAATTCTATTGAATGTTTCTTTTTGCTGCTCCTTTACAATTATTGTTAGTTAACCTATGAAAATCGTATTTTTACTCAAAACGTATCTTGGAATACTCGATACTTATGCTTTCGCTTTTCCTCCAAACTCTCCTCTTCGTTCAACGTCGTCTAAGAGATACAAAAACTTTCTGTTGTTTATTGCAATTAACATTTACTTAGGAGTACTTTTCAGTTAACAACTTAGTTTCAGACGTAACTATTGACCAACTTTTTTTTTTTCTCTCGCCAGCTGCCCAAGTCGACGCCATTCAGGAGGAGAAGACTTTTCGGGTGGGATAACTAAAGGAGGGAAAAGCTCTGCTAAAGAAAAATTGAAACCATTTGGCTAATCAACTGAACAATCGAAACCTTTCGCTTAATTGCTCCTTCCACTTGGCGTCGTCCTGCAGCCTCAACTAGATCATATCCTAAGCACAATAATTACAGGACAATCGAGTCCGTTCTGGTAAACAACTTTGCCGGAAAGTAAACGTTTTTGAATGTATATCTCTTCGGAAATTTTTTAACTGAGTTTGTAACTTAAAAATTGCAAATATGAAGATTTCTCCTTTAATGGAAAACCACATAAAAGTGTGCCTGAAATATGCTGTGAAAAATAGTACAAACTAATTTTGTACATTTGGTTTTTTGGAATAAAAACTACTTATGGCATCTTTTTAGACACATTCTTAAGTGATTTTATACCCCTGGGGAGAATGGTTTTTAGGCGAATTTGTATACCAGAACGTCACTGATCTAACATTTAAAATGCCATCGAAGTAACTCTATAAACAACGTTTTAACTATTGACTAAACTGCATCACTTTTGATTTTCTTCGACCATTGTATTTTCCTTTGTTTTCTTTTTTTGGTTTGCTCTAAGTGGAGTCTACCTCTCAGTTAGATATAAAACAAGTGATTTCCGCCTGGGCAGACTTAACTACAATTAGCATTAAGTTTTTTTTTTAGCTTTAGCCGAGCACTTCGGAGTGCTCCATCCTCGTTTATTATTTTTAATTTTAGTTAACAATTTTTTTCTTTTGTTTCGATTTCTTGTATTCTTTGTTATTCTTTGTAGCTTTTGTGCGCATAACTTTGATTAGGGCGGGGCAAAATGGGGAATTGCAGGAGTGGGGGGAGTAGGGAAGAAGGCAGAAGGGTCCTCCGGCTTCCTGCCACAAACTTGTTGTTCTTGCTGCCAACCGCTGACATTTCCAGCTAGCGCTGACATCTCATCCGGTTCTGGTCGCATCTGGTGCAGCGGTGTCACTTCCTTCCTTCCGCTCATGGAACGACGTGCAGCTGCATCTCCATCTGCTGACGCTGCAGATTCAGCTCGGTGCGGTTCTTCATCATCCAGGTTCGCTCCAGATTCTCTCGGAAGTTTCGCTCGTTCTCCTGTCGCACTGTCAACGATAGAAATCGGTGTAAATGATCTCGGATTGTAATGGTTAAAATGAAAATCATTTGTGCCAAAATGCGGTTTGATTGCCAAACAGCTTTAATATTTACATACTTAAATAAAAATATTTGCTCATTTACTAAAATATCTTGATAAAGTGAAGGACAAGTTTGTTAAAGATTTAAATTCAAATATGCTTAATAAAATGACATCTAAGTTTTTTGGTAAATAAGCAAATTTCAGTGCCCTTCTTATAATTAATTTATAACTCTAATGGAACAAGTTTTTAGGTATAGAAATAATTTAGAATATAAGTACAAAATTTTCACTGCGCACTCGTTATTTTCCTGTTGCATTTCGTTCAAACTGCAGTTGAAGTAAATGCCTGTTGATGAATTCTCGAATGCAACTTTCATCAATCCAGACTATTTACTTTAAACACAGTCCAACATTGTTCATCTTCCGCTGTTTTTATTTCCGTTTCCGCTTTGGGTTATCACGTTCGCATATGTGTATACATATCATGTACATATCCCCCATTTCACGCACACGTTACCCGTTTTTTTTTTTTACTCACATACCCACACCCAACCCAATTCTCCTCTCGAAAAACCCCCTTGACATGACCCCCCCTGCGATTGTCGTCGCGGTTGCTGTTTGCTCAACGCTTTTGTGCATTTTACAGCAGTTTTAATTAACGCTCAACAAACTGGAGATGGAGATGGAGATGGAAACGGGAATGGGAATGGGAATCGGTAGATAGAGAGGTGGTAGAGGCAGAGAATTGGATGGACAAACATTGGTTACCTGCCCGTGGGTGTTGTGTAAAGTGTCAAAATTTGTTTGCCAATCAATCACAAACATACACGCGGACACAGAGACAAGTCACAGTTGGTGTTTCAGTTTGTTTGTATATTGCGAATGCGAAACTGTTGCATATTCCCCATATGTTTAAGTCCTTTGTTTTATATGTTAAATTTCTGTTTTGTACGAGTATGTGTGCGTGCTAGTGTGTGTGTGTGTAATTTGATTGATTTGCCGGAAAAGCTGCTAATTCAGAAAGTGTTCCTATCGGGTCCAATATATACACATATAGTCGTATATAACATTTTGCCATTGCACTATTTGCGCTCGGCTGAAATTTAATTAAAAAATTCTTGCCCCAAATGGCCACCAAACAGACCGACGGCCAACGCAAACAAAAACACAAGCGCACACACTCTGCTGCAAGGCTAGTGCAAAAATTTAAGTAATTTTCCCCTTTTACGCTCTCATTTAATTGCAAAAATTAGTAATCCCATTTCCACCCGCAGCAAGCGACTTTAACGAGTGGAAGTGCAACCACGATGCAACATCACACATCGTTGGTGCTGCTGCCACTACTGTTGCTACTGTTGCTGCTGTCGTCATCAAATTCATATGCATATATGGGCCAAAGGCCACATAGTGGTTTCCAGCCGCATGGCCAGGATATGTCCAGGCATCCTGGCTCCTATACCCCAGCCCGTGCTCGTGCCTTTGCATGGTCTATGAGGCGTAATCGCAACGTGTTAATGCCAAAGTGAGGGTGGTGTGGCATGGAAGGGGGCAGAAGGCAGGCTTGGAACAGGTGACGATGCCTGCCATTATTCACTTGGCCAAGTGCTGTTTGTTGCCGGCTTTGTTGCTGGCTCTGGTAAGTAGGAGGTACTCAGCACAATGCCTCCTCAATTTGCCCTGCTTTCGGGCACTGGAAGTTAGCCTGTAGGTTGAAGGGTGGCTTTGGTTGCTTTACTGGCAATATTTATTACTAGATTAATAATATTCTGTTTGCCGAGAAGCCATGAGGCCCTGGGGAGAACTAATATCTGTAGTGAATCCTTAAACTAATACATGTTCTGGTTCTGGCTGTTTCACTAAAAGTTGTTTTTAAAACATTATATAAAGAGAGTTTTAAATATAAAAACATTTTCTAAGACCGTAAAACTCATAATTTTACTACCTCTTTTACCGAATTCTTTTTGTTACAGGACATAGCCTAGTTGATCATTCACCTGTCCTCAAGGACGTGGGTGAGCCATGTGCGTGCCCAGTTCCTGAGAGCAGTTCGCGTGTGCCTCGGTGTGTGCGAGGCTATACGAGACCAATTAACATATAACTTTCCCACCGGTAAACAAGTTAAATTGTTAACAGCCATTATGGGCGCTCATAAATGCTGCCGAGTAACTTTCAGCCTCACGCCCGCTCTACGCTTTTGTACCTCCAACCTTCCTGGCTTGCCCACACTTTTCATTCAGTTGCCTGTTCTGTCTGCTGGGCGCTTTGTCTTTCATGTTGTTTAATTATAAATGTGGCGTTGAAAGCAAAAGGCCCCTCCCCTCTGTGCTCCTTCGGAGCTTCTGTGTCCTGGCCGTCACGCCAGTTTGCCTGACGGATGGCGACCGACGCCTAATTAGCAGCCAGGGAATGGAACTCTGGCTATGGCCCTAGGGATTGTTTTGCATCCATTGTACCTTCAAATTGAATTTATTGATGCACTTTTGTTGCCTCCGCTGTCTGGTTTGCCACTGGCATTAGGTTTTTTTTTCTCTTTCTCTTTTGTGATTTAACTAGAGCATGATGGAGATGCAACATGCAACAGATTTGCCTCGGTAATGGAAAGCTTGTTGAAACAACTCGTCCATTATTGCTTTCAATTATGAATATCACAATAGAAGCTATGTCAAGTGTAAATAATAACTAAGCGAAACGAGATTGCATTGAGAAGTGTTGCATAAATGAAAAGCGCTGTTTAAACAAATGTACAGCCTCCCATCTGATTGTTTGCTTATCCTTATCAACAATAAGTTGCAACTTCCTGATGATTTGCCTTGAAGCTGAAGTTAAACTTAAGTTGCAAGTTAATCGTACATGAGTTTAATACATACATTTTCACTGAGAAGTGTTGCATAAACAAAATCTCGGCCTACGTATGGCCTCTCATTTGTTTGCTTACCTATACTTATACACCTTGTGTAGGTTGATCAAGAGGTTTCTCATGAAGTTTCAAGTTAAACATATCGATTAGAGCTTAGGATGCAAGTTAATCGCACACGGAGGAGTGAATCCATGAGATACATTTTCTACATCCTATCAGCAATAAGTTTTCACCTTCTGCAGTTTGATCAAGTGGTTTCTTTTAGAGTTTGCAGTTGAACTTTTCGATAAGAGTGAAATAAGTTTCTGGCTGGATTCTTTTCTGACCTCAAACTTTTCTGTGCGAACTGTCAATTTGTCGCATTTTTTATGTGGATGTTTTGCAACTTGCTAGTGGGCTTGGCAATTTGGGGACTTTAGCGGTCACACGGGACTCTCGACTTTGGCAAGGACATCGAAGGAAACTGGGCGGGCAATGTCACTAGCAGGAGATGCTGCTACTGTTGCTGCTGCTGTTGCTGTTGCTGTTGCTGCTGTTGCTGCTGCTGCCTTATAATAAACAATTGTTGTTAGTTTATTTTTGTTGCCAGTTTTGCTACTGTTGTTATCGCTCTTGTTGTTGCACTTTCCCTTTCTGGCGCTCACTGAGGCGCAGTTGAAAAAGTAACCTAGTTTCCATGTCGTCAACGTGAAATTAAGGCTATGAGTGTGAGTGCGCCTCCTGTCTGTGGGCACACGCACACATAATAAAAAGGAAACCAAGCGTACCGTGCCGTAATGATGCTGCACACCCACACACATACACGTTAACAAACAAAACTATTAAGCGAGTGTATAAAAAAAGAGCATGGTAACCAAGGGAAAGGTCTCCGCAGGCCTTGGCTGCTCAGCCTGCCAGTCTGTCTATCTGTCTGTCTGCCTGTCGGTCAGTTAGTCACCCACTACCACCCACTGAGAGTCGGTTAAGCATTGTTTGTCCTCGGCTAAATAACACTCACACAAACAACCACATCTATATCCACACGCACATGCAATCCCACACCCACACACACACAGACATACTCCTCATATACGCACACACGTGCTGATTAGTTTGGCTTTTGCGGCAAGAAGATGCTGCGGCTCCTGATGCAGTCAAAGTCATTAAAGTCACGGTAAGTAAGTACAGCATCATTTTTTATGGCCGTGTGCGTGTTTGCCTGGCAGGTTAGTCAGTTAGTCCGTTAGTCAGTTATGTAATGCTCGAGATTTTGCTGAGCTTTTGCCAGCTCAATATTTGAAAATTCCTTCCCATAGCTGCTACTGCGTTGTGTGTTTGTTTGTTTGTGTTCTTTGTTTGAGGGTGGTGTTTAAGGAGAGGGGTGGCATTTCGGTGGACAGAAGGGAGATGGAGATGGAGCTGGTGCTGAAGCTGACATACATATTTGTATTTGCACAGTTTTATGGTCTGTAAGGACATATGGCAATATGGCCACAGTGACTGCTAGTGCTTTAAGCCCGATAATGTACCCGAGATTTGACCTCGTTCATTGATTTGCATCGACTGGGGCAGATATGGAATGCAGTTTAAAGAATTCCAATAAGGGAATGCCATTATTTTATATTTAAATATTAAGTATTTATGGAAAATAATTTGGATTTCAGAGTTGCAACAACAGAGGGAGACAGCAGAGAGATTTCGATTGTTGATGATTGATTGATTTTTAGTGAATAGAAAATGTTTTATGATTTGGTAGTTTTCTTTTACATTGAATGTGATTATCAGTTGCAGTTTGGATGATGTTACATGTGCTTTACCTAACATATAGATTACACTAACATATCAGTTACCAAAAATCAAAGCTTTCTGCTGTTTGTTTCTCTTTTAAACCGTCTAACATCCATTTCTATTTTGGAAACTCATACTCATAGCCTTGCCTACTTACAGACTCATCGATAGTTGCCGCTGCATATCCTCTTTGTTCTCTTGTCCCTCATTCGTTGAACGTCAGTTGGACAATTTGGGGCAACCAGAGACCCGGAGACTCAGAGGAAACAAAATGTTGAGCGGAACGACAGCACGGAATCGAAGCGGAAGCGAAAACGCAAACGTTAACGAAATCGAGTCCAAAGTCAGGGGATAACCAGCTGGCAGATTGGTTTGGTATTGGCCGAAGCACAGCCTCTGCGTTGGAGTTCATGAGGGCCGCATGCCCGTCCAGTGGACGGGGGTGTCCCTGCTGAACGAATGCGCCTTCTTTCCGCCCTGGCCGGAGCTAGAGGTCAGCGTGATGGTCAGCACGAAAACACTAGCGCAGACCAGGCACAACAGGACCGTGGATAGGACAATGCAGACGATCCGCTTGCGCTTGCGATCCGCCGCCTCCTCCTCGTCGGTGTCATCGCTCAGCGACTTCTTCTTCAGTTTGTGTGAGCCTCCTGTCACGGATCCTTTCCTCCCGGCAGCCAACTTGTGATGAAAGGGTCTCAGCACCTGGGCAGCAAAAGCAGCATCGCTCAACTCATGGTCGTATGTCAGTGAGGATTTCCTCTCGAAGCTAGGCCGCTTCTCCTCGATGAATGCAGCCGCCGCCGCCGATGCGGAAATGGGTCGTGGACTCCTCTTAATCTCCTCGATGCTGGATCCAGGCACAACTGTGGATAGCGGGCGACTGTTGCGTCGGTGGGGTGAGCTTAGCTCGAAGTCGTCGCCCGCCTGCGGACCGCTGCCAGCACTGGCGTCTCCGATAAAGCTTTTGGACTTCTTGGAAGCGCTCAAGGTCTCCCGATAGCTGCGCAGCCGAACGCTGGCGCTATGAAGGGCTTTGGCCTGCTTGACACTGGCACTGGCGTTGGTGCCTTGAAAAGCTGCTGCTGCCGCTAGAACACCTGGCCGGTGGACGGCTAGCTCCTCCAGATTACTGGGCGACAGGTAGAGCGAACGTCCATGCTGGGCGCCCCGCTTGAAGTGGTACGCTGCACTGGCCGCCGCCGCCGCACTGTGAAGCTGCAATCCATGTCCGCCCGCTGCAGCGGCCGCCGCTGCCGCTGATGTCGATGGACGTCCATCTAACTCCAAACTATGGGTACTCACTTGGCGGGTATGTGGGTGATGTGATTCCCGCTTCTGTTTAACGCTATTCGCTGCGGAAGGCGGGTGGGTGGCACTATGGCCGGCGGCTGCATCCTCAAAGGACCCAGCTCCGGAGCTCTTGCGCAATCGCTGCACGGCCACGGCAGCGGCAGTGATCTCCGCCAGACCAAGCTCCTCCATCTTGGTGTGGCTATTGCTACGCGAACGCGTGTCCACGAACAGTTCGTTCTCCAGCGACAAATTTGTAGGTGCCGCAAACAGATTCCGTCCATTCATCGGTTCCATCAAGTCATCGTTCAGCGATGGATGTCGTATTTGTGATTCCACCACCGAATCCGGCTTAACACTGGGTCTTCTGCCAGGATCATTGAAGGATCGATGAGACCGACAACCTCTTCGACTGGGCGACGGAGACCGGGATATCTCTTTGCCACCCGCTGGTGGACCGGGCATTAGGAAGTTGCCCCTCACCGAACTGGTGCGACGACTTGAGGCCGCCGAGCCCGCAGCTACGGCCAGCTGTATTTGGTCCAGGGCGGCGGGATCCTGTTGTGCGTGGAAGGAATGCGTTTTCTTCATCTGAAAATTGGTAGACGGATGGACGTCAATGGTGTCGGATCGCCGGAACAGGTTCTTCTTAAGCGGATGCGTGTGCATTGGGCGTTGTTGGGGGATAACCGTTGGATTGGGCATATCGTCCATATCGATAAATTGAATGGGCGATGTACTCCCGCCCAACGATCGTCCCATGCCCACGCCCATGCCCACCCCCAAGCTGCCCACACCGACACCATCGCCCAGGCTGCTGCTGCTGCTGACCAGGTAAATGTCCGGCTGCTGGCGGTGCTGTTGGCCCAGCACCGGGCTAACCGCGTGTGAGGTTGGTGAGCTCTTCGAGTGCGCATGCTGATGCGGATGCGGATGTTGAAGCTGATGTGGATGCGTATGTTGCGGATGTTGGCGGTGCGATAGTGAATGCTGCTGGTGGGTTGTTTGATGCCGGCCAGCAGCTGCCTGTGCGGCCAGTTGCTGAAAAGTGTGCATGTGCAACTGGTGTTGCTGTTGTTGTTGTTGTTGTTGGTGTTGTTGTTGTTGTTGCTGGTGGTGTTGTTGTTGTTGGAGGAGGTGATGGTGTTGCTGGCGGGCAGATAGGGCTGGCGATACGGCACCACTGCCACCGCCACGCTGGCTAGGATGGGATAAAATATGTTGCTGTTGCTGTTGTGCTGGGATTGCTAGGGTCTGCGGGGGTAGGGCGCCGGATCGGGGATGGGGCAGGGGCGAGGCCGAGCGGTGGATCAGCGGCTTCTCACTGATGACAATGCCCTCTCCCTCCATATCCATATCGGCCATATCCATGTCCATGTCCATGCCCATCTCCATGCCCATTTCCATATCCAAATCCATGTCGAGATCACCGGAAGACGGTGCATAATTATCGATGGCCATGGACAGGGATCGGTGGATGGGCTTCAGCTTGGGTGGTTTCTTTTTCGTGGCGGGATTATCAAAGGACGAGGTGCCCGACGTATGCTCCTCATCCGCCCCGCCGACGGTCAAATACGGATCGAAACTATGAACGGCGACCACATGCTGGTGGTGTCGCTGTTGCTGGTGTTGCTGTTGCTGTTGGTGGTGCGACTGTTGCTGTTGGTGGTGGTGCGATGATTGTTGCTGGTGGTGGTGCGATGACTGCTGCTGCTGCTGACCACCGCTGGTGCCGCGCTCCATGCGGTAGTAGTACTGCCGGGGATATCTATGGTAGTAATGTGCAATTGTGGTGCTGGTATGTGGTTATGTGGAGTGGATCAATCGGGGGAGCTATCGGGAGCTACCAGGAGGCTATGGGTTGTCTAGGGTTCTTATTTGGTTTTGTTTGGTTTTTTTTTTTTGCTTTCTACTTTTCACTCTGACCTGTCAGCCCCAGAGAGATCGGTGGTTCAGCTGGCTCTTAAGGTGGCTCCACCCAGCACAGTGTGGCAGGTGTGGCGCGATTGCTTTTATTTTTTGGTGAATGTGCTTTTATTTATTTCTTAGATTTTATTTTCTTGGTGGTGCTGAATTGCTCTAGGTGGTGGTTGTGGTGGTGGTGGTGGTGCTATACGACAAACACGGACACCGATCGTGGTACGAGTGTGGGGATAAGTGGCTGGGGGTACACACACAGACACACATGTGAGCGGGATATACACACACAGAGATATACACACACAGCTAGAGCTTAAAGGTGCAAGGACATTCGACAAGACAGGGAAAGTTGCAATTTGAATTTGTTTGATTTTGTTGTTTATTTTTTCTATAATTTCTGCGGCTGCTTTGCGGATTTCTCTCTGCTTGTGCGTTATTTTAGGATTTCTTTGATTTTATCACTGTTTTTTTTGGTGGTTTTTGGCTGTTTTTTAGCTGTTTCTGCTGTTTTTTTTTATGGCTACTTTTCGTCTAGTGCGTGCAATGAAATTCCTTTTTAGCTTTTTCTAGCTGCTGTTTTATTGTCACATTGTGTACGTGCTTGTTGTTGTTGTTGTTGTTTTATTTATTGCAATTCAAATGAGTCTTTGTTATTGTTGTTGTTTGGTTTTGTTGATGATAATGGTGGGACTTTTCTATCTGCTTGTTGTTGTACAAAATGCTCTGTTGTTGTGTGTTGCTAAAGTTTTTGGTTTTTGTTTTTTTGTTTGCTTGGTTTGCTTGCTACACTCATTAAAATTGGCAAATACAAAAGCACAACTAGAAGTAGAGAAGAGAGAAATTCGTAAAAAACGTATTAGCAAGCTGGGGGGTGGTTGGTGGTTTGGTGGTTTGGTGGTTTGGTAGTGGGTGGTATTGTTGTGTGCTGTCTGGTGCCATGTGCAGAGTAAGTGATGGAAAACAGCCTCAGAATGTTTAAGAGAACAAGTTGAAGGAGACGAAGGAGACCGAAAGTAAATCGAATAAAAGCTAAAATGGAAGAAAATGAACAAGAATACGCCATGGATTTTACTAATTGAGCCGAGTCAAGCTCTAATTAATGAGTCATTAAGAACGGTCGACTGAGCTTAAGAGTTCTTTATGGTTTTTTAAAAACTTTCGTTTCAATTTAAGATGTTTTTCAAAAAGTAAAAGTTGAGAAACAAGTTTTATAAAATAAAAAGTTTAATCAGTTTAGTGCTTAAGAGTACTTTAAGGAATTGATACTGAAATATTAAAATTCGTTTAACCCAATCTTCTGTATAATTTTATATAACTAAATCTGATACTAAGGTATATAATTTCTAGTTACCGATGCATAAAAGGTGTCTCAGTAAATGTGTAATACTGATCTCCAAAATTATAAAAGTAAATTAATAAATTTAAGCTATATTTCATTATTCTACCCATCTTATTATTCATTTTTTAATTAACCACCAGAGTAAAGTGTAGTATAGTTTTTTACAGGCAAACACTTGGTAAACTTCTGGCTTACCGCACGATTTCAGTTTGACATAGTTTTTAATGCATTTCAAAACAGATAATTAATTCAGTTAGGTCCTGCTGTTTGGGACATGCTCTTAATCGCCCCCCGGGAGAGGGAGAGTTGGAGAGAGAGAGAGCTCCAACGAAACTTTTTTCATGCATTTTTAAAACGATAATCCCTTTAGTTTTTGGCCTTGCCACTGAATGGCTTTATGGCCTTTTGCGATTGCTGTCCCGTAAGTCGATCACGTAGCGGACTCGTTGTCGGGTAATGTAGCATAATCAAATTTAATCTATGAAACCGCCCTCGTAGCCGCAAATATTCCCCCGGTTCAATACCCCCGCCGGGAAACTCTTTCAGTGAACACTCAATTCATCATTCAGCTATACCTTTGGCAGGCCACGAGCCGAGGAATTGTAACGTTTTGCATAATTTAAAACGACAGGCCACAGCCAGCCACTTCCACTTCCACTTCCAGTCCCTGTCCGTGTCCATGTCCCATTCCCATTCCCATTCCCAACTCACAAAAAAGGCTTCGTGAAGCGAAAGTCCTTTGCCACTGTCACTCACAGTGTTAATTTTTCAGAGCTCATTGATGGATGAGCGCGTCGGTTGACATTTATGTACGATGCCCGGCCTAGACTTGCACAAATGATGCCTGGACTAGCAGCCCGTTAAAAATTAACGCCATCAGCTTGTTCTTGGCCAACCCATACAAAAGATACAAGCTTCTCCTCCTACTGTAGCAACCAAAACGAGTTAAACATATTAAAATTTGCTTATGCAAAAAAGGTAGAGAGAGGTCCCAAATGCTCGGGAGACACTTAACATCACGTACTTTAAATATGTTTAACGCAGCTTAAGTGGAATGAAAAGCTGGATGATATATACGTGTATTGCCCCGATGTCTGCTGCTGCTGCTGGTGCTGCTGTTACTGTAACCATATGCCATTGTCAATGGCAACGTCTGTTTCTGGCATTATATCACAAGTTGGAGAGAAGGATGTAGGGAACCAGGAACTGGACTGGGTTGGTAGACAGTCAGTCAGCCTATCGAGTGTCTTAGTCTCTCCCTTTGTACGGCGACACTTGCCACATTTCTCTTTCGAGGTCTTTTGTGTCACATTTTTGTGAGATGGATTCCTGGCTGGGCATGGATTTAATTTCAAAATCGTGTTCGGGTCAGAGGTTCAACTGTGATATGGCAACGTAATCCTAAACAGGTTCCCACAGTTCCTGGCATGCCGGGTGAAAGGTGATGGATGAAAGATTATTTACTCCGAATTCCTGCTTAACAGCCATTGCTGTGGAATGAAAGGAATTTAATGGGTAATGTTAAATGTTTAGTAATAATAATGAGTTTTTATTCTACTAGTAATGATTGATTAGGAACGGTATGCCAGCTTTTCTGCGCTCCTTTATTTAGTATAAAGTTTCAACTTCTAAAAATACAGATCTAGAAAAGTTATGTCCTCAATCTCCTCAGGTTAATAATTTCTAATTTAGATTTACTAGCCAACATGCTATATAATCCTTTATCAACCATTTCTAATAGTGTGGGCAACCCTAACTGATTACTTCCTTTTCCTTGGCCAAGATTAAGCTTATCTAAATTGTATATTTTATTTACCTCAACCTTTTCCAGATTAAGATGTCTGTTGCCACCTCGCAGAATCCGAGCCCTATTAATTTCCCGTTTCTTTCGCTCAAGTTAATACAATTTGTAAACCCCTAACCCACCCAGGCCATTCGATTCCGTTCGCCCTAATTGACATAAACAATACTTAATTAACATAAAACTAACATTCCCGACCCGATGGCAAACCCAATTTAAACAGCCATACGTGCGTAATTAAGTCCGCCCTTGGCGTGCCACGCCTCCTCCCTTTGGCTGGTGTCTATATCTCCTCCAAGTGGTTTTATGCCAGCAATAAAGGGGGAGTTTATTGGGAGGAAAATCGGGAAAAGGAGGAGCAGGGGCAGGAGCAGGAATATGGGCATTATGGCTGGCGGCTTGTGCCCGCGCTAGTGTGAAAATCAAAGTGGCATTAAACGCACGCCCACGCACTTGGTCAGAATCTGGTTGGATATGTATGTATATATATCTGGTTGGTAGTAACTGCCGCAAAAGTGGGCGTGGCAGAGCAAGTGCGACCAATTAATTTCTCCGGTTTCTGGTGGCTACGGTTGTCGTAAACAACCGTGGAGGAGTCACGAACGCGATTGCCGCCAGCCAAGACAACAGATGTCACTTAATATTATTAAATCTGTGCACCGTGTTTGCCTTAAATCTTTTTTTGGCCATAAATGTATTTACACAAGGACAACTTAACGTCCCATTTGCTGTGTGTGTGTGTGTGTGTGTTGGTATTGCTGTATGTGTTTCCTGCTGTGTGACGTCGCCGTAATCCGATTAAATGACGAAAATTATGCAAGGGAATGCATTCTTCGTCGGCAAAGGCAGCTTGGCGTCCTCGAGAGCGAGATGAAGGAGCTGAAACCTTCGCCACCTCCATCCTTCGGCACAATTAAAATTCCCTCACATGAAGCTTTTGCTGATTTCATTCAGGCTATCCTTTTTGGGTTAAATTTACACGGATAATGATCATTTGCGCAGGACCAGATGATGAGGATATTCTCTAATCGTAATCTCTCTTTAGATACTCATCACATTGAGAAGTGTTTTTAAGAGATTGCCCGGGATTAACATATATTTTAGAGAGCTCTCGTCGGGCTTGGTAAGTGCATTGCATTGCAGTTAGGCTGCACTAACATTCCGAGAACCAGAAATAGCCATAAGATGATTAAATAGAACCAACTAAATGCAGTGGCTGGGGGCTTGGAAAGCCCACAGAAAGCTGCTTTTAGTGCGATATTGATTTATTTCCTACTAAAATTACCTGTCTGCTTGATGTTTTCCTTTTCGTAGTACTTAGACTTACTGAAATTCAAGCTCAGATGAAATGGGAATGTGTTCGTTTTTTCCTACTGATAACTTTCTCTCTTTCTGCTTCGATTTCGTACTACCATCACTTTCTTCGAACTGAAGGGTTGATATTTACAATCCATAACCATAAAGTGCTTTAATGTTTCGGCCAACTACCAACTACTGGCCAAACATTGCGAAACGCATACACACTCATCTCGCCCATTCTTTTTGCAAGTCAGCAGAGAGCTTCTTCCGCTCTTTTGAGTGAAAGCAGCGCCTGCAGTTATGCAATATTATTTTAAAGCAAATTCCACTTTCACAATGCAGAACACTCCCTTTTCTTGGGTTCGTTGTTTTTTTTTGTGTTTTTTATTTTTTTCTGTAGCTGCCGACATTTCTTGGTGGCTGCTGTCAGCGGCAAATGCAAAAGCCAAAGTCGAACGGAATGTCCGTCAGTTGGGCGAGCGTTTTGGACTTTCAGTTTAATTTGAATTGTTTGCGGAAAGGCAAGCATTTTTAGTGCTACTAAGAGCAGGAGCATGACCACGCCCTGCCCATAATCTTATTAAGTGAGCTTAGTTCCTTAATAAACAATCGTAAAAACTTTCGAAACACTGGCGAGAGTGCAGCCAAGAGTCCTGTATTTCAGCCACATTATTTCCGCTTATCCCTCACCGAACCGAGAGGGCAAATCTAAACGAGAAATTACGAACTCACACATACACATACACAGTTTAAGAACTCAACTTTTGTGACGGGTGGTGCACGGAGAGAAAAATGTTATAGTAAATATTCTTAAGAACTTGATAGTTGCTGTCAAGGCTTAACTAGAGAAAAATAGAAAGAAAGAGAAAAGTTCTTAGAACTCTTAGATTTCTCCCAGTGCACTTGTAGCTGCCCCAGCGCCTTCGGTGGCAAATTCAATTAAATAACTGCACAGAAAACTTTCGCAAAACACAATTCAACAAATTCTTGAATGCCTTGCTACACTTTTGACAAAATTTATACACATTCTGTCGCCGCAAAAACATTCCACAAAGTTGCTGAGGTCCGAGATTGCGACTTGCACAGCGACATTCACGGCCATCTAAGCCAGGTCTGATGAATTGTTGACCAGAAAATATATATATATATATATGTTCGAGTTCATATATAAGTGGCCCGGAATGAGCTAAAAACTGTGGACCAAAAAACTTTATCCACTTGGATTGAAGCATGTGGCCGGGTTGAAATGAGTTTGCAGTGACCACACTGAGATTTGGCTAGCTGAGATTCACCATCATCAGAGAGAGAGAGAGTAGAGAATGAGAGGGGGGAAAGCATCATTTTATTTCACTTATCGCTTTTGGGCACCGCACAAACCGA